GTCAGTCTATCAGAATCAAAGTAATGCATACAGCTGGCTCATTTTGTTCAGAAATACTATGCACTGACAAGACTTCATTAACCATAATAAATTATCTATAAACACAAGTTAATCTAACTTTCCACAAAAGCAATTCCAAAAATAAGGATTTGCAGCCAAAATATTTTGGCACAAAGCACTTCTCCAGAATTTCAAATTCCCTGAAGGAGGAGTCCTGAATAACTCTTCTGGTTGTATCACTTACCTACTTTCTATTTTACTTCACACAGAAGTACCAGTCAAAGGAAAGAGGTAATAAAAAGTAAGAAAAATGAGTCACATTTTCAGGACTACATTTATTCTAGAAATACATATAATCAAGAAATTAAAACGTATCTTAATGATCAGAGCTGCAAGTCAAACCCAAAAAGCTTCAGTTTTAAAGTAATCCAAATGCATCTACAATGAAAACCATTACCTGCTATTAGCTTTTGGAGGGTACTCTTATCTCCATTAACAGCAGCAGCATGCACTTCAGATGCTAAGGAGGAACCACTGAAGAGGCAGTTTGCTGAAATATTCATACTCTTTCAAGGTATTACCATAGGTCAGATCTGCACCACCAACATTTTTTGTAGGAATTCAGCTCTAGAAAAAAACCAAAACCGCAACAATAAAACAGAATTAATTTCACAAGGAGTCATTAAAATAACTGTGTATTAAATCTACCTCCAGCCAAAATTCACCAGAAAAAAAAAAGCCTACGTTAAGAAGATACACATATTGTAGTTTCCTTGTCTTAAACATAAATTTCAGTCAATAAGCTTTGCAAAAGTCTGCAAATAGGGTAGTGTTTATCTACAAACCCAACATACCATTCTTCAGAGTGTTGGCATGCACGCTTCAATTCAATACCCATTGAAGTCTGCTATCAAGTATCAACTTGTTATACTCCTCCAGTATAGAATCACAGAATATCCTGACTTGGAAGTTGGGATCATCAAAGTCCAGCTCCTGGCTCTGCACAGGGACAGCCCCAAGAATCACACCGTGTGCCAGAGATTATTGTCTTAAACTTCTTAAACTCTGTAAACTTTGGTGCTGTGAGCACTTCCCTGGGAAGCCTGTTCCAGTGCCCAACCACACTTTGGGTGAAAAACCTCTTTCTAATATCCAACCTAAACCTCCCCTAATAGAACTTCAGGCCATTCCCTTGGGTCTTGTCACTGGTCACCAGAGAGATCAGTGTCTGCCCTCCCTCTTCCCCTCACGAGGAAGTTGTTAGACTGCAACGAGGTCTCCCCTCAGTCTTCTCTTCTCCAGGCTGAACAGACCAAGTGACCTCAACTACTCCTCATACGGCTTCCCTTCGAGGCCCTTCACCATCTTTGTTGCCCTCCTTTGGACACTAACACCTTCATGTCTTTCTTATATTGCAGTGCCCAAAACTGTACACAATAATCAAGGTGAGGTCACACCAGTGCAGAGCAGAGCGGGACAATCAGCTCCCTCAGCTGACTGGCGATGCTTTGCCTGATGCCCCCCATGACACGTTTGGCCCTCCTGGCTGCCAGGGCACTGCTGACTCATACTCAACCTGGTATTGACCAGGACACCACGGGTCCCTTTCCATGGCACTGCCTTCCAGCATCTCATTCCCCAATCTATACATACATCCAGGGTTGCCTTGCCCCAAGTGCAGAGTCTTGCATTTGCCCTTGTTGAACTTTATATGGTTGGTGACTGCCTAGTCCCCTAATTTGTCAAGTCTCTCTGCAGGACCTCCCTGCCTTCGAGAGTCAACAGCTCCTCCCCATTTAGTATTGTCAGCAAACCTTGTTTAGTATTTCTTTGAGTCTTGCGTCCAAGTCACTAATGAAGATGTTGAAGAGCACTGGGGTGAGGATGGAGCCTTGTGGAGCCTCACTAGTGACAGCTTGATGTTACCCCACTAATTATAATCCTTTACGCTGCCCCATGACCCAAGTGCTCACCCACCTCATGATGTGTTTATCCAGTTGTGTGCTGGACATTTTGTCCAGAAGGATCCTATCAGAGACAGTACTGAAAGCTTTACTGAAATCCAAATTAAGATTACATGAGCTGGCTTCCCTTGGTCAACTAGGTGGGTTACCTTGTCATAAAAGGAAATTAAGTTTGACAAGTAGGACTTTCCTCTTGCAGATCTGTGCTGGCTGTGATCGACAACTGCATTGTCCTTCAGGTGTTTTTCAATAACTGCCAGAATAATTTCTTTATAATTTTACCAGTCACTGATGTGAGACTGACAGGCCTGTAGTTTCCAGGGTCATCCCTCTTGCACTTCTTGAAAGTGGGACAATGTTAGTCAGCACACAGTCAACTGGGACCTCTCCAGATTCCCAAGACCGCTCAAAAATCATTGAGACAGGCCTGATGGTGATATCAGCCAGCTCTTTGAGGATTCTCAAATGAATCCCATCAGATGCCATAAACTTATAGGGATCCACCTGGAGCAGCAGATCCCACACAAGTTCAGGGTCAACTGGGAGCGCATAATTCTCATCGTCACAGTCCTCCAGCTCAGGGCACTGGGATCCCTTTAGCCTGTCATCAGTGGTGAACACTGAAGTAAAGCAAGCATTAAACATCTTCATCTTGTGTATGTCCCTGTTTGTAGGGTGATCATCCTCATCTTGTAACTGGCTGATCTTATTTCTGTGCTTCCTTTTGCTAACCACGTATTTAAAAAAAACCCTTTTTATTGTCCCCCACATCTCTGGCCAGGTCAACTCCAGTTGAGCTTTGGGCACACAGATTTTCTCCCTACAGCGGCAAGGGGCATCTCTGAATTTCTCCTGTGTCACCTGACCTTGCTTCCACTGGGCACACACCCTTTTTCTTGCCTTAGCTCCAAAGGAAGATCCCTGCTCAGCTAAGCCAGCCTGACAGTCTGCTTGACTTACAACATTCTGGAGTTGCCTGCTCCTGTGCCCTTAGGAGGTGGTGTTTAAAAAGTGAGCAGAACTGATAGACTCCAGTACCTTCAAACCCATTTTTCCAGGGGACTTTACTAACTAGTTCCTCCATTTTCTTTACATTTTACCTTTCCACAAACAAATAAACTAAAATATGAAACATCCAGAGGCAGCAGTGTAAAATTCAGCAAATACTGAAGAACTTAGTAAACCATCAGAAGCATCCTAATTATATCAACAGTAATTTTTACATAAAACTGACTGCATACAGAAGAGAATTGATAATGAAAGATGATCATGATTTCCAGATGAAAGCAGCAGCCCCATCTGCCTAAAGGATCAGTAATCATACAGGTGAGAGAAGCAACCCATTATCTCTACAGCAATTCCCAGTACAGTATCATAACTCCATTGAAAGAGCTAATTCTGCACCAGAGAAGTTTTGAAATATTAAGAGGAACTATGAAAGGAAAATATGTAATGTTCCTCAGATATTTCTCTCATGTATATGACAAACAGATGAATTGCTGTGTCTAAGAGTTGTTTGATAAAGACCCTCATTAACAAAAAATGAGGGATTTATTCAATAAAAATAAAGAAATAAGTACAAGATCTGCTTATAAAAAGTTACATAATTTACAGTATCTGAAATATACATCATATCACCAGAATGAGGTAAGCAATTCACTTTTCTTCTTTAGGCTAACATGCAGAAAAATATTAGCCTTGTCAAATCACCCGACATGAAAGGATATTCATATGGACAGCAAGACTTCTTCAGGTATGGGAAATTTCATACCAAACTATAGGAAGTCTACTTTGGATTACACAGATAACCAGAATTACATCATTTTTCTATTCAGCAAAAGACGAGGTTGTTAAAATTTAAACATGATCACTCTATCAAATTTTACTGATACAGTTTCAAAGTGAAGAAGGAGCTGTGAAAAAATATCAAAGATCTTTCAAATGTGAGTTAATTCAGAAGATAAAACATGCATTCTACAGATGGAAGAGCACAACTGATAGCAGAACTGATAAAAGCCAAGTTTCAGTTTCAGACTATAAAAAACTACACGATTTGTGTGTGTGTGTTTTCAGCTTATGAAACCAACAGGCCACAAGACCTTTGCGGGGTGACGCATAAAGTCAGAGCCTGTCAGGCTCTGAAACAGAGCCAGGCTTGACTTGGAAAAAGCTGATGTACAGGACTTTCTTTTAAATGGCGTTACGCCCTGTTTCCCTCCTTACACTCGTGTACATACTGGAAATGTGACAAATGCAAAGCGCAGCTTTCCATGATCTTTTCGAGACAGCTCTGCGAGGTCTCAAAGCACGTACGTATTCTGTAAGGTCCGAAGTTTTACTGGAAGAGGGGCAAAGCCCCGAATTTCGGGCGTTCTTCACTTTCAGAATTTACAACTGAGGAAGCGCCAGAATAAATCTGTTGAAGCGTCTAAGGATAAACATCAACAATGACGCTCCACTTTAGCTGAAGTTTCCCAACTCTCACACACAGACTTCCAAACGGAAGAAAGTTGCTTCCCAAACTCCGAGAGCGCGAGGATCACAACGCGCACAGCGCCAAAATACCCCTCCTGGTATTCCCTACAGCTAAACCCCAGTCCCGGCGGCTGATGGAACAAGGTGGGATCCCGAAGAAACGCTGGGGGCTCGCAGGAACGGGGCAGCGGGGACCCGTAAGGAGCCCCAGCGCCCGATCCAGAGCGGAAGAGGATGCGGTGCCAGGGGACACCCCCCCCACACACACCCCCCAAGGCGGGAAGGGTTAACCCTGCCTGCCTTACTTCCCTCCCTCCTTCCCTGCCCCGTCCCGCGCTGCAGCTGCGCCCCGTAACTCACCTCCACCCCGCCCGCCTCCTCATCGCGCCGCCACCGCCCCCAGGCACCGCCCCTCGGGCAGCCCCGGTGCGTTCTGGGACCTGCGCCTCCTTCCGCTCTCCCTTCCCACTCCTCCTTCCCTTCTTTCCCTCTCCTCCTCCTTGCCCTCCCCTTCCCGGAACTACGGATCCCGGCGTGCCCCGGGAGCGGGCGGCGGAGCGCGGGGCCCCGCGGTGGAACTTGCCCGGGTGTTTCCTGGCGACGGGGGGAAGTGGAGGAGCCGCCGCCGCCGCCGCGGAGAGTGGGAGCCGCGCTTCTCCCCGCTCCCTGCCGGGCGCCTGATCTACCATGAGACCCGCCATCTTCCCGCTCCTGCCTGACCCTGGCTGCCTCCTGCTCCTCCTGGTAAAAGCCGCCGGCTCCCCGCTGCCCTTCCCTTCCCCGCGCCGGCTGGGGTGGCCGGCGGGCCCCGCTCGGGGCTCTCCCGTCCCTCGCTCGCTCCTTCCCGGCCGGCGGCACCTGCTGGGCGGGGGAGGGGAGGGAGGAGCGGCGCCGCGGCGGCCCCAGCGGTGTGGCCGAGGCCGATAGGCTGCGCGCCCGGGGTGGGGCCGGGCCCGGGGCAGGGGCAGGGGCCGGGCGGGCGGTGCGGCCTCGCCTCGGCCCCTCGGGTGCGGGACCCCGCGGGGAATGGCCGTAGTAGGGCCACTTTGCAGCCACCTGGAAGGAGGTTGTGGCCAGGCGGGGGTCGGCCTCTCCTCCCAGGCAACTGGCGACAGGACGAGAGGACGTGGTCTTAAGCTGCGCCAGGGGAGGACATTAGGAGGAATTTCTTCACAGAAGGGGTGATTAGACATTAGAATGGGCTGCCTAGGAGTCACTGTCCCTGGAGCTGTTCAAGGAAGCACTGGATGTGGCACTCAGTGCCGTAGTCTAGTTCACATGGTGGTGTTTGGTCATAGGTTGGACTCGATGATCTCAGAAGTCCTTTCCAACCTAATTGACCCTGTGATCTCTAGTTGTTAGACTACAGCATTTTTGGATTTATTTATTTTTTTTTTAGGCTGGCATTACATGCATGACCTAAGCCACCTTCTGGCTTTGCACGTACACAAATGCAATCACTGATGTCTGTGTGCTGTGGAGATAAGTTGGCTGTGTTATATTCGGTCTTTTTTTTTTTTTTTTAACAAGTATATGTAGTGATTCTTGCTTTTCCAGAGTGTATTGGGCCAGATTCTGGACCTTTCATAGCATAAGTGACTTGTAGAACTACAGGTGACTTGTGGGAATAAATTTGAATAGGATTTTTCTCTTAAGATACTAATTTGTTTAACCGATCTATTTTAAGCATTTGGGTGAAGAAAACTGGCCAGAAAATTAAGGAATAAATGGAGGTAAAGGTAGATAGAGCTTTGGGGGTCCAAAGAGGAACACGTAGTAATATAGCTGCTAATGAATGAATTGCTTAGGAATGCGAGGACAGATACTTAACAAACAGTACAAGTACTCATTATGTGCACTTCTACCTGGATAAGATCTGGTTAGATTATTACAAATTTGCTGTCATTTCATCCTTGGTAAATATACATGATTGGTAGAGTTTGAAAAAAGCGCATTTGAAATGTTTATATATAGATGCCTATTTATAATGTGTAAGCTCACTGTATGACTATATGAGAGACTAAAGAAAGAACCTAATACTTTTCAGTGACATCTGTGTGTTAAAATATTGTTGCTTGGGTGCTAGATTGATTTTCAACATTATTTTAAATACAGAGACTAATGAGCAAAATCAAAGAGTGTGTACTGTTTAAAAGTGCCATTTAAATGAGCAAGTACAAGTTTGAAAAAGCATACATGAGTTAATGAAAGCATTTTTCTTTCTTAGTGGCACAGTTAGTCAATGCTGATTTAATATGCATCATTTAGAGTTACGTTTGCCAACAGAAAAAAATAGGAAATGGCTGTGATCTGAAACTTGTCTGTATTTTATTTGCTGTTTCTTTGAGTATGGGTCATTTAAACCCATTTCTAATGTGATTTAGGAGAACTGTATGCATAAAACCCTAAGAATACACGTCAGCATTGTTTTTTAAAAAATACAATTTGGTATAATGTTATCTGTGTCCCTATTCAGCATCATGTCAGCCATGGCCCTGTGTTGTAAGATGCCTAGTTACATGAGTCAAGCCAATGAATCATTCCTTTTAGTAGATTTGTTAAGAGTTTTGTGAAAGTTGTCCTGAGCAGACTGGGAGTGGGAGGGGACCCATTTTCTTTAAGATGGCTGAAAAACTTTGTAGAAGTTGCTGTTTGTTTTCTTTTGGCAGTCAGAGACTCTGATAAGGTGTATCAGATTGGCTTTAAAGTTCTGGTATTTGTTTTTCTTTTTATCAACTGCCATGGATACTTAAGTCCAGCAGTGCAATTGTGATCCTGGCCTTCTGCTCCACATCAAAAGGATATACCATATAGAAAAGCCTCTTTGAGCATGGCATATTTTGTGGATGTGAGTTTGTTAGTGTTACATCAGTGGGTCCTAGAACAAAACATACAATGATATGTAGCTTACAAAGCTGTTCTTGCTTAGTAATAGCAGTGAAGTCAACAGAAATTCTTTACATTTCCAGACTCTTGGATAAGCATATTTCTTTTCTAGATAGGATTTAAAATGCTGCAAAAACAAGAAAAGATACAATGTCAGTATCAAAAGAAGTTCTCTTGTTTAAAGAAGTTTGACAGTGGGAGATCACTAAAATTTTAGAGGGCCTTTGTTGGGTTTCACTAATATTCTTCTTTCCTGGTCTCACTGATACCTGCCAGTCCCAGCACAACTCTTTACCCTTCCAACTTTTCGGCCTCATGTTGCTAGCGTTGAACTGGGCTGCTGGAAGTTGAAAAGAGGACAGGGGAGGTACAGGCTGGCATGACCCCTGCCTCACAAGCTGAGTGGAGGGGCAAGCAGCACACAGCACAGGCTGTAGAGGGTCTTGTGCAGCTGTTTCCAAGACTGGAATAAGAGACGCGTAGTAATGTCATGTGGGCCCTTGTAGAGTAAGATGTTTCTGCCATGTTGGTATGTTGCTTAATACTGGGCATGACAGACCTTTAAGATGAAACCAAGACAATGGAATAAATGCTGATGGGAGAGTGGCTCATCATATTTTCCTCTAAGGCAAGGTGTGGTTCTTTGGCTTTGCTCTAACCAATCGTTCTGTGTGTTTGCCTGTACTTGCAATCAGATATACTTTGCCTATAAAGAAAGTTCCAGAACGAGACACTCTTGCACATGCTGCTTTTGCTTATATTTGAAAGGCATTTGTCATATTGCTCAGTGCTTCACTGAGAGTCTCCTACAGTATCCCTGAGCAGTAGCTGGGACTAGAGGAAACCACCAACTGATAGTGAGGGGAATGAAAGGGGAAGTTCTCTAACTGGAAAAAACCTATAGGGTACTATTTCTGTTTCTTGTTTTACTGCCACTGCCTTTCATGTCTTGTTAATATGGCACCAAGTACCTAAGCAGTGAAAATAAAATGAAATAGAATTATGTCTTTTAGCATAATGTTAAATGTGTAGTAAGTTGCCCAAAGAGAAATTGAACACTCTGCACAATTTATGTATAGAGAGTATTTCTGTGCATTTGCCTCTCTCAACATTTGTATTAAACCCTAAATTTTCTAATTGGAAATCCTGCTCAAAATATTATATTCTGAATTTGAGCATTAGTCAAAGATTGTAGTTACAGGCAAAATTTAGGCCACTGAGCCTTATACAATGGAAGGGATTCCCTCCAAGAGTAGCATGGGATTTCTGAGTTGTCCATCACCTGTCATGGGCTCTAAGCAGGGGTATAGTAGTTAATTGAGGAACTTTCCCTAGGTTGGGGAGAGGAAGCAGAGAAGTCTTGCATTCTTGTGAAGACAACTTGCATTCTTCTTGCTATGCCATGTGATGGATGTTTCCTTTTTGGAGTGCTCAGGAGGGAAGAGAGAAGAAACTGAACTGTTTCTTCAAAGAGAAGACTTGGACAATGCTGGAAAATGCATAAATGAGTTATTGACAGTAAGATGTCAGAGACTGTTGCTAATGGCTGAAGAACACTGTGGTGACACACTCCATTTGATATCTTTTGATATCCTTACTGTTCTCATCCATAATGTGCTTTGTTTCTTGTTTGGTTGGTTTTTTTGTGGGCTTTTTTGCAGGACTGCTTTCTTAAGCAGAAGACTGGTCCTCTTATTGCTTTATCAAGAAAGCAGAATTACCACATCCTATGTGTTTTAATCAAACGTATTTTTTTTTAAATACTTTAGGATTATAAGCTGCTATTCAGGAGAAGCAATTGTTTACCTTGCAGGCTCACTTGTATAGATTCCAGGTATTTTGTTTGCTTAAAGGGAGGGAATTGTCTCATGCAAAAGGCAAGTGTACAGCTATTCTGTGAATTTTATACCAGCCCTTCTTCAAAAGCTCTTCAGGAGAGTCTAGAGGTACATTCAAGAATAGGAGCTTCAATAATAGAGTGGGGTTTGGATGCATTAGCAATAACTTGTTCGTTGTTCCCTCTGCCCCATTTGAGAGTGAGTTCTCTAGTGATATAGAGGAGGAAACATAGTAACATTTGGGAATGTAAGGAGAAGCAACATAGGATGTAGATATCAGTGCCTAAGGAGTATTTTCTTCCAAAACTCCAAACTGGAGAAAACTTCCCAAAGAAGTAGAGGAGGGCAGGTTCATTGTAGAGAATTAGGAAATGAAGTGAGATCAAATTTCCTCTGAGAGTTCTGCCTTACCCTTTCTTTCTCCCTGATATGTCTTCCTTCATTGGAAGCATCCTAACCATTGGCAGAACGCATGCAATTCAAAACCGTTAGTAATATCAGCTGCTGATGTAGTCTAATTAAAAAAAAAAGTTCATAAATGAGATTTTAGAAGTTTGATAAACTTTAATTTTATTTTTAAATTTGCTGTCTCTCAGGTATTTCATTTTACATCGTTAAGAGTTATTCTGTCAAGTTATTGGTATACTAAACACTAACTCAGAATGTTTTTTTCACTGCCGGTTGAGGATGCTGTGTTTCTCCTAACCAACTGCAGGACTGTGTGCATGTTAAATTATTCTCTGGTGATTACAAAAAATGCCTTCCAAAAAGCAGCAAGGTATAATGCAAAAGAATTCCATAATTTTTCCTATTTTCATATATGCTACTACTGCGAAACTGACTACTCTGATAATACACCCTTTAAAGCTCAGAGCCATTCATGCCATTAAAACATGTCCAAAGTTCCATTACTGTCTCCTCCAGAAAAGTACCTGTGACTTGCAGCCTCTTCTAGAAAGGAACCAAACCTGTAAGCTCTTTCACATGCATGCAAAAATCCCTTTAATCTGGCAGTGATCCACAAGACCTGCTCTTTGTGCAGCTGATAGAACAAAAACGTTATCTTGTTGGCTGCCATGGCACTAAGCATAATGCAAAGTGCAGTGACCTGTATCTCAAACCATACAGGGATTGTGAAATAGTGAAAGCAGTGAGGACAGAGCATCCTACGAGGTTATCTAAAGGCAGGTGCTCGGTGCGTACCTTCAGCAAGTAACTGGTTCCCAGGTAGTTGAATATGCAGCACAAGGTCTCTGCTGAACACAGTAAATCTCCTGTTCATCTGTTTTTAGTGTGGTGTTCTAGTTTTCTTCCAGCCTTTTTTTCTTGACCTGGTAGTTTGGCTTTAGCAAGGAAGCTTTGATGGAGAGGAGTATTGAGTCCAACCATATTTACCTGATTGGATCAAGTTGTAGAGTTCTGCCACTAAAGGTTTGATCATTTAAATGGGAAGGGACCTCGAAAAGTCATCTGGTCTTCTCCCTGCTCAATTGAAAACTAACTTAGATGGGATCGCTCAGGGTTTTTTCCAGTCATCTTGTATATCCAAGAATGGAAGTTCTGTAACTTCCCTGGGCACCTGTTTTAGTGTTGGATCAAAACCTTGTTGAAAGTTTTCTCTGAAAAATCTATTTGGGGATGTAGATTGTGTACATTGCCTCTTGTCCCATCACTGCATCTTTGAGAAGAGTCTGGCTCTGCCTTCTCTATAACCTCCGATTAGGTCACTGGTAGCAGCAGCAATAACTTCCTCCTCTTAAGACTGAACAAATGCCTGTCTCCGCCTCTCCTTGTATAACCTCTTCTCTCATCACTACTTACCTTTGTAGCCACTTGCTGGACTTCGCTTCCACATGTTAATGTCTTGTACAGACAGTCCAAAAACTGGACAGAATCCTTCAGATGCGGTCACACAAGTACCAACTAAAAGGCAGGAATCACTTCCCTTGGTCTGCTGGCTACACTTTTGATAACACAGCCCAGTATGCAGTTGTCTTTGCTGCAAGGGTCATGCTGCTGACTCCTCTTCACCTTGCTCCTCAAGACCTTTTCTGCAAAGCTGTTTTTCTGTCTGATTGGCTCCCAGCCTGTATGGCATTATTCCACCCGAGATGCAGGACTTTGCCTTTGTTGAACTTCACAAGGTTTCTGTCAGGCCATTTCTCCAGTCAGTTGTGAGGTCTGTCTGAATAGCAGATCTTCTGTCTAGCTTATAAAGTACTTCACCAAGTTGCATATTCTCAGGAAGCTGCTGAGGGAGTGGTCTGTTGAATCATTCTGGTTATAAGTAAAGACAAACCTTACACTCAAAATTGATCTGGAGAAACTCCATTAGAGGCCACTCAGACATGATGTCTTTAGTTACAGCCCTTTGAGCTCTGCAGTTCAGCTGCTGTGTCACTCACTTTGTAGTTCACTTATTTAGTTCATGTGTGGCCAGTTTTGGTCTAAGGATACTTTGAGACGCTGTGTTAGAAGCTTGCTAAAGTCAAGGTGAACAACGTCCAGTACTCCTCTCTCATTTACAGAGCTAAATGGCTTGCTATAGAAAACAGTCAGATTGATTTACTTATTCCAAATATATGTTGGATGGATGTGGCTTCTAGAAAGAAAATTAGTCTCCATAATTCTCCTGATGACCAGGAAAATACATTTGGTCTGGTTCTGTGGCTGTGTGTACGTCCAGTTTGCTTAAGAGCTTTCGAACTTGGTCTTCTGCTCACATGGGTAATGCTTCTTTTCCCAGGTTCTCTACTAGCAGGCTCAGGCCTCATCAGTAGAAAATCAAAGACATTATTGAGTGTCTAAGCCTCTTCCATGCACTTTCCTTACTAGTTGAGCAGCAGGCCTACGATTTTCTTAGTCTTCCTTTTGTTGCCAGCATACCCGTAGAAACCTTCTGCGTTACCCTTAACATCCTTCTCTCAGCTCCAGCTGAGCTTGGGCTGTTGCCTGCTCAAGCAGTGTTTCTCTGCTCCTACCAAGTATTTATTTGCTTACCTCTACCTTCTGTGTACTTCCTTTTTTTCTGTTTTTAAACTTATCCAGAAATTCTGCCATACGACTTTCTGCACAGTGAAGTGGATTGTTTCCATGCTCCAGTGAGGTGGTCCTTGAAGCTCAGCAGGCTCTTGTGGGCCCTTTTGGCTTTCAGAGCCATGTTCTATGAGTGGCCTGAATTGTTATTAAGACCTGAGTGTATTCAGTGGTTCTGTAAGGTACTTTTTTTTAATTAAAAATAAGTTTCGTAGTAGATTATAGATGGGATTTAGTGTGAGCCCTAGTCATTGGTGGCCTATATATGAAAGTTTCATTAGCAGCAGCGATGAAGTGAAACACTGGAAGTCCAATGGCTTGCTTCCTGGAAGACATAAATTATCACATTTTATGTGTTGGAGTCTCCCAGCTGCTTCGCTTTGGGACCAAAATGAAGGATATGCTAACTAACAGGGAGGTTTCAGTTCCGTGTTTTGCTGCATTCAGTTTCAGAGAAAGATACTTCTCTGTGGCTTAGATTTCTTTAATGACTGAAACTCTGCATTTTAAATGGTATTCATGAAAAGGAACCTGAGCAGAAGTTAGGGCTCTAGAAACAGAGTTTAGTAAATGACCTGTTTCCTTGGCATGCTTTTTGCTTTCAGCATGTCTTCTGTCTTGTCTGGCATCAGTGATTCTTGCGTGTTTCTTGTGTGTTTCATTGATGTGCATCCAAAAAAAAAAGTCTGTAAGGGTGTCAGGTTTTTGGGGGTTTATTTTCATAGATTTGTGAAAGGGAGAGAAGAAGAGCAGTTTAATCTTTGTTGTAAGATAACTGGCAGTAAAGCTTATATTTTGTCTCCAAGCAGATTCATCTGGCAATTGGACATAAACATGGAGAGAACTTGTCCGTTAGGAACTCTGCAAGGAAGTATTTTGAAAGGCAAGGAATAGGTGCCTGTTCCAATGGTCTTGAAAAAGAAAACAACAGCTGTGATAGTGTTTTGCTGTTTTCCGTAGCTGTCGTGATTATGAAGTGATGATAGAATTAACTTTCTCAAAAGCTTCACAAAGGGAAAGCTTTTCAGTGATGTATTCATATTTGTAATCCCAAGAAGAGTTTTTTGTTCCTTTAGTCAGTCTATCACTTCTGGCTCTTATAGTTTATTGAAATCCCTTTTCTTAACTCTTGCTGAAAGCACTTAGCTCCTTATACTCTTTGCCAGTCATAAAAATTATGAATTTTCATAAACGTGTATATGAAAAAACTTTTTTTGCTTTTTTTTTTCCTTTCTCTCGGTTGAGTCAATTCACTTGGGACTTTGGACAGGATGACTGAAAGACAAATTGGTTGCTTCACAAAGGTAATTAAGAGTGTATGTGGTGCAGGGGGTGAACAGTTAGGAGTTCTTTCCTACTAATGATACGTTAATTAGTGAAGGGAGCTCAGCGAGGGTTCGAGCCTCTCAGGAATTACCTTTAAATGACATTTAAAACTGCTTTGGTTAAAAAGGTAAGATTGCAGGGGGGAGAGGTCTTTTTAGTATTTTAGTATTTTAAACATTATTTTAAAATAAGCCAATACATAGCTGTGATACCTTGCTGAGGATTTTGATAACAGTTCTGCTTGCAGAAGTCCTCCATGTTTGCTTCATGAAGCTGGTTAGTTGCAGAGCCAGGGTGTCTGATACTTGCTCCCACTTCAAGCACTGCACCATGTTAATGTGTTCATACTATTTTTAGGACCAGTCTGGAATACTTGCTTGAATATTTCTGTGGGAGTCAGCTTGAAGCTGGCAGGTTTAATATTCCTTGGGGAGGTAAACCAGCAATGAGGTATCTCCATATGACTTTCTTTTGTGCATTTCAAAATATCTGTGGCATGTGTCCTGTCCTCTGCATTATTTACTCTTCTGCTGTCCAGAGCTATCTGGGATAAATTGACAGCATATGTGCAGGCCCTTCACAGCTGTTTAGGGTAGAAAGAAAATAGCTCTTATGCAGTCTGAAATTAGCCATTCATTCTTCAAGGTACGTGTGGCTGTGGTCCCAATGGTGAATTTTTCTTCTTAGGTTCAGGTAGCATTGCTTTAATCAATGTTCTTCCATAGAAGATAGCCAGTGAATTAATTGTAAAAGGTATCTTTTTTTTTTTTCCCTCTTCATTTAAATTGGGAGATTTCTCCAATGCTAACTTGTCAGTTAGGATGCAACTGTGGAGTAGTATTTCTATTACTGCTTATTTGGAAGATCATATCCCTTATCATATGTTATTTTAAGGTAGCAAATCATAAATGCTGACATAAAAATTGAGGTAAAACATTTGTTAGAGACAAGCTAATGGTTTGCCAGAGAGCTTTAATATACTGTGATTAGTAGTTTGCATGTGTAGAATGGAAGTTTGTGGAATGTGCATCATAATTATGCCTGGAGTGAAGAAAAAGAAATAATCAAAGTAACATAAGTTTAGATGATGTTTTAAATTTATTTATTCTAAAGTTCAGAGTTCTGATGTTAAGGGAATGATAAGCTGAGGCCACAAAACTCCATTGTATTTTAGAAAGTTTGTAATTTTGAAATTCTAAGGAATTTTTCCACATTTTGATTCCTCAGAAAAAGAAGGAAGAGCAACAGCAACACAGGACTGAATCTCGATGGTTTTACTGTACGGGCAAACACTTCATACACTACGAAGGTCTGCATCACAAAGTACTGTAGCTCTCTTTTGATAGTTGCACAAACAAAACCTTAAACTCCTGCTGAAATATTAGGTAATCTGAGGAAAAGTGGCACCTCAGTCATGCTGATGGAAAACCAAAATCTAGCACATGGAGAGTTCTTAGTGATATTGGAAGTATTATTTCTTTCTAAAAGCTCTAGATATGAGGTCAATGAACAAGGGTGGTTGTGTCTGTATTCATGTATGGGTTACTTCTGGAGGAGATTGCAGAGTGTAACTTGACCGTGCCATGCTAAAACTGGAAGAGAGCAAGAGTTTACCTTAAACTGCTAGTTGTTGTAGAATCATTCCTACATTTACTGCTCTGCCAATGATTGTTGCTCCGTTGTTTAGTTCTAACTGTCATCGTCTTTAGTGTCAAATAAGGGTGACCCGAATCAAGGTGGCTGTGATTCTGTACTTTCAAAAAGGATTTTGTTGTTTGGAAGTACAAATAGGCAGCAGTGCTAATGTAAATGGTACAATTAAAACAGTGATATCAGAGGCTGGGTTGTCCACTTCTCTTCCCTTATGTTGTCTTTAGAGTGCAAGTTAAACCATTATGTTTTGCATTCTTTTGGTTGGGCTGGGCAAGAAGAACGACCCCAGCTGTATTTTTCATTTAAGTATTTTGTTTGTCTATTTCTCACTTTTATTGCCCTTTGTGTTTTCCTCCCTGACCCAGTACCTCAGCTGCATGGTTAAAGCAGTGTGGGTCCAGCATCCAGAGCTTCAGGACTGTGGCATTTCAACTATAAATGCTAATAATATGTGAAATACAGATTTCTCCAACACTGTATTTTTATTATGCCACCTGACTGCTATTTTATCTAAATTGATTCTTAAATGTTTTTATCATGAAGGGCTAGTTGATGTGTGTTTATGGGAGCCTTTATTTTGGCATTTGTGCAGTTGGTTTTGGTAATTCACACCTACTTTTAAAACAAGTTCCAGCCTGAAAGGGAAAGCTGAACAGGGTTGTCTTTGCTTAAAGTTCCCGCCTTTCTTGATACTGCAAAGGTCTGGAGAACATGATGCTTTGGAGCAGAGGAGTAAAAATGTATTCAGCATTGCAACTAGATTGTATAATTAGTAAACAGCTAAGCAGCTAGAAATGAGTAAGTATTGATCATTTCACTTAAAATGAGTTGGTTTTGTCTTGTTGGAGAATAAACTCAGTATGTATTGGAATCTACCAAAGTAGAAATTGTGTTATTTTTGAAGCAGTAGAATGTGTGTAGGCAGCAAGCGTGGAAAATTCAGTTATCCACTAATATGTTCAGTCCTTCAGATTATTCCAAGCTAGCAAATATTCACGCGACAAAGGGAATATGGGTTGTTGTGGAAACACTACATCTACCTTTGGTTTCCTCCTCTAAGATTATGCTTTAAAGGAGAGATTCTGAATTCCGTGGCCACTCCTTCCACAGAATGCCACAGAAGTTTTTGTTTCATTTTAATATGCATTTTCATCACCAGTCCAAGAATGAAGAAAACATACATTTATTTATGTTATTAAAAAAAAAAAAATCTAATTCCTTGTTCTGCAATGGCCCTACATGTAAAGACTATAATGAAGGGCACAGGAAAGACTGTAGAAGATCATAATGAATAACAGGGTAGTATGTTGCTTTCTGTAATGATACACGTGGCTCTCAAAACACAGTTTCTAATAAGCCTTCTATTTAGACTCGACTGTATGAAAGGACTCACAATTTCTTCCCTACTGTTACACATCAAAATAATTTCCAAAATATTTCAAGTGCAAAAGTGGCTTTGACTTATCTTAAAATGCAGAGAGGATATTGAGAAATGATTTGCATACAGGGTTACATATGTGATCTGTGACATGAGGAATGGAGTTACAAGTACACAGTCTCCGAGGTCTACAGTGAATGTTTTTGGTATTGGGTTTTACATGTAGTAGCAATGGCCAAAATAGAGAACAGGGCATATTTCCTTGGCTTGCTGAAAAGGGGCAGCAAACTATTCTGCTCTGCTGGCCTTGCCAGAGTCTTGACAAGACCAAGCTGCCCTTTATTTCGTGTTGCTGGGTCATGCTTTAACATGCTTTAACAGTTGAGAACCCTGAGGGTGCTGGCTTTCACATACAGCAACAGCTGCTTAATTTGTGCTAATCATTTTGGAGATTGCATTTGTATTTTATGTGCTTCTTGGAAGTTTATCTTTGTTGCCAAATAATCAGAGCAGTTGGTAGATATGGGAAAGAAAAGGTTGTCAGAACATGAGATTGTGTTTTTTCCTAAAAAGCTGTGCGAATCAGACCTTTTCTTTCAGGGGAATTCTAGCTGCTTGTGTAAAAGATGAAGCTTGGTACGTAAAATATCTAAAGATTCAGAGTTCCCTGTGGAGCAGAATTCATGGCTTTAAGCTGCGAAACAGGCTTTAAGGTAGATTCCTATTTCTGAGTATGTGGAGTACTCTGAACATCATTCATGAAGTTGTTCAGACATCTGTTTACATCTTTTATAGGTGTATGGACTGTGTTACCTCAAAGTGGATGTTTAAGACAAGGGAACCAGCGTTTTATGACCCTGACTGGGGATTGCCCTTTTCCCTCCAGGCCAAGAGAAATAACTGAAAATTACAAATAGTTCAACTGAAAATAAATTACAGGTCTTACCTCTGTAACACTTTTTTAGACACGCCTCATGTCATTTTTTTGAGCCCTGACTTAAACATTTCTATAAAAGACAGTGATCCATAGGTTTGTGCCTAGAGACTTAAGCTTTAGAATTGTATTTGGTTGCATGATTCTGCAACTGATAGCTTTATGGAAAAATCGCAGTGCATTGGACTGTACTTTTTGATACTGAGGTTTAATTTTCATCTCTGCAGTGGACTTTTTGAATGAACATCTTGTGTCTTCTAATAATAGTTCACAAACTGTTGAGAGGTTAATTTACCCATTTTTCTGGGACTCTTCAGTGCTTCAGGCTGTTGAGAGATCTCTGNGGCTATGAATCATTCCCAGTTGTACATGAGAGTCCTGGAACTCCTAAATTCAGTTGTAGGAATATTGGCTGTGAGTTCTTTTTCCTGATTTGAAGTGTCAAATCAATATAGTTTGGATTTTCAAAGATACTGTTATGAATTGTGATTTTTTTCCCCCAATATTTTCATGGGGAAAAAAGTTCTTTATTATTAATAAGACATGTAGTTACACCAAATATTCCTTCCAGACACTTAAAATGGGAGTAGATGACAAGATATATGAAGGAAAAATATGGTAGTCTCTACCTAGTTCTGTGCAGTTATAGCACTGTTTGGCTAAGTCAGTATAAAAGTGAATTGTCTATCAAGGCAAAAGAAGTGAGTTTACTTTTCTAATATATATATTATGTGTATTTCAGTTTAGTTAGATTTTTTTCTCTGTTCTCATGGAAGTTAGTAACTGCACTCTTTAAATCTATTTTAAGTAGCTTCCCTTGAGCATTTTACATTTCCCTGATTAAATTTAAGATATGACTCTTGAGTGAAGAATAATAAGAAAATGATTTTTTGTTGCCCATTTAAACATTGCTCTGAAAACTTAACTGTAACTCAGAAGTGATTGTTAGTTAGTGTTTTGAACTAATAACTTAGTTATTGTTAGTGTTTTGAACTTTGTGTTAGTGTTTTGAACTTTGTCTTAATACTTTGTCTATTAATACTTTGTCTATTAAGTATTAATACTTAATACTTAAACTTAGTCCCATAATGAAAGCAGCTTACATTACTAATGAAAACCCTGCATAATCAATAGTCAAAGTTATGAAAATGTTTAGGCACAGCCTGGAATCAAGTGGTGACAATTAAGAGTTGAACTGTTCTCACTGAGGGGGTGAATAATGTTCTTTTTTTGTTTTACCCCACCATTTTCTATTTACTGTTCTCTCTCTCTCTGCTCTGAACTTTGTGCTTCATTATAGGGCTTCTGGGAATGCTGCCAGCGAGATGCTCCTGATTGATGGTTCTGAAGCCAAAATTCAGGGCTCTTACAATGTCTGCCAGCTTTGGCATTGCTGCCTCCTGGGATTGCTTTCAATTTGTATCATCCTACAGCAGGCTGTAAACTCGTCTGCTTCCTGTTGTCCAGGAGTTTATTGCAGACCTCAGAGTAGCAGCAGATTAGTGGCATGCATGAAGAAAGAGGTACTCAGGAACTGAAAGTCAGCTGCAGAGTCCTATGGGGCTTGGACTTCAGGTAGTAACTTCAACATGTCAGTCTGGATTAGATGTGGGCTAGAGCTGGCTGGAGAATGTAAAATGATTTTGTGTTAGAGGAGACAGTTTAGTTGTGTGCCTTTAGGATTTCCCAGCAGGAAGAAAAGGTAAATAGAAAGTCTAGCAACTGAAAATGAAGGTTGTTCTTGTTGACTGCCTTGCAGGTGTAGTACTAATTAGAAATCATAATGCTCCAAGAATAAATTTTCTGTATTCTTCAGATAGTTTGCTTTGGAAATGAGGACCTCTGTTTTATTATGTGCGTTAAAAAATAAAGACATGAAGAACTAAAATTAAACAGACCCGTTTTGTTTTCCTTTTCTTGTAGTTTTAAGATTATGAACATTTAAACTGTTAAACTTTTCTGCCAGAAAGTGGTATGTAAACTACAGTAAACTTGAAAAAGAAATACCACTAAACCTATAGGCCTGTCTCTTCTGTCCAGTTAGCAATTAAAGAACAGCACTAACTGGTAAGAGTAAAATGTTAATAAAAGGTTGATCTAAATCTCCTGAATAACCAGTGGGCTTTACAGTTGAACAGCAACAGGGTCAGTAGAAAGTGAGTTGAAACTGGGTGTGCATTTATTTCCTCTTTGGCAAAGGGATATGAAACCTGGCAGAGGTTCGTTGCTGGGGGTCAGTTGAGTAGGTTTTGTCCAAGCATTTTATGTTGTGTAAGGCTGCTTGTGTGGCATTGTGTGTGTCAGACAAGGATGATAATGGCTTTCAGGTCTTTCACTAGAAACAATCCAAATAAATCTCAGATAATTTGTAGTTACTCCTCAGAAGTGACTGGTAGTGGCTCCAGGCATAAGTGCCTAAGTGATGGCTAAGTTGTTCGTGAGGATCAAAATTTAATCAGAATACTAACATTTCTGTATTAATTAAACTTCCCAGTAAAAACATGACCAGTGTTACCTTCAGAAGCTTCCAGGAACCTGAACTGTGATGTTCATGCTTTATTTGACAGTGTTTCTGAGGACCAGAAGAGTAAAAAATAACGTGTCATCTCTTCTTCTTCCCTCCCCCCATAAGCTAAATTTTATCTTTGTGAATGCATTGTTCAGTTCCTGACTTTTTCCCTCCAGCAATGCATTCTGTAAGTGCAGCTTTCTGCATTCGTTTGTTTTAGTGCATAGTTTAGCTTGTCGTTTTTCTGTAGTGTTAAATGATTGTGAGTAGATTATAAACATGGTAATATAACTTCTGTAGTTTCATTCAAGTATTTAATATTTTAATATCCTACTCTGTCTTTATTTTTTAAAATCTTTTTATTTCATAGCTACTTAGTTTTACCTTCAGATTTTCATAGTTTAAACATTTAAAAATAGAAATACATATCTTATATTTTTATATATATGTACATGTATATATATATATACATGGCTAATTTTATCCAATGTAAAGGCAGCAACCTGAGTTGTTTCAGGTGTACTTACATAACCAATTTTCCTTTCGAATTATTTTTTCAAGATGCTTTCTTCAGTGTAGCTATCTTGGGAGGTTAGTTTGTAACTAAAGAAAAAAAATAATCCTCAAACATGAACAGTCATCCCTGTGTCCTTCCACTGTACGCTAGTGGAATGCCAAGTTTGCATTTAAAAGTAAAAAATCCTGAAGACATTTTTTAGCCAGTATATTTTTCAGAACATGTGTTTAATACCTGTTTTATAACGTGTGTTGCTGATATTCAGAAATTATTTCCTCAAAATATCTTGTTTTCTGCCCACGGATATGAAGCACAGGCCTGAAAAAGGTCAGAAAATATTCTCAAAACAGTGTAGCTTCTTAGCAATTTAAATACGAGTTTGTATTTCTTCATCTTAAATATTAATACTAGTAATATCATAAACCCTCTTGCATCTCATGGAACAGCAAGATTACTGGGTCAAAAGGATGTGTTTTCTTCCTTACAGGCATTACACCTTAATGAAAGCTTCTGCTGAAGTGCGTCTTGCATATTTATTGACATTTCTTCAAGGAATGCTTCTTTCCCTGAGACTATCAACTTATTATGAAGAATTTGGCACCCACTATGATTTAGTCAGTATAAAACATTTGAGAACATGATTATGAATATCTTTGACAAACAGAAATTTTCATACTTCTAGTGGAAAAAGTATTTCACTTATCTCAGATTTTATGCAACTTCTGGGGAAAGAAGGCTCTTAGTCTCAGACCTATTGCACTACTGTAATATAAAAGGGCAATAAGATATATGGCTTAATTCCTTTTTCACTTTCAATATATGAAACACATGTATTGAAACATGCAGTTTGCACCACATTTTTTGTGCTATAAAGAAGTAATAGTTTTGATTCCTTTTTTCTGCACATAGCACAGCCTAGCAGAGGATCTTATTGGTTAGTACGTGGTGTGCTTTCATGGTGCAGTTAAATATTTGCATTGCAAGTTAAGTGTATTGTAGCAATCTACAAATGCGACTACAGTTCCTGATCCGTTTAAGTGTATCTGCTAAGTAATGTAGCCTGTTCCCGACTGCAAATAATGTGCTTATCTACGTTGTGTTTAATTTATCTGTAATTTATCCTATTAGATAAGATTTGTGTTGCTATTGGAAAGCTATTCTAGAAAAGGCCATGTGGATTTAAGAAATTGATATCTTACCTGTTTGGTGTGTTTAGACAACACAAAACGCTGAGCTCCTGTGAAAATAGTTTCACCAAGACCTACTGTGGAAATTCGTTTTGAGTGTGAATAGTGATGCAGAGCTGTGTGCAACAGCTAAAAAGTTCTTGCTTTCTAGAGGCTTGTGTGGATTTTCTCTGTTAAAAAGCATTGTTCAAGGTTATAAGCAGGATAAGTAACTCTGTGGTCTTCAAGGTGATTAGAGGTTCTTGAGGCCTTGCAGGGCAGCTGAAGCCTTGGAACACTGAGTTTGCAGTCACCTGTGGGAGGATCAGATGATGACCAACAAAATTAATGTTGAGTTATCCTTTATTACCTTGAGCAATATTCCAACTGGTTTTCTTAATTGTAGCTACTGCTTCAGTTGTGCACAAGTTAGGTCTATCCTAACATTTGCAATAAAACAGCATGTGGGTACAAATAAACTGCGCCACCTCATGCACATGCTGACTTGACCCATTTTTCACTACAAACATTACTACTACTACCAGCACCTCCCCATAGCAACACCATGGAAGTTGTCATCCCATGAACCACCCCAGGGGTGATGTAGAGGTGTCTGCACTGATGGTTGCCATCAGCTAATACCTCTCTAGGGATGATTTGGCCAATGTGGATCTGGGTCCATATGTGTAGCTTCCCCCTGCAAAGACTGAAGGCAGAGTCCTACCTCTTTGCTGCTCAGTAGTCAGCAATGCCAGTGTCTTCAAAGGAACTTCCCTAATACTGGCCTGCTGCAACTTGTGCATTGCACAGCTTGCTTAATCAGATTTTTTTTTTGGTAAATTGAGTTGTTACGCTGCCTGTTTCATCTATGGACCTCACAGCTCAACCATAAGTTTTGTTTCTCTCCAGTCATCTTGAAGCCACAGTTCAGATGCTCGTTGCAGGCTGTTAAAGTGCCACAGCGAGACTGTGCAAACTCCACCACAAATCTGAGACTTGCATTTAAGATTAATATCTTGTTCAGTTACCAAGTGAGAAGCACTGGTACATATTTTTGTTGCAACAGCTGCTGTGTTTTTCAGCCTGTAGTGTGAGATGGAGTGTATATGCTACCCAGGGGCGCCTGTATATGGGAAATACAAAAGAATCAGTCTTCACTGAGAAATGGATAGTGATCCGCAAATGAGAAGGAATTGAAAATGATTGCTGCAGATCTCACCTGTGTGCCATTTACAGTGATAGTTTGAGAGCTAATGACAGTGTCTTGCTGCAGAAGTTTCTCACCATTTTTGATGCTGATCTTAAGAAAGTCGGAGATCCAGTTTGGTTTGTTGTTTTTTTTTTTTGAGGCAAATATTTGATATACACTCGCAACAATTGTTAGGAAGCTTGATGTGTGACATTGCATGAGTCTTTTGATAAATTGTAAACAGTGTCAAAAGCAGGCATACCCTGGAGGCTTGCTCTTTGTAGTCATGGTTCTAGCACAGGTTCAGGATAGGTCTCAGGCTCTTCCATAAATACAGAGATCCTTGTATAATTGTTTCCTTGTATCCAGCTGCTTCATGTGTTTTTATTTGGATGGTCTTTATACTTCTAGCTATGTTTTTCCTTGGTGCCTTTTGTCAGCTATGCCTCGTTAGCCATAAGCAGATTTTCTTTGCAGCTGCAACGAGTAAACAGTCTCCAGGAACATGGATAGTGTGTATGTTGTGTGCTGCCACATCTCAGTGTGAGGGTTAATTCCTCACAGGTGTCACTGGGGATCTGTGGTCTCTGCCTGACTCCTTGACCTGTGCCTTCCTGTCAGTTCCCTATGGAAAACCTTCCTTTTCCTTTCTTGTTATCTCTGTCACCTGAGGAACCATACATCGATTGAAAACAGAAGCTGGAAGGCATCACAGCAGAGCATCTGGTCCAAGCCTTGGCCCCGCTTAGAGAAGTGATGACTTTCTGACCAGGTTGCTCAGAATGGAAACATTTATGTCCCAGACCAGAATCTGTGTTGTTCCACTCAAAAATGTACATGCTTATCTCTCCAAAACAAAAATAAGTTGTAATTCACCTCTTTCATCTAGGATAGAACAGCAAATCTTTTTTCTTTTTCCCTCACCATATTTTGAGACAAAAATAACTGGGCCTATTGCAGTGAATATGAGAGTGCTCTTCAATAAAACTGTATTGCTGTGAAAGCTGCATTAAGAGTAATACATATGCTGCTTTGTAATTGAATTATTTGGCTGATGTGGTACCTCAATTTTTATAGTCTGATATGACTACTGCATGCTGGGACTGAAGCTGTGTCAAGTAAAAATACAGGAGATAAGACTGTAGCTAGTTGAGTTATATATACTGAAACTGTTTCCTAAAGCATCAATAAAATTGTAGGCAACTGAGGCTTTACTTAATGTGGAACTTTTTAGCCAGACAAGCCCTGTAAGTGGCAGGGGCAATTACTGAGTGTGCAACTCCAAGCCCACGCACTTCTGGGCTGTGTGAGGTTGTTAGGTGGCAAAAATGGGGTGAACTTATGAATATGTTGTTCTTAAAGGTGCAAAATTTACCTGTAACATTTCTGCCTACATAATAGGGAATTATATTAAGAGATAGCTAATTTTGCTTTAAATGTGAGAGTATGTTATATCTGTAAGTAGTTTATTTGTGTATTTGTAGTACTGCTGTCATCTGAAATGCGTGGACTGAATTACAGTTCTTTTACTGTTCTTTGCCAGCTTTTGAACTGGAACTCTTAAGAATCATATATAAGTTATTATATTATTGCTGAAACTTTACATACGTTACTGATATACTTTCTCTTTTTAGGTGTCTTGGCTTTTTAGTCCAGCAAGAAGTGAAATAACAAGTCTAGATAGTGGAAACATAGATGACATTTTAAGTAAGTACTTTGAATAATTTTTTTCTTTATAGGTCTGCAGTTATTGTGTGAATATGTGTGAATATTGGAGTGTTATTAAATGAATATGCATACCCTAGCTTTGAATATATGAGTTGCAATTGGCTTAGAAATATTAAATGCCTGTGGTCAAAATTAGCTGTCTGAACTAATATCTTGCAAGGAGAATTTGAAGTGTCTTAAGAAAAATAACTGGTATCAGGTTTGCAGATGGGAATTCTTGATTACATAACCAAAACCTGTCCAGAGGGCATTTTAAAAGTTCCCCCCAAAAAACAGCAGCAACTGAAAACCATGGTGATGGGCCTTAAGTATCTTGCTTATTCAGCTGTGCTTTTCCTCAGGTTAAGCATTGTGCTGATTCTGGTGGCTCATAGAAAGGAGATCCCTAATTAAACAGATGTGTATTCCTTGTCTGAAACCTTTTCCTTTGAAAAATATGCAATTTGCCTTTGCAAGTCTTTGCAGGAAAAAAGTTTTGACGTTGTTTCAAATGCATCAAGGGAAAAAACCCTCTTTATTCTCTTTTATTAAAGTCTCTTCTATAATCTGTCTAATGTTACAGGAGTACTTTGTAGCATGTGATCTGTTTGTAAGTACCTTCTATGCAGTGGAAAATATAAAATCACTTTATAAAATGTTATTCATAAAAGGGAATATATCCAGGTGTAACTACTTTTAAAATGTATCAGATTGCTTTCAATAAATACTTTATGTCTTGGAGGTAACCCTAAACTTGTCAGTGCTTGTTAATTACCTGTTAACCACTTGCATTCCTTGCCGATAATGAAAATCTTAACACTGTAATTCTAATCAAAACTGTAGTGCTGCTCCCCAGCCTTCACAAAAGTGTCTTTACCAGCATAGTATCATCTCCAGGCTTTCAACATCTTAATCTTCACATGTAACTGCTCTGCAACTTTGTCAATTTTCTGCTTTGTCAGCATTTCTGCTTTATAAAGCTGTGAGCAATACTCTATAGTTTCAGAATGTATTTCAATTTTTTTCAATGTCTAGGCCACTACTACTACTAAAAATCAATTTAAAGCATAGTTGTTATATTGTGTAAAGATCATAGTTTATTTTCAGGCAGGAGATTTACCCTTTTTTGGTGTATTTTGTTTTTTTTTTTTTGGTATGTGAAAAGTAATGCGTGAGAACATTATTTCATTACCTCATCACATGTGTCCCTGTGGTATTGCACTTTTTTTGAGTGTCTCTTAGTATTTTTCGTTTTTTGGGGGACTGAAGATTTCTTTGCTACCTTTTGCCTTAGTATCCTTCTTAGAAAATAAGACAGGTAAGGACTGACCAGAGTAAGTTGTGCAGGCAGTCTGCCTGTTGGTCAATCTCCTAACCCCAAGAGTTGAGATTTCGGCTTTTAACTGTTTTTTAACACTTAGGAGTAATAGAGCTAATGCTTAAGAGATACACTGAAGTACTATTTCTGAATGTGAGTACCTTAATTTTAAATCCAGAATTGCTTTTTATTTCATGTGTCACTTAATTCCTTCTTTTGTGTCTTAATACTTTAAGAGTTTACATTTTTAATATATCGATAAAGTCAATAGAACACTTGACTGAAGGCCTCTTTCATCACTCTTCCATTTGTTATAGATTATATTTCAGAAAAGATTTATCCTAGCAGTTTTCTAGCAATCAGACTAAGCTATATGCTGAATAATGTAGAAATACTTGCTTTTATAGTTTTTTGTGCGTATTTTTATAATCTCAGATAAAAGAACTAAGAAGTTGCCTCTCAATGTGACATTGGGTTTTTTCTTTTTCTTTCCTCTCAGACAATGCAGATGTTGCTTTAGTTAATTTTTATGCTGATTGGTAAGTTATATTTTTTTTCTAAAAACTCTTTTTTTAAAACTCTGTCTACTGAAAACTGTCATGTTTGGCTATAGTTTTCTAATTGAAAATATAGTAGTATGTTGCTGTCAAACCAGTTCTTTCCTGGGTTTATGTCCTGATTGCTTCCACTTCTACAGTTCTTCCATCCTATGTTTCGTTTAGGACTCCTAGCAGAAGAAAAAATTGGAATAATTTAGACTCTCCATTTTCTTCTGTGTTGGTCCCATACGTTTGTGCTAGAAAAAAAAGACTTGACACAAAAAATCAATTGTTTTTCTAGTTTGTAATTTTCTCATTTGTAAGAGCTTGCAAAAGAGTTTGCAAGGGGAGAACTAGAGAAATTATAATTGAGAGACGAAATCTGAGCAACTGTAAAACGAAGGAATTTGGGGCTGAACTGGTTAGACCTTGTGAATGACATACTTAGAAGGAACTGTTTACTTGAAATTATATTTAAAAAAAAACCAACTTGCATCCTGAATCATTGTTAGAATTAATTTAAGCAATGTACTCCTGTGAAATGTCTCCTTTTTAATGATAGTGCAACGAAGTAACTAGTTAAGTAAGAAACTGCACCTAATCTCTTACCAGTTTTGTATAGAATTATCCTATAGAGGCTATCTTTTAAAATCTGTAAATAAAACTTTTAATTTTCAATTTGTGATCTGCAGATACTTGGTGAATCATGGACTACTTCTAAAGTGCTATCTTTTCTTAAAGATAAGCAGGGAAGGCAAACCTATGGAGAGTAAATTTAATACACTGAAATTTGAGGTCTGCGTTGCCATTCAAAAATGATTTTTGGATTTTGCAAATGACAAACTGTAGAAAGGTAGCTAAATACCTATGTTCTGATACTTCTGTCATAAAGAGAAGATAAAAATATTTTAAAATTTGATATAGCCAGGTAACAAGTATCCTGTTTTAGGACCTTATTAGCACAGTTCCTTCTCCAAACCCCCGCTGTTATCAGATCCTCTGTAGAATAGATGCACTGTGAATTTAAAGATTTGTATATGCCTGCAAGTTGATTCATGGTATAGGAGGCTGTAATTTTAGAACGTTACAGCCTTAATTACGATCATTACGTGTAGGCATTCAGGAATAACCTCTCACCATAGCAGACTGAGATGTACCTGACTTTTGAATGAGAACTGATGAGTTTCAGTCATGTACTCTGCTGTAAGGGTGGAGAAGAATGAGGGACAGGGAAGCCATATGTAACATATACATGCTACTTAAATGTGTAGCATATAGTTGTGCTACCCAGAGTCAGGTTTTTCTGCAGAATGGACTTAAGCTCTGTTTGTATTTTGAGAGCAAAACTTGCCTCTTCACTTGGAAGTTTTCTGTGTCAGGCACAGTGGCATCCCCAACCTGATGCCGTTAAGTTTCAGATGGGCTTCAGTGCAGGCTGGTTTATTGCAAGTCTGCTCCATGAGGTCTCATTCTGACAACTTCTGCAGTGCCATTATGCATCTTCAATTTGAAATTCTTTCATGAGTTTAGAAGGACAGAATTATTATAAATTATCATAAAATAATTTCACTGATGTATTAAAAATGGGCTTGTGCATTAGTGTTAACCCCTAAACTCCCTAAAGCCACTGAAGCATGTTTACAATCCTACAGCCTGGGCAAAAAGAAAATTTGCTTCAAAGTCTGACATGACTAAAAGAAGGGACCCATAGGGTTCTCTTTTTCTCAGTGCTGAAAAAGCAGTCTACTCAAATTCTACTGAACTTGAACGATAATATTATACACAACACTTAGAACTTCTATTGTTGACCTTCCTGAAGGTGATGGTGAATATTTGAAACTCAACAGTCTTAAGTATCTTCCTTTACTGCATTTTTATAATTACTTTCCCAAGGCTAATTCAGGCAGGAAAAAAATGAACAATATACTTTCTGAATAGAATATATTTCATAAAGGCTTATAATTGATTAATGGTGTTTCTAAGCAGATAAAGCAGGGAAGCATATCTTGAACTCTGTATTCATTTAGAATTACTTTTTTCGGCACCCGAATTATTCAAGTTACTTTTGAATCTATTTTTATCCAGACATTTACTGGAATTGTTAGAGGTAGATGTGATTTTTTTCAGTAACTCTTCTTTCTTTTTTTTCTTTTTCCTTCAAAGATTGAAATATTCCATTAGTCATCAAAATATTTCAAATTAGTATTTCAAAGTTATGATTTTCTGTTCTATTTACAGGTGCCGCTTCAGCCAAATGCTGCATCCTATTTTTGAGGAAGCTTCTAACGTAATTAAGGAAGAGTATCCAGATAAGAATCAAGTGGTGTTTGCTAGAGTAGACTGTGATCAGCATTGTAAGTAAATAATGATTTAGGTTTTTCCTATGCTAACCTGCTACTAAGTTACTAATTGTATTGAAGAGTATACTGTATAGCAATCTAAAGTGTAGTTGTACCTGCCCCATCATTTGGCCCAGAGCTGTTTTTGTTACATCAGTGAACCTCTTCTTCCATATTTGTCAGGGCAATTTCCAGTGTTGCTTTCTCATTGCATCCATAAATATGCTCTGCTCGGGTCTTCCTTCTGCCTTGGAGTCTTGGTGAGCTGTGAGTTGCCTTTCACAGAGCCAGGCAGGGATCAGGGCTTTGCTTTGCTGTTAGTACACATGCCAGCAAATGGTTGCCAATTTGGGCTTTTCCCATGGACAGAAACACATGTTCCTGAGACTTACTGTTGGCCTAATAGTTGTGGTTTAGTGCTCTGTTACAAAAACTCTGAAGAGAGAACCTTATGGGACAGGATAAAAATGTCAATTGCATAGCTATGCAAAATAGCTGCTTTGGTTTACATTTGTCTTTCCCATTTAGACAATTGAACTTTTTGATGTTGGAAAGGATTTTTCTCTCTTGTGTCTTGGTTCTTACTTGCAGATTTAAAAGTCAGTAAGTCCACTTGAACATCTTCCAATGGCACTATTTTGTGCTCTATTTTGTATACACGCACATAGTTGCTCAGCAATTAAGAGCTTTGTGATCTTGAAAGAGATTTCAAGTATAAAAAAAATCAAAACAAACTTCTAAGGGAACAAACAGTATCAACTCAGTATCTAACATGTAAAATAAATTGATTCTTCAAACTGTCAGGAGTGGCCAAAAAAGATCACTTCCCAAAGATCAGTAAGACCAATTCATAACCACCAGAAACTTAAATGCCTCTGGGGTTTATAAATCTGTGGCTCACTTGGATGTAGGACCCTCCTTATAGCCTCAGCTGGAAAAGAGGCACAGCAGTATTCACCAAGGTATGTGAGGAGCCTTGAAGCTTTCAGCTGCCTTCCTACATTGTAATGGTTGGGATGTGTTGAGGAACTGATACAAAATTTTTAACACAGGTGTTCTTGAAGAGCAGCTTATTAAACAGAGGATTGCAGAATCTCCTCCTCTGAACAGGTCTAGTGCCTTGAATGCAGTGTGGAACAGTGCACTTCTGGAACTGCCTGGAGCATTTCCAGAGCAGCAGCAGAATGGAGTGGCGTAGCTGTACTTGATGTACTTCACAAGATATGCTTTAGTTTCCTTGACTTATGAGTCTAATAGTATTTTTTTCTTTGTCATTATAGTGTTGTGTGTGTTAAATGAGTGTTTTTCTATCTCCTTTCTGAACAGCCTTTTCTAGAATCATGGAGGTTTTGGGGGTTGGTGGGGGCTTTTTTATTTGTTTTGTAGTTTTTATAGGGGAGTGGGGTTGTTTGTTTGAGGTTTTTTTCCATTTTTTTGACCTGATCTCAAAATTGAGATCTCCCAGATCTCAAATACTTAACTACACTTTTAGCTTCTTTATTTTTCACACTTGGTGTTCTCTGCTGCTTCCAGTCACCCACCGTCTATGTGGTGTATGCTTGGGAGATCTTAACCAAAAGCATAGCATTAAGTATTCAGATTTGCCATCCTTAAAAGTCAGTTTTCAAGTAAGGCAATGAAATCCTCTGGGGGAATATATTGAAGGCAAAGCCTGATATGTGGTCTTTGGTGGAGTTTTCTTACAGAGCTTTTTGTCTGTCTTTGCTCTGATATCTGCTGCAGGATCTGCATAAATAATCTGCCCCTGTTCTTTACAATGGTAAAAAATAATGCAGTTACAGCAAGCATTTTAGCAGCCTGTGTTTTTGTTAAGATTTATAATAACTGCTGAAGTCCTTATTTTTGTTTGCTGTAGCTTTAGTTGCTTGAGTAACTCAGAGAGTCTTTGGGCTGCCGGATGCCCAGTGTTTAGCCATGAGATCACAGAATTGCAGAATATGCTGAGTTGGAAGGGACCTACAAGGATCATCGAGTCTTGTCTTAGCAGTTATGTAGATAAGAAAACTTTTTTTTTCCCCTCCAGGTGTTTGAAACGCTTAAGGAACTTGTTGCGTAATCTTCTCATATGCTCATTGAATTAAGCTCATCGGAGCTCGTTATGGAGAGCTAAGGCCTAGCTGGAGGAGGAGACACTACAGCAGAAATTGTCTTCCTTTCCCTGGGAGTAGGTGTAGTGGGCTAAGTAGTAGGAGGCAGCCAGGAGTTTTGGTCTTTCTTTTTTTTTGCTGGAATACCATAAATTCTCTGTATCTGCCCTTTCTGTTTTTACTGTAAGAAGTGGTTTCTTCTGCTGCAGAAGCTGTAAAATGTGAGAAGTAAAAATAAAATCCTTTAATGACAGGCAATTTACATTCCCTTTTTGAATTAAAATAGCAACGCTGTATGTCATTCCTAGTTTCTAGTATTTATTTGCTGGGTTGTAAACAATGGTACATTTCATGACACACAGTTATTGGGTATGTCCTAAAGTTTTAAGTATTTTCACTTTGATTTTAGTGTATGCAGCTTTCTATTAAGAGAGTGAATGTTACCGTATTATCCAGCTTGGGCCTGCTGTAGTATTTTACTGAATGTTGGAGTCAAGATTGTTAGTGATTTGGGTTTTTTTTCCCTAAGCTTTATATTTTTGTATGTGTTTATATATTTTAGCAATACTAGAAGGTTTATGTCAATATTTTGGGGTTTTGTTATGCCCGCAGGTTTCATACCACTAGTAGTTCACTATTAGAGTGATGTTCTAGAGATGGTGGATTATTTGCATTACAAATGATCTGTTTCTTTTTGAGGCCAAGACACTGTAGGGAATCGAAATAGCTGATTTCAGGCCACTCAAAAACAGCTTTCAGAATGGTCAGCCAGGCATAGATACTTTCCATTTAATGTACTATTATTGAAGCACACTGTGGAGCCCAGCAGCTCACACCAGCTTCTGAGGGTAAAGCAAATTAAAGAGAATTATTGATGCACTACCAAATGTTTGATGCTTAATGACAAAACCATCATTCTATCTGCTTTTATAGCCATATAAAGATGTTTTTCTGGAAGGTGCTAGGCCCCATGAGATTGAATACAAATTATAAATATTAACACTATATTAAGCTTCTGTATGTGTTATGTTTTATACCAGTTTATAATATGGTAGAAAATAACTATAACTGAAATGTGTAAGTTAAGACATCAGGCTGTTTTTAACGTGGTGTGGAACATACACTAAAGGTAATCCAATGAAACAGGTAATTGAAGCAGGTACTTTAGTTTCCAAGACCTTATCCCTTTATAACTTAAAACTGTCTAAGTTCCATGACATTGTGTGCTCTTAAAGTCTTTGTTGGTTTAGGTATGTTCAATTTAGTAATTCACTTACCTTAAAAATTATGCACTTCTCTTCTAACTATAATAAGTAATAAAAGTGATCTTCCATATAAAATTACAGATCTTTCTGCATATATGTTATTATAGGAGGATTTTGGTTGGTGTTTTTGGTTTTGGGTTTTTTTGATTGGTTGGTGTTTTTTGTATTTTTTTCCTCGCTTGTGGGGTTTTTTATCCTTTGTGTTAAGCAGTGATGTTGGAAACTCACTCGTTTCTGTTCTTTGTGAGTGAATGTTGCAATATAGAGCTCATGTTTCTGGAGGAGAGTTTATATTTTGGACAGTTTCTCTGAATTCACATTAGGAGCTGTGGTACAGAATTCTTGTAAGTTAAAGTGTGTGTGTGTGTGTATATATAGGCTGTTTAATTCTATTGCAGCATTATTTCCTTTGGTTTCTGAGTTAAAGGAAAAATAATAGCTAGTTTGAATAAATCTTTGTGCCTCCAAACAGAAAACAAATTCTCACCAACCAGATGTAAAGAGGTGCTTTGCTAGACAGACTGTTTAGGGAACTGTTGTTCTTCCATTCAAAATGTGTCCATGAGTGGTATTTTCATCCACTGCTGTGAGCTGCTGATCTCTGTGGATCTAGCTGTCCCTGCAATGTGTGCTAATGTTAGTCTTCACAGATTAGACTGTATTGGTACTGTGCCTTTGGTAAGCAAAATAACTCAGTAGGTTAACAAATTTGGAAGTTCATAAATGAACTGTAAATGAAACTCTAAACATCCTCTAAGCCGAGGATTTCATTGTGTTCCTGTCACTTTGCTTGGGGAAAAAAAATCAGTCTGAAAGAGTTATCTTTGGATAAAATAAAAAGTGGAAGTGATTTGGAGTGGTTGTGATGGCACTCCTCAGGAAGGCCTTTTTTTAGCTTGTCAGAAAAGGTCATGGGATGCCTTCTGATGAGGCCCTGCTAAGAGCAAGCATGGCTGTTGTGAATGCTCCTTTGCAGCAGAAGGTGGTCTAGGTCTGTTACCTGAGTTTGATATACAGCATTGATTGTTTTTCTTGTACCTGTTTTGGTCCATCATAACAAGTGATACAGGTCACCAGTATCACAGTCATTGGAGTAGGATGCCTAGTTTAGATGGTTTCCCAAGTTCTTTTCTAATTCTACTTCCTGTGCTTATTCTCAGGTCTTATGACTTCTGTGCAAGTGTCATGAGAGGACTAGTTTAACTGGAGATAATTAATGGTGTATTATGGAATGCTTAAAAATAAGGTGAATGTAGGCCTTTTAAGTGAACTTGAGAGAAAAATGGTTGTGGAATAGTAAGTAAAAAGTACCTATCAAAGATTTCATTTCTCATCTGTAGTGTGTCCTGGCAAGTACCCTGAGGGACTTCAAAAGATGTTGATTGATTTCAAGTGAGCAACTAGAATACTCATTTGATAGTCCCAGCTTCAAATATACAGCTGAAGGAATTTGTTAGTTTTGAGATGGAAGGTGTTGCAGAAGGGTGAGAAAGACTTAGGATGATTTGACACACACAAAAAGAATAGTGTTAGATCCAGTAAATTCAAGCTCTCCATATATGCACCTGTGCAACTCCTATAACCATCATGTATAACCAAAGTCAGGAAATGCAGTAGCTTGAGTCTGTGCTAGCTCTTCCTTAAACAACATGAAGTCACCTCCACACATCTCCACCTCCCCCTTAGAAAAAGAGACACCAAATATTTTCAAAAGTTATTTTTACAGGGTTTGAGTTTTGAAACTTTGATTTTCTTCCAGATAACTTTTCAGGCTGTTGTGGTCCTCTGTTCAACATGTGAATTCTTCAGGTGGTGCCTTACATTATGAGGTGGGCATTTAGGATAATTATCGGTATTGTTCAAATCTTAGTGGACATGTTTTTTGGGACCCAGCCCTGTAGACTTAAAATCTAACTATTTGTTTGGTAGTGGTATGAATTATGACCCCGAAAGATTAAAACAGTGTACTGAGTTAATGGTGGGGTGATACCCTGACACTTTGTAAATATTGCCAGTCCTTCAATGGACTTCTTAGGTGCATTGTGGATGAGAGCCTTCTTCAATATAGTGTCTTGGTGTAGTTCTTCAACATATTCTTCACTGTTGGGTTGCAATGGAATTGAGATATAGATGTAGTCTGATATACTAGCTGAACTTTGGACAGCGTGTTGTGGTGTTAACTTAGAACAATGGAGTCTGAAGCATTCGAGGAAACAAGTCACTGGCTGTGTGCTTGCTTAAAGCTGTAGCTTGGGTGATGTGTGTACACACCGTGTGCAAAGCCTGACAGTCCCCAAAAATGGGGTTTGGCATTCCTTTGAGTAGAGGAGCACACAATGCTCAGACAATGGAGAAATGACTGAACAGTACAAGAGACATGCTAAAGATATGGATTACAAATGATAGCTCAGAAAGCATGTTTTCTTAGAGGGTCTTGCTCAGATATGTGCAAGATTGTCTTAGAAAACATGAGTGAAAATGTCAGGTTTCATGTAAAAGTTTCTTTCAAAAGAACAATAAAAGCTGCTGTCTCTTACCTGTTGTAAGAATCGGCTTTGCTCGGGAGAAGTATCAAAACAGTGCATCTGTGAAGAGAAATGAGCAACTGTAAGACATTGCTGTTGGAGTGTGCTAGACTAAATAGTGGGAAAAAAGCCTGGGTGGTGTAGAAATTATTGCATGTCAGCAGTTACACATGGAAAATGGGGAGGAGAGAACAATCTGAATACAGTCATTGCTGTGCTTGAAATTTCTGATTTGTAGAAGAAAAAATGATCAAGCATGTCAGTAGCTTCCTGTCATAACTAATGGGAAACCATTCTGGTAGCACAGGCACTAGACTTGTGATTTAATGATTAATTCAGAAAAGTACAAACACAAGATTTGCTCCTTTTAGGTACCTTAGCACCTGAAGAAAATAAAAAGTCATAAAGTCGTAGCTGGGAGAGGGATTTTTTTGTTTTTAGGGAGATTGCCCTTATCTGTTTCAAATATCTCTTCTCATGAAAAAATGGGCAGTGGGAATGTCTGGAAATATTTTTAAATTTAATTTAGGATTTACTATAACTAATGCAATCTGTGAATGAGTTCAAACAATATTCCATGTATTTGCATTGTGTATTTCCAATTTTAAAAGGAATATAATTTTGTAGTTGCTCTGCTTATGCTAACTCTACCTGTATCAAATGCCAGAGCTTAATGAAGCATTTAAGGTTTACTCTATTTGACTTTTGAATTAATTCAAACAATTTTTCGTGTACTTGCATTTTATATTTTGTAAAAAGATGGTTTTCAAATACTTACTTGTGTAGGAGTGTCATTTCTCTGTGTTAGTTCAAATACCAGCATTCATGGAATCTCAATGTAATTTGTAAAGATCATTCAAGTTCTGACTTATGAAATAATGTTTGAATTCAGTTTTGACAGTGGGCATTTTATTACCATTACATTTTTTATGCAACTTCGGCCCTTGATGAAGATCCACATCCCTAGGGACTGCAATCTCCATCTTGGAGAATGTTCCTGATCCCCTGAATGCCCATTCTGCAACCCTTGCAATCCTCCTATAACTGTTGAAATAACCTGAAGCAAAAGTCCATGTTGTGAAACAGAAAAGCATCATTTTTGGTGCTCTCTTGCTGTGCAGATCTGTAACGGTGCTGGTCTGTAATCTCAACGTGTTCCTGCGAAACCCTGACATGTAGTGCTTCTTGTCCCTTATCAGACTCTGATCAAGTTTTGATCGACTGATGTACTGTCAGACCAAAGGTCCTTCTAATCAGCAGAGAAGGGCAGCAAATGCCTGGTTTGCAGATGATGTTTGTCTTCCACCAAGCAAATATGGAGTGATTCCTCCCCAGCTATATTTGTCAGCTTCTTGCAGGCGGCTCTTAGATACTTTAAATAAAAAGTGGTGGAATCTAAAGGAAGAAAAGATTATTGATCTAATACTCATTAATGCTGAATATATTGGCATCTTCCCATGAGAAATTTGTATTAATTCGAAATAAAAGTACTCTAAATTGAGGACATAAAATATTTTACCCTTAATTTTAACTGTAATTAGTGCATTCAGAAATGCACTTCTGGGGTATTTAGGAAACAGGTTCAAGGCCTTTCTTTCTCTTAGTCAAAATTGATAGGCTGAATTCTGTGTTATTTAGTAGTGATGCAAAGCTTTCTTTAGCTTTTTAGGTGGTGAAGCTTTTAAGTTTACTGTTTTGTGGGATGTTAAAGAACACTTACTCCTTTGCTGTGCACAATTTGTTTTCAGTTCTCAGATTTGTCTAAGTCGTGCAACTTGTACAAAGATTGTTTTCAGTAACTAAAGCTGCAAGTAGGATAAGTAGTTTTCTAGCAGCAATTGCAGCTGCTGATGGTTTCACTGAGAGTTCTCCAGGTAGGAGGGAATTCAGACTTCTATCTCTGTTCTCTTTAAAAAAAGAGTAAGATTAGGATAGAAAGCAAATCTGCTTGTGATAAATATGTAACTGAGAAAGAGGGTCAGAAAGGATTAGTTTTCACATAATTTAGTACTGTGCCAGGTATGCTGATGGTCCCTCATTTGGTTGCTTTCCTGCTGTGGGCTAATCCAAGTCACCTGAAGTGTATCCTGTGACTTCTTGAGGAGTCTGTGAAAAGTAAGAGAACATGCACGCAGCCCACGTTTTCATTGCCTTCCTCTCTGTTGACTGAATGAAATTTCTTTGTCTCCACTGAATAAACTGGCCTGTTGAAGTTCACCATCTCCTTTCTTGAGAGAGAAAGGGAGAAGGGGAAGTGTGGTCGCTGTGGCTGACTTGAATGAGTCACCTCTAAGGATTAAGCAGCTCGGAAAAGTGGACAGACTGCTCATATGTGGGGATTTAATTGGGTTTAGGAACAGAGGTTTAGGTAAAATGCATCCCAGTCTGTAATAGAGGACATGTGGTTTTCACAGGGGCTGTGAGATTTTATTTATTTCTAGGTTTATTTCCAAGGGACAACAAAGAAAAAGCAATGGGAAAGTGCTTGTGGAAATCTACCTGGCTTTACAGGCTTTGTCTCTATTGTTTGTTTTCAGTCTTGTTTTCCTGAGAACCCAATGTGTATCTGGTTACCTTGTTTCTTCAGTTCTTCCTTGTAAAAACTTCAAGCTTTTTGCTGAACTTCAGCCACATCTGAAAGAGGGAAGAGCATTCGAAGATATGAGTACTTACAAAGTTCGATTAAAGCAGTTGCTGGATACTGGAGATGCACAAAACCAACTTCTGCACTGTAGCAAAGGTTGCTGTAAAAACTCAAGGCTGCTGGATCCTGCTCGATGTACCATGAACCACTTGCTGGTTTTGTGTAGGGTTCCCTGTCCATGCCCAGCTGGGAGCTAGCTGCAGCACCTATTGCAGTTTGCTGTGTCCCAGTGATTTAGCAAAGTGGAAGAGGGACAAATGTGGCACTAGTGCTCTGGTGGGGTGTGGTGAAGAACCGTGTTGTTGTGGTGGTTGAAGATGAGGGGCACAGGACGGACACGTGTGGGAAACTGGGCTTTATTGCTTCTGCTCACCGTTCTTCTTTGCCGCTCTTCTAATTTTCCTGTAAAACCTCTTTCTGTTTTTTATTCTTTTACATTTGTAAGTCTTGTGAATAAATAACTTAAATAACTGACATGTTATACATAGGGGAAAAGAGCTGGTGCTCTTATGCTAGAGGAATGCAAATACACATTACTTTGTTGTGTGAAGCTATGTGTGGTTCAAGTCTAGAAGAAAGTTGGGCTCCGTGTATAGATTTGAATGAAGATCTGTCTTGAAGGGAATGCTGACACTGGTTGACCAGAGAGGTGTTTGCCTTAATTTAGTAACCTGAAATTTTGTGTTTGTTCAAAACTTGAACAGCTCGGAACTGTAACAGCAGTCTTCTGGCCTTTGTAGGCTTCAAGAAATACTTTGCACAGGGTTCACATTCTCTAAAATTTTAGATGTGACAGTTTTTTTTCCAGCACTGCAATTGAGATGAAAATCATAATGAGTTTAAAGAAAAATAGGGGATGATTTATTTTGTTAAAAGTTTCTCAAGTGGGTTAATTAACTGAGATGTGGCAAGCTTTTTAAGATTCTGATGTTCTTGGTATGCTCTTAAATTGGTTTTCCTAGTTGTTCGTAGGAAGTGCACTAAATGAGTATGCCTGCCCAAGTCGACTCTTTACTTAGCCCAATTTTGGTAATTTTTTTCTTTGCAAAGATCAGTACATGTGAGAAATAATGTGGCTACCATCTGTTCTCTGCCCAGTGGTAGTGCTTGTTTCTTGATTTGGGTTTTCTTTTCAGTGGTGTTCTGTTCTTGTTTAAAGATGTGGAACTACTGGTTCAGAGATGCAGACATACACATGTATAAGACAGCATGTTCAGTGTATTTCTGTATTTGTAGGGCTTTGGTTTTATTTTCTTAATTTCTTTTTAGCTGATATAGCTCAGAGGTACAGGATAAGCAAATACCCGACTCTGAAACTCTTCCGGAATGGCATGATGATGAAGAGGGAATACAGGGGCCAGAGATCTGTGACAGCAATAGCAGATTACATCAGGCAGCAGAAGAGTAACCCCATTCGGGAGGTCCAGGATTTGGAAGAAATTAGTTCTCTTGATGTAAGTATTTCAATTTTACTCCTTCTATTTATTTTTTTTTTAATGTTGAATTGGTGGAACATAATGTATTTAAAGAACATATTTACTTTTTTTTTTCATTCAGAAATGTTCGGTACTTTTTTTTTTTTTAACTGAGTGGAAAACTGAATCATTTGCAGTATTACTATATTGAAATAATTTTTAACTTTCAGGCACCTTCACTCCACAACCAAATTACTTATTTTGCCTTTAATAATTTGAAAAGAATAATATGTTGCATTTGACACAATATTTAAAAAATATTTCTCACTGAAAAAATACTTGCAAGGAAGCTTCTGAATAATGAAAAGGCAGAAAAGACATAATTGCTGCATTTAATGACTGTCAAATGAATGGCATCTCTGTATTTAATATCCATAGGGAGTAATGATAGTTTTTGATAGTTTGGTGCAAATTATTTTTTTGTCTTTGTCTTTACAGCGCAGCAGAAGGAATATTGTTGGATACTTTGAGCAAAAGGACTCAGACAATTACAGAACCTTTGAAAGAGTAGCGAATATTTTGCATGATGATTGTGTGTTCCTATCTGCCTTTGGGTAAGTGTGAAAACTTGTTGATTGCATGACTGACTTATTGAAATTCTGTTTATGAGTTGTATATAAATTTAATTGAATGGACTTCTTTAATACTTTCAGCGTTTCATAACTGACGAGACTAGACCTTAATAGATAAATACACTGAGAGGATAGAAGGGGAAAACTCTTCCTAACCTTAATCTTTGCTGTGAAATTCAATTCTTATTTTTTCCCTTCCTTTTTCTTTTTTTTTTCCCTTTTTTTTCGTTTTGTTTTAAGTGTAACTGGGGAGGTTTCAGGGGGTAAAAGACAGTTGTGTCTGAAAAATCTGCTTTTTTAGAGAGAGAGAAGAACAAGTACGGAAGAGCTTGAAAATGTTTTGAAAAAAATTCATTAGCTTTGCAGACTGAGTAACTCTTTTTTTTGCAACCTCTTAGGTGTTTTTTTTTCTTTGAAATAGGACCATTTTTTGAAGGGGTCTTTTCCCTCTATTTTATAGGATTTTTTCCCTGTAAAGCATGTAGTTGCTTGCTCATTTCCTCTTGATGCTTCAGTAGCAGGCCTTGTTCCAAAATGCCTAATTTCTGTGCCTGGGTCTTAGTTCTATGTCACTGGTCAATGCAACAATTTAGAAAGGCAATTGCATTGGTGAGCTATGGAGTGTAAGCCTAGAAGAAAAACCTACAGAAATTCAACCTTCTCCTTGTTATACAGATTTACAGTGATATTTTAAAATATTAAGCCATTCACTGGAAGAAGAAGAACAAATTGTGAGAGAGTGATTCCCTTTATAACTAGCATAATGAAATGGAATTATAGATTCTTTCAGCAATGCTTAATATGCCACCACCAATTGCTAATTTGAAGTGATTGGGCATTAATGGGAATGCAGTGTTTTCCAGTTTACCCACAGTTTCAGGATCAGGAATTTGCATGGGTTAAGCTAGCTTTTATAATGTTTAAAGTTGCCTCAAGTTTTTTGAACTGGGTGTGGTGGAGAATAGCAGAGAAACTGAGAGGATGTATTGAGGTAGAAGAGGTTTCATCTGCTTGAACAAAATCTGTTGCCAGTCACTGATGCCTCTTCTAATATGTCTCCAGAAATAGTTTGGGGGTGGGGGAGAGTATTTGCAATGTGTGGGAGTACACAGGGCTTTCAGTTCCCAGTTAGGTAATGGTATGGCTGTGTAAGCAGGCAAACCTGTGGTCTGTAGGTCTGTCAGTCTTATCCCCAAAGAGTGTCCATTATCTCAAGCATTTTCTGATGAGTGCATGCAGGCTTGCTCTCAGGACAGGCAGTCTGAGTTGTTACTAGAATTTTAAGTTATTTTTTGCCCCCTCATATAGCTTTCTGGTCTTTTCAGAAATACCTTTTTAAAAATTATTAGGAAGATAGCAATACTTTGAAGATTCTCCCTCCTGTTGTTTGAGTCTGTTCATCTCTGGTTTGCTATCTGTCAATTACATGTAATAAGAAATAGTTTCCCACCACTCAGGGTTATCATTTAGTTGCTGGACATTGTTCTTGAAGTGGTTACTATGGGGGTTTTATTTTATATTTTGTTGTTCAGATATAAGCAATAGTCAGACATAATGGAATGGATCAGAGTTTGATTATTTTTAACCTACCTATATAACTAGATTGCACAGCAGGCTTGTCATTATTCTTATCTCCAGACTCCCATTCCCTTTCTAGCCTGGAGCTGTTAGTGTTTTAAAGTGCAGCCTTCCCAGCAGCAACCTTGGGAACTAAATGTTTTCACCTGTGAGTGGCTTGGCTCTTAAGATTCCTAAAAAAACCTATATGTGAAAACACTTCTGAGGGAGATACTGGCCACATATCAGTGTTTTCTTTTTGGATTATATATAGCAAAATGCTTCACAGGGAGCTGGCACTGATCGGTCAGACTCTTCTGACTGAGCATCCTGACAGACCCTGGGAGGTATTTTTGGGTTTGCTATGAACAGAGTTCAACAGCTATGTGGCTTGGGAGGTATATGGTAGGTAATGTGAGCAGTTGTTCGAATTTCTAGTAAGCTCAAATAAAACAATCAATTTGACAGGAAAAAAAATAATTACTTTGCTGATTTCTGTCAAGGCAGAACAGTCCCCTTATGCCAAAATTACTCTGGCTTTAGGTACTTGTAATAGCTTATTTTTAAACTGTATTAATGGTACTTAGTTGTAGATCATCTTGATGCTTAAAAGACTTCTTTAATGAACAGATCCTTACAGTTCTGTACAGATCTGAGGTGGCAATAGAACAAGATTAGTGAAAGAAGAGATGTCGGCAGAAGGAGATAGGTGAAGAATGTGATGAAGACATTATTGGAGGCAGATTTTAGAAGTAGAACTAGAGAGGAATGGATCTGAAACATTCATGAAAGCAGAAGAGAATGTCCAACCAAAAAAAAAACAAAACAACAACAACAACAAAACCCCCACAACAAAACAAAAACCATCCAAAATATACTTTTATCCTAAAAGGCTGTGATGATCTGTAAGTAGTTTACGGAAGACAGTGATGAATCTAGGAACTGTTTTAATTTTTTGTTAGCAAGTAAATATGACAGTGGAGGGTGGGGGGATTGTGTGGTTACAAGAGGTTCCCTTTTACATTACTGCTTCAAGAAGAGACGAAATGCAAACTGAAGTGTTTCCGTTTTAGTAGTTGTTTTAAAGAGGTGTATCTTCAGGCATTCGGGATTTTCACATCATGTCCATACTTTATTTCAGTTATCTGAAAAACAAAAATCAGTCACAACTGCAGCTACTGAAGTGGAAGAGCAGAAGAGGACATTTTGGCTTCTACCACAGGGTTACCCCAGAGCATGTATTTCATTATAGATTATCATCATCTTATCAAGCAGTGATTGGGCAGGTGGCTTCTACGTCTTCACTTTCTTCTTATTCAGTGAAGGCTTATTTGGTATGGGAGTGGTTTTTGTCAGTGATGGTGGTCACTAGGAAGCCTAATTTCACATTGTGTGAGGAGTCCTGCCTGGAATATAAAAATACATTTCAAAATACGCATCTGTAAACTGATGCAAATACTGATAGGTGTAACATACTATGCAAGGCATCCTTTCTGTGTGATAAGAAAAGGATAATCAGATCAAATGAAGGAAATAAAGTTTAGGTACTTTGAGTTAAGGCTTACGTTGTCTGTGTTTTTCTTGGCACGCTAAATTGTTCAGACCCCTGGAAGATTTAGCTAATCTTGCAGTGAGATAAATTGAGATATTTTGACTTCTCTTTTTTATTTCCCTCTTACATTTCTTAATCAGCCTTCACCGATGTTTATATTGCACCTAGAGGAGAGAGAAGGGGGAACACTTACCTAATGTTTCCCAAAGGCTGACATTCTTTCTTTTTAGCTTGTGTTAAAGGGAAAAGAAATGGGCACTTTTACTTTTTTGTGGCATATGCATCTAGTCAGTTCTGTCTTGCCAGCCTGATTTACGTTGGAACAGCTAGGCATGGGAGAGAAGGAGTGAGGAGGCCTCTTTATATATCTGAAGATTGTTTAAGGGTTTGTTTTTATTGAGAGCTTTCTTTCCTTTTATTTTTCTGTCTCCTCCGTTGGAATCGTAGCTGTCCCAACTTGCTTGAATAAGAGATGGCAATTTTCGGGTACAAGCTAGCAGCTTTCAGGGTGCTCTGCTGTGACTGGGATTAAGGAACCACAGAATATTCTGGAGGCAAGAGAGGAACTTACTGAGGTGACATAGTAAGCTGAACACCAAGGAGGAACTGCATGTCTTCTGGGTACACACATACTATATCATCAGTGGCCAGGAACTGCATGCTGTGTCTGCTCTCTAGATCTGTTTTGAGGATAACACAAGACAGTGTGGGCTTACTTGCCATCCGTTTTCCCACTGCTTGTGCTGATGGAACACCTCAAAGCCCTTCTTTATCAGGGTAGATAAGATGTAAATTTTTAGTGTAAACAGTGGAACAGGAAGAGTAAATGCAAACAAGAATCCACCTTTCTCTCCTTCCTTAAGATTTTTTTTTTTAATTCACTTCTTTAATTTCCCTGACAATCTCTTATCCAGAATTGTACTGGCATTCATCACTTGCACTTCAATGCCTTTAGTCCACTCTTCTGATCTTAGGGGTACATCTTGCTGACTCCATTAATGCCCTCTTATCTAGCCAGGTCAAGTTTCTGTGGAGTCACTGTACAGTTTGCTTTAAAAATGAAGGATTTTAATTTTCAAATCGTGAAGAGGTAAAAAAAGAAAGAAGTAAAGCAAGGATAGCAAATTAAAATATGATTTTTGGTATCTCAGTTATTTGATTTGTGTCTACCAAGACATGCTTACTGGTTGGTTTGTTGTAGGGCTATTTCAAAAGCAGAGAGATTTAGCGGAGACAATATAATCTACAAGCCACCAGGGGTAAGTGTAACTATGTATTTTATTCTGATTATTGTCGTTATATGTGAATATGAACAAGTGAAGACTGTTTGTATCATTCAGTATGTTACTGCATCTCAAATCTTGGTTTTATTTCATCACTAAATAGTGCGAGAAATAGGATCATAGAAACTCGTGTTTCTGAGTCAGTGAAAGAGATCTCCATCTCATGTGTTGCCAGTTAATGCACAAAATGTAAATCTGTCACTTGAAATGTCAATGTCCACAATTAATTTTTTTTTTCTGAGAAAGACAGTCAACGCATTATGTGTATAGATATTGTGTGTTCTGTAGAACTCTTAAAAATGTATGAAGCTGGTGCACTTCCTGTTGTTCAAAGCATGTAACAATTACTACATATTTTTCTGACTGTCACTTGCCTGTCTTGTGTGTACTTTAGTCCACAAGGGTTAAGAGCTCTTCTCCTAACTAAAAAAACCCCCCAAAAAATAAAAATTTACTCTGTGTTAACAAACTCTCATAAATATAGTTTCACTTGAGGAAAAATTCAGTACAGAAGAAAACCTATAAGAGCTGCTTTTTAGAGACATACTATCTAAAAATCTACTCCTTTTGCAAATTTAATGTAGGAAAAGAGCTGCTTACAAAAGAGAAAATAGATGAAAAAAGACCTCAGGAGGAAGGGAGTTTCAAACCTTCTTTTTTTCTTTTTTCAACAACAGAATTTATTAGGTTACCTAATTTATATGGCATTTCTGAATTAAGGTGTGTTTAATCATGGCCACAGCTTGCAAAGTCATGCTTCACTTCATGTTAACCAAAATTGTAATTAAATTAAAGGATGTCAGCACTGAATTATAAGTTAAAACTACTAGCAAATAAAGGAAAACTATTATTTATTCATATCTCTTTGGCAAAGCAAATGTAAAATACCAATTTTAAGTCCTTCTAGGACATTAGGAGGGGGTTTTGATGAGTCTTTATAACTATCAGCATGAAGCAGCTTGCTGTCTGCATTTAGTTTATATCTAAATGGGGGTTTTACATCTGGAGATACTATTTCTCAACCTAACAAAAATCTAAATAGCCTTTATTTGAAGCATCTCCAGTTGGGAAACAAAGTATCTTTTCAACTCTTTATAACTTATCTTAAAAAGTGGCATTGACTGCATAAATTGTCATATCTAATATTCATTTTCCATTTGTACTTTTATCAAATAGTTAATTGAAATCTTGCATGCACAAGGGTATAATTGGTATAAGATTTACTTTCAATATTTATATGAATATTGTTATTTTATATTGAGTAGTTAATCTCTGTAGGTAGCAATGTCACTTTTATTGTTTGTCATCTACTGTATTTTTCTTTTCAACAGGAAAATGCTCCAGATATGGTGTATTTAGGCTCGCTAACCAATTTTGATTTGGTTTATGCATGGACACAAGATAAATGTGTACCACTAGTTAGAGAAATTACGTTTGAAAATGGGGAGGTAAGAATTTTTTCTACAATTCTAGTTTTGGGGTTTTTCTCAAAACCAAAATGTCTCTTTCAAGGTCCCTAATTCACTTCAAAGAACTTTGTATAGTTTGTTTTAGGCAGAAAATAGCTGTCAGATAATGTTTTTCATTCTTTTGGTGCTTTTTGTTTAGACTTGAAATTCACTGGAGGCAGACTTGTTGTAGTTGCATACACTACCAAAGTAAGAGGCTGTAATTATAGAATGGCTAAGGCTGGAAAAGACCTCTGAGATCATCGAGTCCAACTGTTAACCCAGCACTGCTGTGTTCACCACTAAACCATGTCCCCAAGTGTCACATCCATGTGGGTTTTTTTAACACTTCCAGGGATGGTGATTCTACCACTTCCTTGGTCAGCCTGTTCCAATACCTGACCACCCTTTCAGTGAAGAAATTTTTCCCAATATCCAGTCTAAACCTTCCCTGGTACAACTTGAGGCCATTTCCTTGTGTCCTATTGCTTGTTACCTGGGAAAAGAGACCAAAACCCACCTTGTTACAACCTCCTTTCAGGGACCTGTAGAGAGCAGTAAGTTTCTCCCTGAACCTCCTCTTCTCCAGGCTAAACCCTCAGCTCCCTCAGCTGCTCCTCATCACACTTGTGCTTCAGACCCTCCACCAGCTCCATTGCCCTTCTCTGGACACATTCCAGCACCTCAATGTCTTTCTTGCCATGAGGGGCCCAAAACTAAACACAGGATTTGAGGTGTGGCCTCACTAGTGCTGAGTAGAAGGGGGTAATCACTGCCCTGGTCCTGCTGATCCCCCAGGTCCTCTCCCACCAGGCAGCTTTCCAGCCACTCTTCCCCTAGCCTGATGGCATTGCATGAGGTTGTTGTGACTGAAGTGCAGGACCAGCTTTGATGCATGTAGGTCCAATAAGAAGTGTCTGGTGATTTTGCGGAATGTGGACACTTGAAGGCTAAGAATGTGTGTGTCTGTAAGCGTGTGTGGATGTGTAACACCTTGGGTAGGTTGTGTTATTCATCTAAAGTAAGTATATATTATTATGTGGATGTCATGACTAAACGATACATTTAAGATCCAGACCTTGGAAAAAATGCTTCTAGTCAGGGTAGAAAATGCCCATGTCAGGATGTCAACAATTTGAAAGAATAAAACACTTGTGAACTATCCTTTAGTTATAACTGTTTTTTAAAGTTTAATGTTAATGTTAGTGGTAGAAAAATATTACTGTATTAATCACTTCCAAAGCATTATCTAATAAACAAGCACATGAAATTGTGACTGACCGTGGAATTGCAATTTTCTGGGAATGGTAATAAAAACTGTGATTTTTATTGTTTTTTCTTTCAGTCTGCATTTGAGCACTGGTTCAATCTTAATCGTTTTTAGCTGCATGTGCTGTTTCATTTACTTTTCTTTATTTGGCTGTAATTCTTCAGGTGGAACTTGGCAATTTGCTTTTAAACATCTCATTTCTTCTCATTACCATTATTGTCTTTCAATGCTTTTTTGTTTTCTTTTGTAACTTAGTCTTCTTTAGTCTTTTTCCAACTCCGTATTATGATTTTTCTTGTAAAATAAACAACAGGAAAAAACGTCTTTAGAAAATTATCGAGTTTGTAGTATCTCTAAAGGAGTATTTTGACACAGCCACAGCACCTGCTAGAAACTCTGCTGAGGTTTGTAACAAATTGCAGTATGTTGTCCACACTGGAGGAGAAACCGAAGAATCAGTCATATGATTCATTCTCAGTTTGCACACTTAATTCTTTTGATCTTGAATCTGCAGTGCATCCAACACTGCTGTTCTGGGCTCATGGAATGCTTCAGGTTTCGTGGCGGAGGGAGGGACAGGATGGTTTTATTACTTAAACCATTTTGGTTGACTTTCTTCTAGTCAGTCCTGCCAACTTTTATTGGAAAGTTCTGATACTTAACAAATCTTAATTCTTCATTTGCAACTCAATATGTAAAAGAATGCCACATGTTAACATCTCTAGAAGTGTGTGGTAGATTTTCAGAGTACTTTTCCCGTGGTGAAAGAGGATTCTGAGCCTTAGAAGCCAAAGGTTCATCACTGTCAGCTTTGTACCACAGTATGTTGTGATTTTTCTGTTTGTTCTCTTAGCTCTTGATTCCTACTTACTTAGGTAGATAGAAACAATTCCAATGTGACATTTTGCCTAGCAACATTTGTTTAAAAAATTCAGTGCTGCCAGTAGCCAAACAAATTTAAACATGCCAAAATGGAGATGTTTCTGCTTGCTTAGATTGTACAGTTACTTAAATGGGCTCTTACTTATTGTGCATACTGCACAGCAGTACAAGGTAAAAATATGAAGTGCTGTGACTGTTAAACTGTGTTTATGGTACTAGAATACCTTATAAGTTAAGATAAAGACAAAAAATTCTTCCACAGACTTTAAATTAATTTTTAAAATCAAAATTGGTCTCTGTAAACTGCTGGTAGGTTTTTCCCTCATTTTCTTAGTGCTTTCATTATCTGGTAAACATTCTGGGCAGGAAGATGCCCAATGTGAACAGAGTTCATCATTGTGACTTTAGACAACACATAGTAATAGAACTCTGAAGCAAGGTCTTCTACTTGAGGAGACTACCCATTTGAGACAGTTCCTGTACCTGACAGGAATAGGCTGCTGGAATCAGTGATTTCATTCAGAGGAAATCACTGTTTGACCTGTAATCTGGCTGTTTAGTTCTGTGTTAAATGAATTGAGAGCAGCCCTGCCAAGAAGGACTTGGGGGTGCTGGTGGATGAGGGGCTGGACACGAGCCATGTGCACTCACAACCGAGAAAGCCAATCATGTCCTGGGCTGCATCAAAAGCAGCGTGGCCAGCAGGGTGAGGGGGGGAATTCTGCCCCTCTGCTCTGCCCTCTTGACCTGTTGGAGCGAGTCCAGAGGGCCACTGTGTTGATCAGAGGGATGGAGCACCTCCTCTTTTAGGAAAAGCTGAGAGACTTGGGAATGTTCAGCCTGTAAAAGAGGCAGCTTTGGGGTGACCTAATTGTGGCCTTCCAGTACCTGAAGGGAACTTACAGGAAAGATGGGGAAGACTATTTACAAGAGCATGTAGCTACAGGACAGGGAGGAATGGCTTCAAGTTGAAAGAGAGGAGGTTTAGATTAGATATTAGGAAAACAATTTCTACTGTGAGAGTGGAGGGGTACTGGAACAGGTTGCCCAGGGAAGTTGTGGATGCCCCATCCCATGCTGGAAGGAGCTCTGAGCAACTTGCTCTAGTTGCAAGTGTCTCTGCCCACGGCAATGGAGTTAGAACTAGATGATCTTCAAGGTTCCCTTCCGATGCAAACCATTCTATGATTCTATGAATGCAATGAACCTATGTGGTCTAATGATGCTGCTGAACTTTAAGTTTTTGAAAGGGTAAAAAGTTTCTCAAAGGCATGGAGAAGTAACATGAGAAGCTCAGATCTAATGAAAAATCTTTCGATATTCTCAGGGCCAAATGAAACAGCTTTTGAGGGAGCAGTCTGTGCAAATGAAATAGCTATTTTACTTACTGTGTGCTCATCAGTGAGGCATGCTATGAAAGCTGGAATAGAAAAGCAAAGGAAGATACTGTATAGAAACCAGTTAGGGCCAAGATTAGCAAGGCATTCAAGCCAGCTGTCCTAACAACTTGTTTTGGAGGTTAATAGATCTTGTTAATGTAACTTGCTGAGGTTGTCCTCTTAGCTGCTTGCAAGCAAGAGGGGACCTTAGAACCAGAACACTAAACTCTGTTTAGTTCTCCCTCTGGAAATGTACCTTGTGAAATGAGGGGGGAAACAGAGCCATAACTGCAGTGGTACAAAACAGATTTTTAGCATCCTGTAATAGGAGAGGATGCTGAGACTCAGCTACATTTGTACACGTAAAAATGAGAATGAGCAAATAGGATTAGTTGTTGGTTTATAGATGAGTTGGGAAGCTTGGGTTTCAAGAGCACTGAAGTTATGAGGATCTGCTGTTAAAAGACCAGGCTTCAACTTAGCTGATGGATTTGGTTGAAGGGAGAAGGACAGCCATTTCATGTACACCATGTAACTGGCTGCCTGCTGACAGGGAAAGTGTTTCTTCCAACTTACTACAAATCAAAAATATCTGAAGAAATTTTTCTATTTGGTGGTAGAACGAACCAGTGCTGTCTTTCTCAAAAAGCACAATTTTTATGCTGGTACAGGCTTGAATCAAAGCATTAGCAGCACTTGCTTGTTACACCAGTTGTGCAAATGAAAGACAACTCTAGGCATTTCTTAGATGATAAATGATGCTTTTTTTCAATCAGCCTATAATGAGTTGAGCTGATGTTCATAAGTGCCTAAAAATCACTTTTGAAGCAAGCAAGTGCATATTGTTTGTGTTTTGGATTTAAGTAAAAGAAAAATCCAGAATAAATTATTCAAGGAATTCCTGTATTTATGTGTCCCTCGGCACAGAAATTTTTTTAAAGGCACTTGGACTGCAAGGACGCATTCCTATGAGGAATTAAAGTTTGCCTGTCCAACAAAGATTTGCATTTTTAATCAATTTTAGTAATATATTAGCCTGTGAATTTAGCAATAGCATTACACAGATGACCAGTCAGGACACACTTACTGGCAGAAGAGCAGTACTTGATAACTGATATGGCTGTGTCATTAGTTTCTGATTTTTTCTTTACTGGGGGGAGGAGATAGGGTTATTCATTGTGTTATGCTAAGAAAGCACCACCTTACTATGTGAACAAGCTGGGACTGGGTCTAGAATACACCCTCAGCCTTTCATAGCATTTGATACTCAGGCCTTACTGTTGTTTCTATGAAGATGTTGTGTTTTCTCAGGATTGGGTTATTTCTTTCGTGCAAGTGTTCCAGTGCAAGTGTATCCCTTCCTGAAATGCTGACAATGAAATACTGTCATCCTTTATCTGCTGTATATGATAAGAGGAAGGAAACATTGGTTAACTCTATCACTCAGGTATCTTAGAGGAAGGGTTAGCAGTTAGTCTTTAGTCTTTTTCTTTCATCTGTGTTTTAAAGTAGAGATCTCACTGAATTTGAAAGTTCCTGGAATCACTTAAGTGCCCTTAAGGAAAGGAAGAAATGTGATTTGTCCTTTGTTTTCTCTGCAGGAACTGACAGAAGAAGGTCTTCCTTTTCTCATACTTTTCCATATGAAAGATGACTTGGAGAGTTTAGAGAAATTCCAACAGGAGGTTGCACGACAGTTAATAGGTGAAAAAGGTTTGTAGTAACTCCTACTACTTCTTTTTTCCAGGCAACTCAGTAGAGCAGAAGCAAAGGCCAAACAGAATCCGAGCTTTAAAACTCTTGAGACCAAAGGGCTTTACGCACTTCTGACAGTGAGGACTCATTCCTTTGGAAATTATTAAAATAGATACACAATTTATTAGTAAATAACTGTTTTAGAAATCCTTCTTGTCTAAATGACTTAATGCATTTTGACAGGGCATTAAACAAAGCTTCAGTTGGTAATATGGAAAAAAACCCCACTTTAAGAAAATCTGTTATTTTGGTTGAGTTAGTTAAAAATTTAGATCTATTTTCAAGTTTTGCATGTGGTATCTAATATTTCCACCTTTATAATAGTTATGAAAGTGGTTAGGGTTTCAAGATAATACTAAAAAAGTTTCAATACGGATTTTTGTCTACTCACGATTTTAAGGTACAATAAACTTCCTCCATGCTGACTGTGACAAATTCAGGCACCCACTCCTGCACATTCAGAAGACTCCAGCAGACTGTCCTGTCATTGCCATTGATAGCTTCAGGCACATGTATGTCTTTCCAGACTTCAGTGACTTGTCGTAAGTATTTTTCTTTATGCATTTTAATTTGAGAAGGACAAAGGAAAAGGTGTGTGCTCATACTTTAATCAGTACTATGGTAGGAAGATGAGTAAATCTGTGTGATTCAGTGTCAAATCCTAAAAGCAATATGAGTTGGTGTGAATTCATTGTTTAAATGGAGTTGTATTACTTTATGCAAGAAAAGAATCTCAAGTTTTTAGATGCCACTCTTTCATTTTGAAGTTTTGCTGTTTTCTGTAGTAGTTAGGCACTTGCAGCCTAGCATGGTATTTTTAGTAGTGATCTAGATATATCACTTAACTCTAATAGATTTAAAATACTGCATGGAACGTGTAAGTGCTGTTATTCAGGGATTACTGTAAAATGTACCATGTAAGAATTCCCAGCCTACTGCTTTGACTTTTCCTGCTGTGCAATTCTAGCCTTCCTGCATTAGTCTAAATCTGGAAAGCTGGCAGAGAAATCCCTATTGTGTGGATTTTAGAAATCTTCCAACTGCAACTTGGAAAATGGACCATCACTGTCATGTTTATCTGGATGAAATACATGAGAGCAAAGTATCAGAATGCTCAAGTGTGATATGCCACTGTGATAATCCTCATTACATCAGCCTGTCTCTTTATGTTGCACTGCTTTGGAAGCAGATGTTCTGTCTCTCATGGCTCAGTTGAGGAATGAAGATGTTTAAACGTTCTCTTCAGGGGTTTTCAGCCTTATTCAAGTGCTCTATCTTTGTCTTCTGGTTGGGTGTTAAAACTCCAGTTTCTGTCCTCAAAGGAAGTACCTGCATATGCACTGCCTCTTGAGTCCTGGTTGGATGCCTAGGCTGGATATTTTGTTTTTGTCAAAGCCAAGGATTCAAAGCTCAGATTTAGCATGCAGTGTGAATGTAATCCCATGTCTGATTCTGCCATTCCAGGAGGCATTTTTCTACCTGAAATGTTGACATTTGGAAGGAGGGTTTGAACTTAGCTGCTTTCTGTAATTCTCCACAGGCTTATTAAATGTGGTCTCAGTTTGATATATCTTAAATAGTGCTTTTCAAATTTCTGAAGCCATGTATGTTGAAATTCTGATAGTGACTATTGGTCTCCTTGTGTTCCTATTTGTGTGGAATATTGTGTTCACCGCAAATGTCAGCAAAAAATAGCAGGATATTTACGTTTTAAAAACACTATTTTTATTGCCACTTTTTAAACAGCCCTAAAATAAATTAATATCTCTTATGTGGGCAATAGAGATGTTTAGTTTAGACTTTCATTTTGTGTTTCTTATGTGTTCTGTTTCTGTGAAACTGTCAGAATAATAAGAGCTACTTGCTTGATGTGTACCAGTTGTAACATACAAATGAAGCTGGAAGAGATGTCAGGATTGTAGACAGTTGCCTAACGATAAATAATTATTCAACCTTACTCTAGGAGTTTGGGCTGATACATAGAAATATCTAACAAACAGTTTGAAAACAAGGAGAGCTTGGAGCACCTGGGGTGATACCCTCTTGTGTATGTGGTTTGAATTTTTGTTTTGGTTTGTTTGGGTTTTTTTGTCGGTTTTGTGTGGGCTTTTTGGTTTTTAATAATAAGTAGAATCTTAATTCTGAGACTTTCATCTACCTGTAAGGATATCTGTCAGTTTAGTACATTTCCTGGACTGTTTTACAAACTGGCCCCAGGCTGTCTTTTGTAATCTCAGTGTCACCACCAGCCAGTAGTGTTTGCATATGGCACTTCCAGACCTGGCCCACCAAAAGATTTCCTCTCTCTTTATAGGAAGTTCATATTTTTTTGGAGAATGGGCATTTCATAGGCAAATGAGACCATCACTCAATATTTTACCATCAGCTTTGGCCACCCATCCCTATTCATCCTGCTGTTCCAGATTGGAAATGATAGCAGGGAGTGTTCAGCTGTAGCTTCTGAGCAAGAACAGGCTAAGCCACACACGGCTGTAGGTACCAAGTGCCCTTGTTGCATTAGGAAAGGAGAATGTCTCCAGCAATCTGCCTGACCTAGAAGAGGTCAGGAGCCCAAGGTAAAGCAGGGAGCAGTAATTCTGCTGTCCCTATCACCAGGCTAGAATGAACCTCTTTCTCTCAATCAGTACTAATTCCTGATCTTACCTGGGAAGGGAAGAGATCCCTTAAAGTGCCACTGTAATACTGATCAGTTACAACCATTGCTTTAGTGATACTCTCTGACTCTATATTATGCTGCATTTTATGCACGGAGTTTTCTGACTATCTGAAATATTGCTGATAGCTTGTCTGACCACACTCTGTTCCTCTTTCCTAAATGTAATAGTTGGTTTGATGAAAGACTCCCTACAAAACCTGTCTCTATTCAGACACTACCTTTTGATTGCATGCATAGTGCTCATTATAGTCTTTTATCTCATCTTTAATACTTACTAGATCAACTCTTCACTTTGAGATTTTTAGTCTATCTGACATTTCACAAATAAAATTGGATGCTGTAGTTTAGCACGTTTGCTGTGGGTGACTGTAAGATGATCTCAGTTTAGGTTTACATTGATATCCTCTTAGTGCATATCTCTGGTGTATATGCAGTTGCTGAGGTAATAGAGAGCCTTTCAAAGATGTTTTGTCAATACTGGTACCCAACTGTCATTTGTATCTGTAAACTGTGCATTTGGAACCTGCTGTTCCCTCTTACATTACAGTTAGTGGGGAGCTGAAGGGAATATACAATGAAGTTATCGGCTGGTACAACTCTGTGGGAGTTATTGAAAAGATTAAATACTTGCTGTGTTCTCAAGAGACAGTGGAAAGAAAGAGAAGCTGGTAGGGTACCTTAGCAAACCATTTGGCTTCGTGTCCTCTAATAATCACCTAAAAGTGGGCATAGTGTGCTAGATAAAGAAAAGTTGGCTACTCTAAACAGTGCATTTTAAATCTTCTGTGTTTGGACTTAACTTGTAATAAACATGTGGTGGTTTCTGTTTAATTTTTTCCAGAATTCCAGGTAAACTGAAGCAATTTGTACTAGACTTGCATTCTGGAAAACTGCATAGAGAGTTTCATCATGGCCCGGATCCAACTGATGTAGCACCTGGTCAGGTAAGGTTACAACAAATACATTTAATTTGGCCATAGTAAGGACCTTTTTTTACTCCTCGTCAGAGCTGTACTTTCTAATATGTTTATACTTTTAGCCTCTGTCTCCTGAAAGAGAAATCTGTTTACAGAAGTGTAACATTGCCAATTCTGCTTGGCACTTTAACTTCCTTTGGGTAAAGGCAAGGAGAGCATTAGGGGTCGTATGGTACTTGTTTGCCTTGAATAAGGGAAAATTATAAGAAAATATATTTTCTCCACTGAAACAGATCTTGGGGTCGATGACTCTTCTGACCTCATAGAGCTGCTCTTATGTGACTTACGTGATTCTCATGTGACTTCAGTGCAAAAGTTGATAATACATCATAGCTGCGTTATTTCCCACACAACTCACTATTACAGGGTGCTTCTGAGGGGAAAGAGCAATTAGTTGAATTTTTATGTTTTATGTAGAAAGTTGCCAATCCAAGCAGGAGGCAGATTCTTAGAGCATCAAGAAAAGATGGATAAGCAGTAATAGGCCTTATTGCTTTTATTAATGCAGTTAACAAATGGCATCAGTAGTACTCACAGGCTGCACTTGTCAGTTTGGATTCCTCATGGTTCTGTTCCAAGGTTGTCATGTTGTGTAATTACATGCCTGGAAGTCACTCCTGGGATCTCTTCAGGAACGCAACTACTAGATCCTTCTCCAGACAAAACTCAGGAGCACCTCAGTCTCAGGAAAGAAAAGACATTACCAGCCCTGATTCCCTCCGCTTAGCCCAGTCTTTTGTGTCTTAATCAGCCTTGTATCTTCTTGATACACCACTCAGCTCACGTGCTTGGTGTCATGCTGAAAAGTACAAATGTAACGGCCTGTCAGGGAACATTTTCATTACCTTGGGCACTGTCTAAAGAAATAACCATTTAAAACACTTCTTTCAAGTTATACGTTGCATTGTCTGGGCTCGAGGAACCACTTTGGTCCCAGAGGAGACCTGGAGCCCTTGTGTTGGGGTGCCTTAGGCCACCTGAGAACCCATGGTGAGGAACTATTTATAGCTACGGTCATTTTGCTGTTTATCTCTGGGATGTGGTAAGGGTGGCACTGCACTGAGCCTTCTGAGTGCAGACTCCTGTTGCCCTGCTTAAAGCTAAAAGATTTAAAAGCAGGAAAGCCCTAGAGGGCTTGCCTTGGCCAGGAAAATGAATGCTTCTGAATGTCGTCATGACTGGCCAAGAAAACACGTGGGCTGAACTGTCTCAGCACTAATTAATTTAACCAGTAGATCCCTGTGTTTCTTCAGAATTCAATGAGCAACCAGAATTCAAGTCAACAGGAGGAGGTGCAGAAATAAGGGCTGGAGACTGAGACAGAGGCCAGGCAGTCTGTCAGCTTGGAGGGGGATGGGAGTGCATGAGGAAGAGATGCTCTGAGGCACCTGCCGTGAGGAGGAGGCTTGGCCAGGGAGAGAGGAATCTGCTGAGTCCCTGGATCCTGCTGCCTGCCTATCTGGGCACAGGCATGGAGCCTAGAGCTGCTGGCTTGCTCTTGTCTCCATTCTGCCTTGAGAAATGCACACAAAACCTGGGATATTTCTGTCCTCATCTTTGTATGGCATCCTGCCATCTTGTGGATGTGCGTGTGATGGAAATCTGGCCTTAACTAAACGGGAGGCTGCTGGCTTAGGTCACCTATGTCCCTTGAATTGCATGGAGGGGTTTGTGTTGGGGTTTTTTTGGTTTGGTCTTGGTGTGGGATTTTTTTTTAGTTTCCATAAAAAACTAAAAATTTTGTCAGCGATGGCTCTTTTGCTCTGGTGTATTTCATAAAACACACACACAAATTAGAATACCCTCAAAGCAAGTGGTAGACAAACTCAAGCAAATATACAGTGGGGTACATGTGAAATACTTCTAAGTGACTTGTACAGAAGCTTGTGTGATGGCCATTACCTTTGCAATGTGCCAACAAAAGGAATATCCTTAACTGAAAGTGCTTAATTAATATGTGTGTGCATGTTTGTTCTTCCTACTTGGGGCTTATAATGTGCCTTCAAAAAAAAAAAAACAAAAACAAAAAAAAAAACAAACAAAATTTAATTTGTGGGAATGCTGGACATTCATGCACTCCCATAATTAATGCTAGAAATTCATTTTATGGAGGTGGATGGTTATCAAAATTAGTCTAACAAACAATTTTACTGTTTGTTCTGTTTTTCAGCCAATTCAGGATTTAGCAAGCAGCCCACCAGAAAGCTCATTCCAGAAACTGGCACCCAGTGAACATAGGTACACCTTATTGAGGGAAAAAGATGAACTTTAAAAACTTGAAATAATCTTGCAAGCCTTTCAGACAGCAGCGTTGACTTCTGTGTGGTGGAAATAGTAAACCTATATTTTCATAATTCTATGTGTATTTTTATTTTGAATAAACTGAAAAATAATTTTTTCTCCCCAGGCTTGTAAATACATTTGTTTGGTGGGTCATTCTGTACAGCATCTTTCAAACAGTACATTCTTAATGCTATCGTAAAATATCAGAGACCCATCCAGACTCTTGATCTAACTCTGTTCTGTAAAACTTTTATAATCCAAATGAAGGTATCCTTGCCAGAGACATGCTGTTAACTTGCACTATCCCATTAAATAGGACTTCTGGGTTGTTTTCTGTGTAACCTTGGTAGTATGTGCTTTTTCTTCTTCATGTGAACAGCTATCCTGGTAATCTATTTCTTTGTCACATTTTTCTCCAACTTAAGAGGGTCTTCTATTCTGGATACTTGGGAGGGGAATAAATTAAAGTTTTACAGAATCTTGTGTGGTGATTTACTGGCTATAAATGTCCAAGCAATTAAACAAAACTGAATTTTAAAATACCAAGTGAGGAAAGGAAAGGTTTCAATGATAATGGCTGTACTTTGAATGAAGGGGCTGTATTGACCTACTCTGATTTCTTGGAATTAAGATTGCTGTGTTACCCACATGGTTGTGTTAAAAGAACATGAATGTTGGAAACCCTTCATAGTAAGAGAGGACTGGGGCTAGCCTGGCATCTGAGTTTTGTCAGTCCCAAATTAATATCTGTATGTATGTTAGGATTAGTCTCTGGGGGTTTTTGTTTGTTTGTTTTTCCCCCAGATCCCTGCCTTCCTGGCAGTGCTTACTGTTCAAAGAACCACTGCAAATTTTCTGTTACTCTATTTGTCTGGCTTGTGCCTTACTTATTGCATTATCTTGAATTCTGCTCTGAAGAAGGAATGACTGCTTTTCTGTTACAAATTACACCAGCATGAGGGCTCTTCTCAATGAATCTTCAAGCTGCTGGGTGAGATGAACTCATAGAATCTGTAAGATGGAACAGCATCTGTTAATTTGTGGGGCATTGTTGGAGATAAATTTGTATAGTACACTTACTACAAAGAATCGAGGACCTGACTTGGGCCCCCAAGGTTTAGTGTCCTTAGAAGTGAGCTTGTTCTCTGGACAGGGGGAACACTGGGTTCAGGTTTACTTAGGAGAGTGCCCCAACTTGTGTAGTAACTGTTCAGGATTCCTTCTGCCTCTCAGCTACGGATGCCACCTGGTTAGTTATTGACAGAAGACTTTCATGGTCTGGTGAAACTGGCGAAAGTTGATCCCAGGACAGCCTCCTGAATCAAGCCCCTGCAGCACCAGGAACAGGAGCTTTCTAGGGAGTGATTCTGAGGACAGAATCACTAGTACCCACCTACACTAAGCTACAGCAAACTGAGCAGCTGCAGATTTAAGAGCTGAGAAAAGTATTGCAAGGTTTTGGTTACAGGTATACTTTTTTGTTGTTTTTGTGAATCTGCATTTTTGGCCTTCTCCTTTTCTCCATCTCATGCCAAATCAAGCATTTTTGGCAGCTGAGTCATACTGCCTTCCAGTTGGAATCTAAAGATGTGAGCTAGTTGTGGTTTTAAGGCTGCCACTTGTTTTTTACAGGTCGTGTTACACAATTCTGGCACCTGAAATTTTAGTCAATTCCTGCATGGTGCCTGCAAGTACTCATTCCTCTGAGGTTCCTATTTTTCCTTGGGCTTCTTATTTATAGATGCTGTTTGGTGGGAGATGTCAAAACTTCTCTTTCTGGAGGAAAATGCTTCCTCATAATCCACCTAGCAGTCCAGGGGCAGGTACTTTTAGCTAGAAAGAGATGAACCCCCTCTGCCAACCCCTCTTCCTTAATCCAAGTTTGCTTTTCAGACTAAAGACTTGTTCCCAGAGCTTTAGCATTCCAGCACTAGGTGGACAATTAGCTGTAACACGTAGTTTCATGACAGTTACACACTACAGTAATTTCAGTGTGTATTCACTGGAGCTGGACCTGATTCTCCTGGGTAATGGATGACTAGTGACCTGGCTGTGACGGCGTTCAAGTGACTTTTCTATTTGCAAGCAGAAGATTGAACAGCTAAAGCCAAGCTGTCCTTGCCTAACATGCTGCTGAGCTTTTATGTGTCTGGTGATACAGAGAATTTGCCTGGAGAGAGCAGTCGCTGGACAAAATCCGAGTTGTGTTTCAGATTGAGCTGTTTGACTCTGATCATCTGCATCTGTATTTTAACCATTTGGTGCTCAGCTTACCACTCCCTTTAACACTTCTCAAGGCTTACATGAGAAGTTGTCAAAAATATTAGTATTATCCCTATATGGAATAAAAGTATTCCAAATTCTTTTTAATTGAACTTGCCAAGTCCATTTCTAAGTTAGCATGTGTGTACGAGTTACTAGATGCAGGTGGCACTTTAGGAACTTGTATTAATTTCAGTCAATGTAAATATTTCAATAGCTGAAGCATGTGTTTGGTAACTCAATACAGATTCTTAAATCTTGGTAGTGCAATTGTTTTAATAATATAAAATTTGGGAGGGATTCATCTTTTACATGCTGAAAGGAAATAAGCCCCAACGTTCTCAGTAAATGTTACAGCCAGTCTCATAGGAAAAACTTTTATTTGGTCTGAAAGAGTTATTTATATCTTACAATTTTTCTGGCTAACATGCCTAGCAATTTAAATGCTAGTTTGGTTACTCAGATGCTGATGTTTCTTCACATATGTAAATAACCCACCTATTTTAAAAAATCGTAGCTGAAATAATAGACTCCCACATCTAGTGTGTACACAATGCTTTGAAATTGCTTCCTTAAAAACGCAAGGGGGAAGAATAGTTCTCCTGCTAGACATTTCATAAACTGAGTGCATATCAGGCTGAATTTGTATAAGCTGGGGTAGGAATTCAGTCTTAGGAATTTAGATTGTCCTGGCATTAATCCAGCGTGGGGGGAGAGGATGGAGTCCGCAAGATCGCTGATGTGGCTGCTGTCATTTAAATGCAGGAGGTTTCACAGCATATGATAGGAAAGCAGATACAGCAGTTTAAAATCATACAAAGAATCAACCACAGTTTTTGATTAAGAACACTTTTTTTTTCTTAGTGTATTCCTTTAAATGTAGAAAATAAATATCAAAGGAATGAACAGCCTATGAAGTTGTTACACGCTCACTAACTCTGTTTACAGCCAAAGTAGATGCATTTAAAGAAAAGTGCTTTTTGCCGGTCAGGAGCAAATGAGCTGAATTACTCGGGTCATGTTTTGCACTCCAGCTGATTTTTACCGTGGCTTTAACAAATGCAGTTTTGAAAATGTCTGCAAATACTGGTGAAAACTGTTCTTGCACACATTGCTTCCCTGAGCCTCAGACCTACTTAAAATAGATGTAATGTTCTGGCTTATAGCAATTTCAGTATTTTAAAAGCAATAAGGAAGAACTGCTCAGAAGAAGTTATTTGTGCTGTAACTAACAGTTGCTTACAGTGTCTCTAGGCACAAAAACCCATCATCTGTCATTAGCAGACAGTGATTTCCAGTGATGATACCAAAGTAGTGGTTATCGACAAGGAGCTGTTTCTATAGGATGCTTCCTTGGACAGTGTTCCCTGCTAGGGAACCTTATCTAAACACTGACTTCAGTGTGCACCTAAATAAAACTGAACTCAACCAGAGCTCAGGATGAATTGACCAATCTAAGAACTTTAAAAAATGGCTTCCAAACCTCAATTTCTGTTCCCCCTAAACAGTAGCAGCATTAGTCTGGGAACTGTCCTGAAAGTGGCAAACAGTAGATTATGTGACAATAAAAACACGTTAACACTTCTCTATTTAACAATGGAAGCTTCAGCAGCAACAGGCTTCTTAAGGGTGGTAAGATAATAAGTAATAATAATGGCCAGTCTTCACGAGTGAAGATTTGGGAAAGGTCATTAACTCTTCGAGCCTGCGCAGTGGATTTTTTAGGTGAGACACAGCGCGCGCTGAACTGAGCCCACCCTTTAATCCTGAGGTTCATCTGCCGGGGCCGAGCACGCTTGGACAGTGGCAGTGAGGGTCTCAGAACGTAGGTTTGTTTAGAGTGACCTTCTCTTAGATGGATTGCCTCACAGGGCTGACGAGCTCCATCTGCCCGGGGGGCTGGGAATCGAACCCGGGTCGCAGCGGTGAGAGTCCTGCACCCTAACCACTAGAAGTATCCACTATAAAAAGCCAGCAGAAGCAGCATCTCACCCCATAACAGGCTCCACAGCATGTCCCAAAATCTTAAAAAGGCTCAGCAGCTACTCTACAGTGTGGGTGGAAGCAGCTGTTTTGGCACCCTATGCAAGAGGTGCGCAGCTGCCCCAAACACCCGTGGTTTACATGGTAAACAGTATCAGGTTGATGTTTTCGACAGTCCCATCCTCTGGGGATGCAGCCGGCACTGGCACCATGCAGGGGGCCTCGCTGCCTCACCCGCCGCTGACCTGCTGCCTAATGTCACCCTTGAGGGAATAACAGACTATTGAGGGAGTAGGCCTGGCTGCAGCACTGCCTTCCAGGGAAGCTGTTCAGCTCTCCCACCAGAGTGCTGTTGGTGCCAGGAGACGAGATGCAAGGGCAACATCTTGCAGAAAGTGCTGCTTAAGCAAGGTGAGGCTTCAAGTTCAGAATGCCAGAGCTTGGCTCTTCACCCTGTATGGTGTTCTCAGGACAAGCCAAGGAGCTGAAGAACTACGGAAAATTATTATCCTCCAGTAGCAGTCCTGCAGGGTTGCTGCTTAGATTGTTTAATTCATAACTACACTTTGAGGAAGGTGAGAAATTCACAAATTTAAAAAAAAAAGGTACCTGAAGAAGAGGAAAAGCTGGTTCTGATGCTGATCTGATATGGCTGATGGAGGCAGATGTGATATATGTGATACATGATATACATGACTTTTTTCCACATTGCTCACCCAAGATTTTCACCTTCTCTTGTGACAGCTGACACTTCCCTGTGCATTACTAAACACACACAGTCAGTCATATCCTAGGGATGTACACAGGAAGAGTTTGGGAATCCGGATTAAGTGAAAGTAAATTTAAAATAACCATGAAAGATTGATGGCATTTATTTCCTTTTTTTTGGAGCACTACCATAAAAGCTCCAGCTTCTCATGGCATTCATGGGAAAGCACTAGGGTTTTCCAAGTATCTCTCTTTATATTGTCTGCAAGACGGTTTGTGCAAATTTGGCATGAAGCACCAGTCACCCATCATTACAGCTGTGCATATAGCTCACTTAAGAATTTTATAATTAAAAGTTATCCATATAATTTTCAAAGGACTGATGTCACCATGTCTGAAAAGAGAAATTCTGACATGACTGTTTCAGCCCTCCCAAGGAACAGTAATGTCATCAAAATTCACACAACTCAGCCTTGTATTTAAAGCATAAGGCTGCAAGTCTGTCATTAGCACGGCTACTACGCTTCTTCCTGGCCATAATGAATTGATACTTCAGCTGGATTTTTTGGCACTTTGGTGAGAAAGCTCTGGACAGCTGGAAGAGACCTGCTCAATCATTTTTTGTTTTTTTCTTTGTATCAATTTTCCACCTGTGAAGCCCAAAATCCCACCGCCAAGTGCAGCTGCAATTCCTGCCACTTTGAAGCCTGCAAGGAGACCAATGGGACCCCCCACTACTCCACCAATGACTGCACCTGCCACAGGCAGAGCTGCCAGCTTGTATTTTGCAGCCTGTAAAGGAAAAAAAAATATAGTTAGAATACTTGCCTGTGGCGATGTGCATTTTTCCCCTCACTGCTCTTGGCAATAACTTGAATGCTCAGTGATAAATAAACTTTACAAATTAGTATTTAAAAAAAGATGCTCGCCTATGCCACATGTATGACAGAATGTACTAAAACAATTCAAAACTGAGCTGTCTTGTGTATGCATTTGCAAACCAGGTCCTTTCATATGGTTCTGGCTGATTATGTACACTGGGTATTACCTGGTCACCATCATTAAATCAAACAAGAAACTGTGAAAATGCTCAGACTTTTCGTAAGGTGTCTGACTCAAGGCTTGGGGCTTATTTAGCAACTGACATCTACATGGAATGGTATGGAAATTACATGTTGTTGCCAACCTCTCGTTTTATGTTTATGTGATTCTTGCTAGCCAGTCACCGAATGCGCTTGTCTTTGCAAGTAAACCAAAGTAGCCTCAAAGTTGCACTAAAAAAAGCCCCCCAAAAATTAAATAATTGTATTTCCTTGTAGCCTGGATATGATAGAAAATTACAAGAGAGATCAATTTTTTTTCCCCCCTGCTACCTGTGGGTCATTTCTTCCTTATTTCCTTAATTGCTGGTTCCCTCAGCATTAAAGACGGCAGATCAATTGGGTTAATACAGAGGATTGCTGGGAGGCAGAGTACCATTGATTCACCAGCAGGAGCAGATCCCTACCTTCCCCAAGTTTTTGGTTCCCTCTTCAACATTCGCAGCAGCACTGTTGACATGGTCTTCAATCCTGTCAATCTTCTCCTGCTGAGACTAGATGCAAAGGAATTATGAGTGAGGTAACCTGCTGGGAAGCAGCAGTGAGCCAATACACACCATTTTAATGCCTGTAATCAGGACCCCACAGCCGCTTTCATCTGCTGCACACTGCACCCAGCAGCCTTAATGGTGCTTCACGATTAGCAGCCGATAACCTCTGCTGAAACTACACACTTACTTTACAAAAATGTAAACTATTAAGTAATAATATGGTGGAGGTATTAGACAATGTCTTGCTGCACTTAGAGAAAACAACCCAAAACATATGATTTCTAAATCTTTTCTGTAAATAGATAAATTTGCATTCCGAAGGGAAGAATAATCCAAACTAGCCTTTTTGTTTCCTGCTGAGTTTCATGTTAAAAAAAATATTCTATAAAAAGCATTTATAAGATCAGTACCAACTCCAACATACAAAGCTGCATCACGAAATCTAAGCAGGTGTTTAATTATGACATTATAAAACAGTGACTTAATTTTACAAATAGTGACAGTACTGAAAATATACTTGATGTTGCTCTGTATTTACTGTTTGATTTTACAAAACCACTCCATCCTTTCTCCAAATGCAGATTGCCCTGCACTGTCTCTCAGGGAACACTGGAGCAGAAGATAAAGGGGTCTGTGGGTTTGTTTGTTCTTATTTTAATCTCAGCAGTACCCAGCCTGTTTTATGTCACAAAATAATGAGATGGCTGATTTTCAGCTTAAAATAAAAGGCATTCTGTTTTGCCTCTTTCTAATTCAGAAACTGCTGAGTCCACCAGCTCTCGTATCTTCATTTACTATGCAGTCCACACACTTTAGATACTTGGTATTATATCTAATGATAGTTACGTGTAAAATCCAGAAAGTCCTGGGAGCAGGACCTGTTGCTTTAACCTTTAGGACACTGATTGAAAATTTTTGCAGTCCCACTCCAGCCTAATGCTTCTTAGTTGTTTTTTTTGTATAGGTGATGCAGCACATACTCAGCAGAAAGGATAAAAGCTAGCTTATTTATCCCTATTAACCCAACAGCAAGGAGATTAAAGAACTCTCCTAGGAGATGAGAATTGTGCATTTAAATTCCCTGTGGCACAGGAAGAACTAAACATTGGGAACTGAGTGTGGATGATGAAGACATTTTGGCAGTATTGTGAGAGCAGAGAAAGAGCACGATAAAGGTGAGGGATTTTTCTAGTACTCCTGATTAAGTGAGAAAAAGTACCGGAGAAACACCCACCCTGTGCAGTGAAAGCTGTTGCCACCATTACAGTTAGAAATCATACAAATTAATGGGTAGAAATCTGCAGACAACACTAGAGCTTCTACTGAGGTTCAGCTTGTGGCCATGTGCACTGCCTAGGACATTGTAGTTGTTCTGGTCACAAAACTTAGGAGCAACTACCAGCGCTAGTGCTGAAGCAGCAGACTACTGCCTCCTCAGAAAGTTACCTTGGCAGAGCCTGAATCCACAGGAGAGCCACAAAGACACCTGTAGCAATGAGTCACTGATGTAGGGAAGGAAGAGCTGTTAGTTTTCTAACCAGACAGAGCAGCAAAGTAGTTAAACTAATGCTTTTGGACATTCTTCTTGTAAATGTTACATGCATCACTTACGACTTTGGAAAGTGTCTAATGTCCCATCTTGGAAACTATAGTTGTATTTACCATAGGTCCCAAGTAGCAAAGACAGCACCTTTGTGCAGGCATCTCAGCTCACTGTGGGGAAACTGCTCTGCCTCTACTGGCATCTTGAAGTTCCTAACAGTGATCAGGATTTTGTAGTCTTGAATATTAGACTGAATAAATGTTATTATTTTCTTAATATTATTTTGCTGTTCTGTCACTTTGATAAAGTGATACTAGCTCAGTCTGAGCAGTCCAGGGGCAGAAGTATTGCTCGTCTTTTTTTTGTCCCCACCTAGGAGTTACCCATTCACCCTCTTTTTGCACAAGAGTGCGTAGGATAGAACACAGAATTAATACTTACGCTGACTAAGAGAGAAAAATCAGTCACCAACTGGCTGAGCTCAATCAAGTCCTACAAATGAAAAGCAAATGTTATTTTGTAATAGTTGCTAAAAACAAGAGGACCAATGTGCAGTAAGGGAGTTCCAACATACCCCTTCTAAACTTTCCCAGGATTCGGCTGCATTTTCTTCTTGAGGTATTTCCGGAAGGCGGGAGTAGATCTGGATTAAACTTTGGGAGCCGTCCTTCACTTCCACGTTATATAAAGTTTCTGAATCAGAAACAGGATGTTTATATAAATGCACTGAATCAGAATGCAGGTGATGTGCAAACCTTCTCACTCTTAAAGTTTCTCAAGAGTAAGCTGATACTTGACCTAATTCAAGCCAAGCAACAGCCCTGAAAATGATCATATAGGGGGAAGTCTTACAGCACTAGACAGTTTCTTAAAAGGATGTTATTGACAAAGAAATAGATTCATTTCCATTAGAACACTTTCACAATCAGTTCTGAGAATGATATTAAATTATACTCCTGAATTCAAGATCATTTAATTAATTTTGTATTGACCAGGCTAAGAAAACTGAGCCTGGGACAAAAACTTTCATTTACATATGACACATAAAAGCACTGCGCTTCCAAAACTGAGCAGACAGTTACTCACTTTACAATAGATTATCATGCCACTGGTTTGATTTTCAGCCATTTGGGACTAAAAGAATCTGGAGGAAAAGACTTCCAAAGTAAAAGCAGTGAAAACCAAGTAACACGGTGCCCAGCATTCAGTGCCTGATCTGGTTGGGTAATGGAACTGTGAGGATGACAAACATTTGCAGCTCAGAGCTGTACAGGAGATATTCTCAAGTAATTCTTACTTTCTAAATCATATGGACCGAATGCAGAAGACATTAGGACAAAGTACAGTGGAAAAAATGGGGAGTGAAAGACAGTGAGGGGGCAGAGGGGAGAGCAGATGCAATGAACAGACACACACGTACCTCCTCCACTCAAAGAGCCCGCTCTTGAGCCATTACAGATGTAACAGACGTGTGTATAATTGTGGACAAGTAATTAAGTGGTTATAAAGAATAATAACAAACAAGTGTGGCTTTTTGTAGCAAGGATTAAGGAAGAGAGCTTGAGAGTCTGAAAGGCAGACTGGAGAACGTATGTAAACACAGTGCAAAGATCACGTTAATTCAGACAACTCCGGTTTCTGAAGGGAGATCGCTACTTTAGTAGGACACGTGTTTCCTTCCTTGGAAAGGTGGTCTCAAGAGAAAGCTTATTATGGGGAAGGCTGGTTAGATGTGTCACAATATTAAAATGTAAATACTGTATTAAAATCTATAGAATCAATGAATGTGCCAAGGTATGATAATAATATTATAGAACTGTTACAACGACAGATATGAACAACGGAAAACAAAAAATATATTCATTAAAAAGTCAGTAACAGTGCATGCTTATTCATGAATTATTCTAAGATAAAATAAAAATTATACATTTTCATAACATTTGTTCATTTCTCAACATTTTTATCTCAAAACACATTAGGGACCTAATCTTCCTCTCAGATCAATAAAGTCTAACATCAATGAAGTTGATATTCAGTTGATAATTACTAAGTAAGCAAAGTAACAACCACGTAATAAGCAATTTGGGGTTTTAATTTGGGCTTGGTTTTCTTTCTAATCATTTCTACTCCTTTTCCTTCAAGAATCCAGACATGGAAGGCACTTCACATTCTACAATCATCACCTGTTCTTCCAGAACATATTTTTGATTTATAACCTCAGATTAATTAATGTTTTATACTCAGTTGTAAAATATTGTTTCCCCCTTTTCAGTATAATTAATCATGTATCCAAACATGTGCATTTTTGAGAAAACAGTTCTGCTACGTACTCTGACATTTATCATTGGTTTTGAGTATTTTATTCCATTTCAATCCTACACAATCCTACTTCAAAATCAAGTTTCTTCTCCCAAGAAAAGTGTACTCTTCCCTAATCAGCCACATGCATGCTTAGTTGGTTGAAATTAAAATATTCATAGTTCAAAAGTAAAATAAAAAGCTCACTAAGCAAAACTGCCTCCTCACAAGACTGCTCTGGTCTGTCCCTAACAATCTATGCTGACCTATTGTAGAAAAGCACATTCTTGAAAGTGTATAAATGATACCGAAGTTTTGCATTACACTCATTCAAGAGAAATTAAAACTGTAAGTAGGTTTACATGTTATCATTTTCTAATAACTAAAATTAGTGGGGAAAAAATCCTCAAGAAAATTCTTAACTCACTTCAGAAAACTAAGGTAAAGAACAAGAAGGGTAAGAGGTGGTCACATTTGGACTGAAAGTATGAGTAAGAAATTTATATTCACTAGTTCACTTTTTATCAAATCTAACCAATATTAATAGAACTGAGAATGGAAGTGGCTCCACAAGTTCACTTACAGCATCTCCACAGAAATGCAATAATACAAAACACCTTTGCAGATTTCACAGAGCGCCTTTGCACCTCATTACACTTGAGATAAAAATCTAATGCTCTGGAAGATTCAATATGTTGCTTAGAAGATTTTAGTAATTTTAAGAGTGGAGTCTCACCTTTTGTTAATATTTGTTTAATATGCAATTAAATTCCATTTCTATTGGCCCTCAGCTGAGGGTAGTGAATGGGGGAAGGGACTGTATCGTATCACTGACATGTCTTCTAAATGGGAGATTTGAATTTGTAAACTCCTTCCTTCTCTACCTGATGGGAAGCAACATGCTACAAAGAATGGGTGTACTGAAGCTCCTTTGATTAAGATCAACAGCCAAGATTTGCTTTCAGGACTGCAGCCTCTAAGCACAAAAGAATAGGCAATATATTGTGTCTGTGTTAGCAATTCAACAGAGCTGCTTTCACAGGCAGGCAAACTTGAAAAAATATCTGTTTAATTGTATTTAGTTGTCTGCCTGTCTGTTTCACTTTAAATGGGGTGAATTATTTCCATATTCATTTCTGTTCCCATCCCAATCTTTCTGATCAATGTCTTGTCTTTCTGAAGTGCTGTTACGCTCAATGTCCTCCATACTTCAAAGGTATTTCAGATTTCAAAAGCAGTCCTGTTCTTTGAAATTAAACTCTGGTTCCCATTTGCCACCTGTGTAACTGTTAGAAAAGCAATGTAAGCCAGGACAAGGCCTTTCCAATTAAATTCCAGAATGTACTGAGAACAACTGCAGAAAGTTACCAAAAGAAGAGGTATCTTAAATTTACTTTGGACCGTAACAGAGAAGAGGTCACAAATAGACTGAAAGTAATGGCTAATATGCATGAAAGGAATCACTGAATACTGAAGACAAAGTGTTCCCCCCAAAAGAGATGTCAACAAATTAAGCAAAATTATTAAGAGAAACTATGTGGAAGAAGTTCCTAAAGGATAAAGGACTGCAGAATTGCTGGGAGACACTGACAAAATAGGCTACACTGAGGATGACACCGAATTGTCCTGATGCAGAGGAAGATGTTTATGGCTTCACCAGGAGCTCTTCAGTGCCCTGGATGTCAAGAATTTGACACACAGTATTAGTACAAGGAATAATATAAGCACAGAAAGTTAATATCAGAAAAACTATGACATAAATAAATTTCAACTACCAAGGGACATAAATGATACCAAGGAAGCTTCTATGAATGCTTTTGAAGTTAGAGGAGGAAAAATGAAGTGTAAGTGCACTGTCAGGCAAAGAAAGAAAACTACAGATGACCCAAAGAAAGATTCAGCCAGTCTTTACACAAACAGGTCGATGTCATCAGGTATTGGATGCAATTAATTTAAAAAGGAAAGAAAAAAAGCGATAGGCTGAAACATAATGAGAACAGGTTAAAAATATTTAGATGAGCTAGGCCTATTTAGGGCCTGAAAGTTTGCCGAAATTCACTCTAGAACATTTAAGAAACTGCCTCTGAAAGTTCAAGCATATTTTTGAGAACTTGAATAAGATGGTCCAAGAGGGCTGCAAGAGAAGCGATTCAGTTATCTGAATCAGCAGAACGCAGCAAATAGTCAGACTTTGAAATCCACAAAGATACCAGGACAAACTACTGAACAACCAACTACAACATGCTGAAGGTGTTGAAGAGGTCAAGATTCATATGTTAGAAGCCTAAGAGTCTTTTTTGATGGCCTTGTAAGAAGATAGAATGTTTACAATGAGGGTGATGAGGCACTGGCACTGGCTGCCCAGATAAGTTGTGGATGCCCCATCCCTGGAAATGGTCAAGGCCACACTGGATGGAACTCTGAGCAACTTGTTCTAGTGGAAGGTGTCTCTGTCCATGGCAGGGGGCTTGGAACTAGACAATCTTTAAAGTGCCCTTCTAGCCCCAAACCATTCTATGATTCTCTATTTGATACATATTGACGTTCACAAGTTTTTTTGATACTACTGCACATGACATTCCTGAAATCAAGCCCAGTCTTCAAATCCTCTTTTCTCCCTGCTCAACCATGAGACTTGCTGGCTTGTTAATCACGCTTGAAAGAGTTCTTATAGTTCTGTATGCAGCAACAAGGGTCACAAAATCAAATCTGATGGCAGTTTCTTCTACAATGCCACTGACTGAGAATGCTCTTTCGATTTTAAGACACATGCAATGTTCAAACAATTCTGAACAGCATTGCTACGAGAACAATTAAATTAATTACTGGTATGTGGAAGGATTTAATCCTGATGTAACCAACTTTCTCACAGATCATTAGGAGAGAACACTGGCCAGTACCAGAGCAAAATAAGGCTTCTCCTGAAGACAGAGTGCTAGAACAAGGAAAGAAAGACATTTCATACAGAAAAGTGGGAAGAACAGCAAACATATCTGACTCGTAGCATGTTATAGTGTGTTTTCAAAATCTTTTATTTGAATGGATTTATACTCTTCTTTCTTTTTAGTTACCAAGTTAAAATGCTACAGGAAGAGATGTTCTCCTTACCTAGAGACTTGCTCCTCTTTTTCATATATTTCAGCAGTGATGTATTGTACTGCCTGTCATTTAAAAATCATTTTCTTCGTGATGTTTCTTCAGGCACTAATTCAACGAAAATGGCCTAAATGATTACTTGCACATGATGAAATTATTTGCACCAGGGGAAAAAAGAAGTCAAGCTACCATGAAATATGAATGTAAGTGTTCTGCTTCCTATGAACAATCCTCTATTTCAAGATCCAAGGCTACAGTATCTTTCTCATGGAAGGCCACAACTATTTAATTTCTTAAGATACTGTAGCATTTTCCACTTATCAAAAGTCAGTCACAGGTCATGACAAAAGTGTGATATATGGAAAGAACTCTACTTCTTGATTAACAGCTATTATTCAACTGAAATCTCATTTGTTTACTTCATTTACATCTGGTCAGCAAAATTCCGTACTGGATACAGTGATAGAGATACAATAAACACAAATTAAATTCTACTACCTCCTCCTACAGTTGCAGATCTGGTTAAAGAGGCATCCTCCTGTCCTTCAAGTTGCCTTCTAAGTTCTTCTGCAGATTCAGAATGCAGCTGCAGGAAGTCTTTAATGGCAAATGAAGCTTCCTCTTTAACAGGATTTATCATTCTCTGCAGAGCTGGGATGTCTTCCTGTCGGACTCGCAAACAGAGTTTCTCCATCTCTCTTATGTTGGCACGGAGTTGCTGCAAACAGTATTAAGAGTTATTCTGTAGCCAACAGAACATTTTGTGTACCAGACATCTTCAGTGCTTGGGAAGTAACTATCATCTTCAGGATATTTAAATAATCTTCAGAAGTGCCATTTCTACGCTTTAACAAACTGAGACCAAAAATCCCTAAAAACTCCCAGATTTCAAGCAATCCTTGTGTCATCTCTCTCTCTCTCCTCTACATCCATCTTCTTTTCCAGACTGCATTGTGTTTCCTGACTGCAGCTGGTTCGCCTGTCAAAGATGCCTCCAGCTGCTGCAAAAGCCCATGCCTAAGATAACACAGTGAATCCTCCCCTTGCGCCCATCCTGGCTCTCCCAGGCTGTTACTCATGACTCTTGAAGGAAGGCATCTGTGCTTTCAAGCACTTCTTATTTGGAGGTGCCACTGCACTATAACCAGCTCATTAAGTCTGTGTATTTTTAGCATTTGCTTCCGCTTGTGAGTTCACTCAGTTCTCCATCTATAAAAAAAAATAAATGGGAGTTGCAGCTCCCAATACAACCATCCCTCAACAGTGCAGTGAGCTACCTGCTGAGTCTTTTTGGACATAGCCTGTTTTCCATAAGGGAAAGCAAGCCATTCGCCCCAGGAGAAGAAGAACCAAAGATCAAGGAAGAGATGGTACCTGTTATCTAATGAACTAATTTATCCATACTATCAACCAACCACAAAACAAGGGAGAAATATTTTTAAAGCCATCCCCATCTGTGTTTCATTTTTCTGGCTGTCACACTTGGTACTTTATCCATTCTCCAAGTCAGTTTGTTTTATTTTGAGTTTCAATTAAAGTATTTAACTAATTAATTCACTGTGTAATTGCTGAAGTTATTTTTGTTTCTGTGATCAATTTAGGTCTTTGCCAAAATACTTATACAAGTTGCAACAAGTTGCAATAACATCCAAATAAAGTAAGTGATTGCTTTTCAAAATTTGCTTTTTTTTGTAATAGTAAGTGACTGTGGTGATCACAGGACTTCAGAATACAGTCACTCACAATCCCCAACTACCCCAAAACTACCACTTCCATTTGTAAAGACAACTTCAGGGACAAAGAATAAGGATTACTTTTTTTAAAAATATTTATATTTTTTCAGATAAGGGCAAATATATTTGTTTGATTGAAATATCAAATATAATAAAACATAGAAATATTTTTCTAGTTACAAGAGTTTTGAGAAGATATAAACTATTTACAACTAGGAAGAAGAGAGTGTGTGCAGGCATCTACCATGACATAAATTTCTGTCTACAGCAAAAGTAGAGGGATTTTTTATTGCCTGGTGTTTTAAAATCTAAAAATGCACACAAGTTTCTCTTCCAACAAATGAAAAGAAGAAATTTATAGTTTAAATTATACCACTTATTGTTTTAGGACAGAGGTTTTATCTAATTATAAAAAAATAAGACTGTACTTGAAATAATATTAATTGCATTGCATTACAAAGTGATATAATAAACTATATTCTTTATCACATTATTTAGCAATTGTTTTGAATATTCTTCTCAAAACAGAACAAGAGAATAGAGTAACACCAGTGAGTGGTTAGAAACAGAAAGATTTTCTTCTGTAATACAAATCAGGTACAGGTAATGCCTTAGAAAGGCAATATTGCTTACCTGAAAAAGCAGAACTAGATGGAATTAATTTTATTTATACACACCAGTAGAATTAATTGGTTTTAACATTTATGAAAAAAATGTAAAAAATATAGTTCGAGAAGGAAATTAATTCAACAACATGTTGAAGTAACATTGCACAGGTGATACTGGACATCCAAAGAAAGAACTATTGATTCATAAAAATTGTGTTAAATTACTAAAATTATATTGTATTATACGGTATGCTTAAATTAAAAGTACTACTAGCCAAATTAGGCTGCATTATTTAAGACTAACCTCAGGTAAAAACACTGATTGACAATTAAAAAAAGGGAGACACAAAAAAATAACTTTGCAAGACAGTGAGTTAAATTAAAAACATGGTAGCCAGTAACCTTCCTCTTACATTTCTCATCTTAATCTACCTTGCTCTTCCTGTTATCTTCCCCCCATGGTCTGCCCCTAAGTATGAAAAAAAGAGAATATCATCACTGTCATAGTGCACCATGTGCCAAAATACTTGAACCTTGGAATTTCATTCAAGAAACAAAATGGGACTATCTAGACCCAATACTTAATTATGTATTTTGTGAGAACTATACGCAGGGGACTGAGGTTGATCCTGCTGTTTTGCTTCAGGAAACAAACTCATTTTTATTATTCTGTATTTAGTCATAATGGAGACCAAAAAAAAAAAAAAAAGACGTCAAACAAATACTTGTGAAGCAGTGACAAGAGTGAGTTTTGGATGAGCTAATAATGCTGCCACACCAGCTTCTTCTAAAGAAAAAGGAAAATTTCAAAGTTGGAATCAAGTCAAAACGTAGCTCTGCAGGGGACCTGTGCCTCTGCAGCTGCAGCCAGGGCAAATTACCAGTACAGCCAACACACAAGTACTGTGCAGTGACCAACACACCACCAACTTGCTGGTGGGAGTTTTCACAAATCCTGAACAGAAGCTTCAAGAGATATGAACTACTCGCCCTAAGGAATGGCTAAATCAGATCCTCCTTTCCACTGTTCTCTACTACCTTGCTGATCAAAGAGAAGTACTTGTGAGAAAGAAGGTGGACAAATCAGATTATGATATTCATCTATTTGGTGAAATTTAATTTTAGTAGCTCTTCCTTTGTGGTTTTGGAGAGAGGACTCTTGTCCCATTTATTGTCAACTAAACAGAAGCCAAATGGATTCAGCTCAGCAAGAAAGCTCAGCCCCGCCGAGAAGACACACATCCTAGGAGCTCACCAAGGTGTAACATTAAAAATGTTATGGATATGCAAATGACTATGACTTCTTTTCATAATAATTTTAATGGGACAGAGTTTAAGTTTTGGGTAGAGCATAAAGTATATCACTCTTGTCCCAAATGTTTTCACTTTTAAAGTGAAGCTTACTTAGCAAGGAAGGTAATACAAAAATTCTCTTTCCATGTACGTGAACTCCTGAGTTTTGAACTTGCCAAATTCAACCCAAAAGACACAGATTTTTTTTTAATAATACTTGCAATTTTGGTCTATTAACTTCCAAAGCCAAACAACAATCTTTGTTTCAAATGGCTTTCTCAAAAAAGCCATAGGAAAATAAAACTGGAGAAAACCTTGTGAAGTCATCCTTTCAGCCCATGATCTGCTGTCCCTATATTATTTCTGTTAGTTGTTTTTCTAATCTGGTCTTAAAAGGACTTCTTTATGAAGAGCTACAACCTCCTTGATACTATACTGCAAGAATTCATTATCTTACTTGCCATAGCATTTTCCTCATATCTAACAGAAATCCCTCTTGCCTCAGTTTAAACCAGGTATTTCTAATCCTCCCTGTTCAAAACAGGGAAAGACAAGCCCTGTCCTGTTTGCAACCATCTTTTCTGTGTTTGCAAACACACAGCACAACACTGTCAGGTGCTCTTTGGGCAAAATAAGTAATTTGTCGATCTTTGCAAGTCAGTCTTGTTTTCTCAGTTTCTGACTACATTCATTGCTCTCTCTAATCACTTTGCACCCTTCTTAAAAGCGTGGTGCCCAAACTAAGTCAGACCCCTGAGTGTTCTACCTGGGATCCTTCTACTCCTGATCAAAGAGACTGTATGAGAGATCACTCACTACTCTCCCATTTATACATCCCACTACTTTATTTGGGTTTTTGTATCACTACCACACAATCAGTTCACTTCTACTCTGTGTCCCTCAAGTCTTATAAAATTCTTGGCCTAGGTCAAAGGAACTCTGAATTTGAGAATATATTGACCCTGCAGATGGCCACAGGCTGCAACAGGGAGCTAATCTTACATGATCCCTCACTGACACCATAAACCATCTCCTGCAGAAATAAACTTTTTTACACTGCTTCTCATGCCCTCCCAGTGTATCTACCTAGTGTGCCAGAAGGGTACCTATAATTTGAAGACTGCATCATTTTAAAGATGGTACAGAAGACCTGAGACATAAAACTGAGCTTTGAAGATTCATGCAAAAGAGAGCTGACAGGAAGCCATCTTTCACTTGTAAACCATTTTCAGTTGAAATAAAAGTCATAAAAGTGAAAAACAAAAAAAGAAATAGATTAACATTTTCAAGCAGCTTTCTGGGTCAGAGCAACACAGTGGAAAGACTATGTCTGCCTAGGTATGTTTTGCAGAACTGAATCTCCTTTTGTGGGATGGCTATAGGCTAAAACCAGACTGTTCATCCACAGTATTTTTCTTCTTTTTTTTTTTTTTTTTTNGTTTTACATCCTCTCTAATAAGTGCAGCATTTTCCTTCCTCTCACTATGAAAATGATCAAGGCAGTCCTTCGGTTTTGCAATAAAATACCACCATTTCATTGAAACTACTTAAACCTTGCAATAATTAGTTAATTGTATGCTACAGCCAGCACGTATGTGGGCAAAGCCTAGCAAAACTACATACTGATTCATGCCCCAACATTTTACAAAGTCCACAGACTGTCCCTAAAAATGAAAATATACATGAATATATACATTTGTGAAAATTAATATATGATACACAAGAACTATTTCCTCAGTATTTTGGAAAGGGTGCCATCGTGCCCTATGCATAGATTTCTCTGTTTTCTTCACTTTCTTTTATTGAAGTTCTTAATGTGGCATCCAGCCACCAGAAAGAAGAGGTATAGATTTATGCCTCATCTATACTTCTATTGTAATTTTGACCATCATCAAAAGTACAACAGAAGTAATTATTCTGGGTAAACTGAAAATTCAGAAAAATGGCTAATTATGTGCACATGGATTAAATGTAGAATGGCTGTGCATATATTTGTCTAAAACCTGTGGCGGATGCCTTGGGTCAATATTGACTTAGGGATTCCTAATGTATTTTTACAACATCTAATTCTGAGAGCAAAGTGTGTGCTGCAGAGAACATTTGGTATCACAATAATTAATCTGATTTCTTTGCAAACAAACAGATCACAAGTCCATTGGTAAACATTTAAACAGCTTACAGCAAACACATTCTACATGTCATATAATTTATTATCAAGTACTCCAGACTCCTAAATATTTAATTAAAACAAAGAGCTAGTCTACTCTTCTCACATGGACCCAGATTCTTACTCTGCTCTCTGGGTATCAGAATGTGAACTACTTTAATGTATAACTTGTATCTAGATCTAAAGGCAATAAGCATTAAATAAAATATAAGAAAATTTATTCTGGCTGAAAGTGAAAATGGTAAATTTTGAATTCAAGACAAATATAAATGTTTCTAGAGACAAGGAGTCTTCTTATTAACATATCTAAAAATATCATCTTCAACACCATTATTTTTTCTCTAATTATTGATAGATTTTGTCTTGCTAAACAAATGATACTGATAACTAAAAGTTCCAAGAGAAGCCTTTCCCACATCTCAGATGTGAAAACAGATCAGACATAAGCAAACACATGCTTCCTACACCACAGCTGTTAAAATGTCACTGTTTTAACAGAACATCCACCTTTGGAAGACTCTTTGAATATTAAAAATAAACTTATATTCAAATTTCAAAAATATTTAGTGAAAAATCAAAATAAACATTCAAACCTCCAATTTACAGAAAAATCAAGTGGATTTCACGTGTAACTCCTTATCATCTACATTTAAAAAAAGCTCATTAACACCTTCCGTTCCTCAAAAAACACACGTAACTCCAGCTCTGCCTACTATCTGGTCGTTTAACCAGGGTGAAGTTCTTTCTGAGGCAAGTTGTTTGGGATTTTTTTTTTAGATTTTTAGTCTGGTCTAATTTTCCACAGGAGTCAGTAATGCACTGAAACAAACACAGGAATTTACAGTACTAGAATTGTGAAATGCAGTAGTTTAGGACTGTGCTACTACCTGTGCTGGCAAAGCCTGCATTTCTAGTTGCAGTATAGGTCACGGAAGGTTTGTTCTAGCAGCAAAGACACGTTCCTTCTCTGAACATCTATGAAACCAACACAAGATGCCTCTCCTGCTGGCCAATACATGTCTGTCCCCAAAATACTGGCAGTACAGGATGTTATAACCACTACCTGCTGTATCTGCCTCAGCAAACTTTGCCTTGCAGAGCTGGTCTTTGTGTCTTTCTGTATTGATAATCTCCTTTGGCTGTGTGCTATTTAGCAGTGTGAAGGCTGATGTTTGGCATGAGCTTCTGCATCATTTTCATCAAGACATGTATATTTTTAGAAACAGCTGTGCTGACTTATGGGTGACTATGCATGAAGTCACTGAAATGATGCCCATGAAGACAAATGTGTCTGGTATTTCCTCCTTTGATGACACTATGCAGCTAACAATAGATCTGCACACCAAACTAGTAGTCCAGATGTTCTGTTTGTCCAAAATCATGCTTTAAAATTATCAGTATCCCTTATTGCAATACCTGGCTTCTAATTTAATAATGTAAGAGGATTGTTTGCAGAAGACCAGAGACTCCAAACTTTTGTTTGTTCAAGAATGCAGAAACATTTCTGATTGTGTTTGCCTCATAGGACACAATTAGGAAATTCCTACCCTTTAAATGAAGTAAAGCAAAACCTAGTACTTGTTAAATCCACCTGTCAAATACATCTCTCTCTAGATCCATCTCTGAGATAACTGGAACTGTGTAGGTAATTTAATTCCATTAATACTACAGTCATTTTAATATTCTTACCTGAACTGTTCGTCCTGCGTTGATGTGCTCTTCGTGCAACCTGTCCCAGAGCCTGCATCTCTGATACTAAAACAGAGGAAAAATACTCCATATAATTGCTATTTTTAACACCTGCTATGCCGAAAAAAAGGGCACTTTTGGTAAATAATCACTTTAATTTTCAAAAATCGACAGTAAAGAAGCTGAATCATAAACAATTCTGCTGCAAAATCAGAGAGGTATAGGAATTTATCACAAATTTTGTGAAAAATTTTGTACAATACATTTTACTGAATGGCAGATAACCAGAGATTAGTGTCAGTTTTTAACAACAGAGAGATATTGCATCCTGATATTGCTGTGGGCATAAAACACTTGGTGGGCAGTAAAACAAATGGCAGAAGAAGGAAAAAGGAATGGAATAGTGGATAAGCAGTACTGGTCATATAGGACAACGAGGTATCTGGTACTATTCACAAGGAAAATGGCATTCATTACACAATGCTACTGTCTACATTTACACTTACCATTTCTATATAGTTACAAACACAGCTACAAGAACCATCAGGGCAGATTTGGCACCTGCATGATGCTCCACTATCCATACAGAACTTCCCACAGACAGAGACCAGAGTAATTATTCCATTAGCAGAGAGCAAGTTTAGCAGAAGAACTGCATATTATCACATATAAACCTTTTCATCATTAAAATAAATCAATCCCTGCTATAGGCAGTTGACATTAATAATATAGAGGCTTTATCCTGAAAAAGAGTAGTAAAATAACAGAAGTAGAAGCTGTGATTCCTGGAACGTGTGCTGAAACTATCAAAGAATGCATCTACAATACTAGACAGCATTAGAATATTTATTTAATTGTTTAAATAACAAGACGAAACATTTACTATGATTTGTGAGGTGTTTTTAGGTAAAGTTTAATTCCTCAATTTCTTAATATGCTTTGTTACCAATAAAAAACCTTTATCTACAGCCTATATCTTTCCATAATTATTTTCATAATTTTACAGGCCATGGCAATAAGGATCACAAGTCACTCAGCTTGCTAAAATACAATGAAAAATCTAAAGTTACTACTTATTTTCAGAGAAAAAGTTCTTTCACATTAGGATTTTGTGGTGCTATGGAAGACAAAAGGTTTAGTGTTCAACTAAGTCAGATTCATGTCATTTTTCTAGGAAACTAGCAAAATGCATAAATTACTATGCCACTAAAATTACTGCCATTGTTCTTTAAAATAAAATGGACAAAACCCCCAGTATCAACAGTATATCTTACAATTTAGTCATCCCTGAAAGAGTACTGAAACAGGAATTTCTGAGGTTGTACCAGAAGGGGTTCAGAGAAAAATTACCCATTGAATTTCAACTGACTGTAATACATTGTCCAAATAACTAGTAATAAAAAATCCTGTTTTCCAGTTAAAAAGAACAAGAATTCCTCAGGAAACCTTTACTGGTCTTTATAATTTCTACTAGAAATGCTCAGCACATTTATCTGCTTTATATTTAAAGGTATTACTAGTTTGTTTCAAAATTCCTAGTAGGCTAGTGATGAGCTCAAAGAATCCAATGACTTAATACTGCCAGAGCAATGACATTCACGTGGTCAGCAAATTCCTCCTCGTTGTCTTCTGTTTGTTACCCAACCCAAAATAGGCCATGCTCCCAGACAATGTTCACTCTGGAGGCCTCAAGGATAGTAAAGCTTGAGAAGAGATGGTATTGACGTTATTCATCGTGAAAGTTGGGACTGTTCAGCCTGGAGAGGTTTGCATGGAGACCTCACATTAGCCTTCCGGTATCTAAAGGGGGCCTACCAGGAAGCCAGAGAGGGACTCTTCATCAGAAACTACAGTGACAGGACAAGGAGTAATGGCTACAAATTGAAAGAGGGGAAATCTAGGCTAGATATTAGGAAGCAATTCTTTACTGTGAGGGACACTGGAACAGGTTGCCCAGGGAGGTTGTGGATGACCCAACCCTGGCAGTGTTCAAAGCCAGGTTGGATAAGACCTTGAGCCTAGTGGGAGATGTCTCTGCCCATGGCTGGGGGGTTTGGGACTAGATGATCTTTAAGGTTCATTCCAACCCCTTAACATTCTATGATTCTATCATGAACAAACACATGTAAAACTGAGAGAGGTCCATGAAGTAAAAACATCTATGAAATCCTAACCCATTACAGCAGGTCCAGAGTAGGGCCACAAAAACGGTCCAAGAGCTGGAACACCTCTCCTGTGAAGACAGGCTGAGAGAGTTGGGATTGTTCAGCTTGGAGAAGAGAGATCCTACTGCAGGCTTTCCATAAACAAAGAAGGCTTAGAAGAAAGACACTTTTTACAAAGGCCTGTAGTGACCGGATAAGGGTCAACACTTTTAAATGTTTAGAGGTTTGGATTGCACATAAAAGTTTCTCTACAATGAGGGTGGTGAGGCACTGGAACAGGCTGTCCAGAAAAGTTGTGGATGCCCCATCCCTGGAAGTGTTCAAGGTCAGGCTGGATGGGGCTTTGAGCAACCGTATGTAATGGAAGGTGTGCTTGCCTGCAGCAGGGGGTTAGACTAGATGACCTTTCAAGTTCCCTTCCAACCCAAATCACTCTGTGGTTCTGTGATATTTAATCATAATTATGCTATACTCGAATAGTTTGTATTTGACATCAGAAATATAAAACATTAGGCTGCTCTTAAACACTCGATCTCTTTTCCTCTTTGTCCCATTCCCTCTTGAGAGCTCTCTTTGCAAAGAAACCTTCATGCTTATCCTTTAGATCCCTTCCATTTCTCCTTGAAAGTATCCAGTGGACATGGAGAGAACTCAAAAGCTTCTCATAATATTTCCTGCTAAAAGCTCTTCAATAAATGTCTTACACAAATGTATACACTCATATGAAGACTGTAGTAAGACTCAGATATCTTAATTTGTCATTTTGTGTTGCCTTTACGTATCTTGCCACCACAACAATGGTCCCCAGCCAAAGGTAAAAAGTGTTTCACACAACATCCTTTAGCTTTGGCACAGTGACAGGAGATGAAATTAAAACCAAAAGTGACAGAGAAAACAGTGTCTTATAGCACTTTCTTTTTTTTTTTTGGAAGATTGTTGCATATCACCAACAAAGTCTAGGGTAGTATGCCAAACAAAATCTCCACCTTCCTGTACTATTGTGACAATTGCTTTCATCTAACTTTTTCATGTAACTTTTGGATACAAATGCATTTTATTCCCTCTTGGAGGGAAAGGCCATCCAATCTATGGAATGTACTTCAGAAAACAAGAATTTTCATGGGGAAAACATGGAAGGAAAATGTACAGAGAACTGATTTCTTAAGGATGTAGGTTTTAAGTCTTCAGAAACTGTCATATGGAAAGTTGGACTCTCAAATAGTTGACAAGTAATGATGATGGATTTATGGTAGCCACCTCCTCTGAAAAGGTGTACTCAAGGTCAAATTTCATTATATATTGATTTTATAGTTTCTTCAAACAGTGATTTAGTAGATTAATTGTTTGGACTATCTCTGGAACCTAAGGTTTAAATCAATATTCATGAAATGAGGTTAGAGATATTGGCTTCATCATAAGTAAATAATGTTGCTGCTCTAAGCAATTTGACATAATTAGTGATTTTTGCTTAAAAGTAGCCTGTAAAATAAACAGAATCACATTCTATAAAATTATCCTTTTACCCCTAGGGATGTTGGTTTACATGGCTGAAAGTTAATTTTACAAAAAGTATTTTAGAGAAAACCATTTAAGCTGCTGCTGATGACAACTCACAAAAGTACTGTAACACATTCATTATGGCTAAAATGCATGTAAAAGAAATAAAATGCAAATTGCCACCAAGCATTTCAACCAAACTATTGCTAATATTCTGCTAACCTGAAAGTATCTAGTGACAGTTTTCAGGATACATTTTGCTATATTTTTCTTCTCACTTTCTCGTAAATCTATCAATAGAGTAAACTTTGTAATATTTATACTTCTTACAGCCAGAAAAATATTTTAAAAAAAAAAATCAAGAGAGAAATTTTCAGATTTTAAGAACATTATAATGAGTGTGAACTTCTTAAAGAAACTGGCATTAAGGGACTGTTTTTATACTCAGATATATTACCTCTCATCTATATCTTTGTCTTATTTTTTTTTTTAATGTACAGAGGTTCCGTAATCTTCAGTATTGTTATCTAACTTCTGGAATAGTTACCAATTGTTTATTTAAAGGTTTTATCCATTGTTTGTTTCTAATAATTCTATGAATTATTCATTCAAAAATAAAATCTGCCAGGATTTATACTGTCTAGGCATGCAGAAATTTTTAACTGCATTCTGAAATCAGAAACACAAATCTGTACTAAACATTGCTACCACTTCTTGCTTCATAAAAGTGTTGTTCTAGAGGAAGTGCCATTAACATTTTAAGAACCATGTTTACAATTAAAGGATTTTTGTGATATGTAAATTTTATTATGTTGACTGAACAGATCATTCACACTGATACCATGAACACCCTAAAAATCTCATGAAATGTCCAAACTGCATCTCCTCATTTCTGGGTGACTTCCTCAAGACTCTGAAGAATGCCAAGCTTCACTGCTCCACACTCATTGATGCTGTTGGTGTTAACAGAAGTGCTGCCTTGAAGATACAATTTTTAATGTAATTTTAACATAAACCAACTGCAGACCAAAAACTACCTCTCTGCAACCAAGGAATCCCTCTTGTGCATTATGGCAAATATGTTTCTTTCCTGAGCAGTCATGCAATTTCTGGTTAGAGAAAGAAGGAAACAACCTAGCTATCACGAGTATCTCTATTTGAATGAAAGAGCTTTCAAGGAAAAGCTATTATTGCACCTCTGAATCCTGTCCAATTCCCTATCATTCTTCACTAGTTGCCCTCTGTGGCCACTGATGTGTACAGGTCGTGCACACAGTCAAGGCTCCTTGCTCCCCCTGGAGCTACTCCTGGACACTAAAAAACGAAGCTGTTGCAAACTGGCTGATTCCAAGGCAAAAAAAGAAAAAAGCTAAATCAGCTGGTATTTAGGTAATGTGACAAATTATACCAATACGGAATAACAAAGTGTAAACAACACACTGTGACTGAAATATAGGTCATCTCACACAGCAGTTATTGCTTCAAGCAAATATTATACTAAAGCACTTCTCCATTTGTGATTATTGCAGTTCATATCCTTATTGTATCCTTATTACACCCCTAACAGAAAAGAGTCAAATGATTATCTGCCATCCTTAGTCCTAGCAGCCCAGGTCTTTCTCTATCCCAGTTTTTCTCTCATCCCATGGTCAGACACCATTTCTGCACATTCACCTCCTATCTGAGGTACTTCACAAGCTCCCTCCACCCAATTCTTTATTTACATGAACCAGGAATAATTTCCTCTCACACAAAAGTAAGGGAAAGTAAGAGAATGAGACAGTGGAAACACACTAAAATCATCTCCCTCTTTGCATTCTCAGATTCAGGAACGATCAAATTAGCAGCTCCAGGAATGAGTTCTGCTAATTTCTAAGCACAGGAACATGCTTTATTGTGGGGTAAATCTATAGCAATCTTCAGCTGGTGAGGTTCAAACAATATCTACTGAATACCTGCAAAGCACCTTTTTTTTCCAGAATCATAACTCCTGGCCAAAACCCATATTTTTAGAGGCACAACAAAATGTATGATCTGGAAAAAGACCACCCCACAAAAATATCTGAAGTGTTACAACATATGTCACTGTTCTGAAAAGAAATTATCACTAAGATATCAATCACTATCACTTAAATTAAGCATTTCTTATTAAAAGAAATTATTGTCACTTGAACAACACATTATTTCCTATGTTCTCAGAAACAAATATGGATTTATTTTCTCTCCTTCCCCAGTCCCAAGGCAGAAACCTGGCATGGAAAATTTCATCCAAAAGGTTAGCCACTTGGTAAAGTTACAGAAAAGTTATGGTAAAAGTTGTGAACAAATGATAGCAGCAAAATGCAGAACAGTTTCAACACTAGATTATACACCCCCTTTAGAACATATCTTTCAGGAAATCAAAATCATGTTAACTTATTTTCTTCCAATTTCTTCATTCCTTCCCAGGGTGTTGAAAATGTAGAGAGCAGTCCTACACCATACAGATTTACATGTGCACTTGACTTTATACATTGTGAATAAGCTTAGTCAAATTAACATAGTGAACGATTTTCCAGAAACCCGTGCAGAACTACAGACACTCACTGTCACTGACTTTTCTGTGGTGGTAAGTAAAACCTTTTCTAATCAAATATGTCTTGTATGGTCATTTCAAAACTTCCATAGCAGTGCTGATGTTATGACTCCAAGTGTGTTTCTGAATCACTCGCTCTCTTACCTTTTTTATTGTTGTCACCTGTTTTAGCAAATCTCTTACCACCTTCCTCAACAAACCAGTCTCTCTGTTTCCACAGGCTATATACTAATACACAGAGTCTGGGAATCTGATCAACTTCCAAGTCTGGAATCTGATCATCTGTGCTGCTAAATTGTGAGAACTGCCCCGGTCATGCCAAACAACTCTCTCACATGAAGAGTTCCTGAGAATGGCTAAGGAGTTATAAACAGAGAGCAGAGGCTATTCCCCATTAGCAGCGTGGATGCAGCCACCCTGTTTAGCAGAATATGAGAATTTAATAACATAGGCCATTTAATGACATAGGCCATTTCATGCCAGACAACTGTCCTGGGTATGTTTATTTAACCTGTACAGGCACTGCCACAGTGCTTGCAAGAATTTAACTTCTTAGAAGCATACTCAAGTTTCACTGTCAAGCGTGAGCTAACGCCAACAAGAAGCATATAAACATGCTACAATTTTGATACAATGCTTTTTTAGTTCACTTAAATAATTCAGTCTCTCTATTTCTCTCAACTCAGTTTGAAAATATATAGAGAAAAAGATAGATATAAACATTAAGTTACTCAGAACAGTTGGCACCAAACCATAGTGACTTCAAAGTAAAGTAAGAATATTAGGCTGCTATCCCCACAGTAACATTTTAACACAAAAGCAGTGTTTCTCACTCTGTAGCCTGATGTTTACTACAAATGTAAAGATCTTTGTGCACACTGAATTACCAGACAATACAGAAATTTCATCTTCACCCAAATTTGTATTAAAGCATTTCATAATCAATTTTTCATCAAAATCTCTGTATAATCTTCCAATGTGATTGATTCTATACTGTAAAAATAAGTACATTAGTAAAAAATAAACACTAACCTTCTCAATATTTATTTGGTGTTTTCTTAACCTTTCCAAATCTGTTGGAATTGCCACTTTAATGAATTTCTGAATTGCAGGTTCAATTCGACGGAGTTTAACCTTTTCTTCATCTTCAGACATCCTAAAAGCAGCCCTCAAGTGAACACCTGTGCAATATACCTTCACCAAGGTAGAAACCCCTAAAAAACAAACAATTACAAGCTTACAAAAATGTAGTAACCTTGAATCACTTTTTAAAAGAAAGCAAAATAAGCTAAATCACTGGGTTCTGTATTTGCATTTAAATGTATTATTTCCACTTATTTGCAGGCTTGGGGATCATTTTTCATAGATAAAACTTTACACTAAAAAGAAAAAAACAGCTAAATAACTAAGGCAGAGGCAAATATACTTTGCAGCACCATAACGACGCATGAAAAGGTTTGAAAAAAAACTTCCAATTAGATGCTTTGATTGATCAGAGTTCAAGTTTTGCCAATTTTCATCCAGAGTCATCTTACAAATTGTAAAACACGTCCTGAAAAGACACTAATTTTGGAATTCAATTTTCTGGAAAGATTAAGAGCGTCTGAATGAAGATTTGCTGGTGATGAGGCTGGTGAAGGGACTGGAGCACAGGCCCTATGAGGAGCGGTTGAGGGAGCTGGGGTTGTTTAGCCTGGAGAAGAGGAGGCTCAGGGGAGACCTCATCACTCTCTATAATCACCTGAAAGGAGGTTGGAGCCAGGTGGGGGTTGGGTCTCTTTTCCCAGGCAACCAGCAGTAGGACAAGAGGACATGGTCTTAAGCTGTGCCAGGGGAGGTTTAGGTTAGACATTAGAAAGAAATTCTCCACAGAGAGAGTGATCAGACATTGGAATGGGCTGCCCAGGGAGGTGGTGGAGTCACTGTCCCTGGAGGTAATTAAGAAGAGGCTGGATGTAGCACTTAGTGCCGTGGTCTAGTTGACAGCGTGGTGTTGGGTCATGGGTTGAACTCGATGATCTTGGAGGTCTTTTCCAACCTGGCTGATTCTGTGATTCTGTGAAATTGCAAATGTCCCCTACTGAAAACAACTAAGGCATCACCTAGCAAGGGGTATAAACAGCTGCTGAAATATTCACAGGACCAGTATGTACATAAGCATCCTGAATTCTGTTCCCTGCATATGCATAAAACATAACTTTGGAGTTTCACTTCTCTAAGAGAAAGATATGTAGTACTGTATATAATAGCACTTATCTACAGAGCATACAAGTAATATAAAGGAATTTAATTATGCTGAATGCACACAAGAGGAAAGAACATTGTGAGATAACTTTTTTGTTTCAATACTGTGTAAACAGAAGTTATTTAAATGAGATTATCTTTTTGTATGTTCCTTTAAAAAAAACAAACACAAGAGATGTAGTTGATTTGCAGACACATATGAAAAAGTTTTTGTCACAAGAAAAAAGGAACATGCTACCTTGGTTATATGAAAGCACCTGTGCTATGTCAGCAATTGCATCAGAAGGCTTTCCCTGATTTTCCTCTTTCAGTAACTAAACTAATTTAAAATAATCAACCTAGCATAATTCTTTTGGTACAGATGAGGCACAGCAGAATATAACAGGTAAAAAAATATTCCCATTTTTCACACAGTCAAATGTCTAATAATGTCTAATTTCACTGTTAATAGCATTAACAGTGAAATTAGACATTATTTTTCTCACGTCTACCTATGGTGTGAAAATGCAGAAAGAGAGTGTTGAGATTTTTCTAAGACCTGTGATTCCTGCAGGTAGAAAGAACTTGAAGCCAAATACCAGCTGATGGCACTGGATCTTTGACTAAACCTCTCAGTGTTCAGTCCCAGCCATCACCTGTAGGCTGCAGGGAGGATACCTACAAACCTCCCCCAACTTCAAAGGAGCCAGGTGGTAAGCATAAGCATCTTCCATCAGGCCAGTAAGAGAGGGAAAACAATTCTGGTACAGGGAGGAAAGCAGTTCCCACCTTTTTCAACACAGTTGCAAATGAAACAATGTGTTTTTTCAGAAGAACAGAATGCTGACACAAGGCTCTCCTGCTTTATCTATCCCACCCAACAAAGCAACTGAAAACTGTGGAAAATGCAGTGTCTACTGAGAGTAAATCAGGTTAGGGGAAGTCAATCTTTAAGGTTTCACTGACACACCTTTTCCTTTTTCAAAATCTCAGAAGGAAATTATTTCATCAAATGACTTCGCAGTCACTGCTAAATCATCCCCATTTCAAATTATAGATACACTATCAGTCTTACAAATCCCCTCCTAACCCAAGGCATTTTATATTAAAAGTCCTTTGTACAAACCTTCAAATAAACATGCAGTGAGTGGGTGACCTCACATTTTTTCAAGTTGCAAAAAGAACTTTAATCCTTTTGTGTTGATTTACTCTTTTCACCATTCTAAAAACAGTGGTTTAAATGCAAAATGATAACAAATACATTAGTTGTTCTACTATACCTTGGTCACTACAGTCCCTAACCTTTGAAAGAGCCACTCATATATCACAATTTAACTCAATTTTGAGCCTAGAACTGATTATTTTTTTTTGTAATGAGCAAAGGATAAAAAGCATCATACTCCAAACTGCAGTACTTCCTCTTTGAACTCACATTAATTTCCTGACAGTTTAAACACTAATCCATGAGTTTATGAGCTAGAATTAATTAAAAATTGGTTCCTCAAAGATATTTAGGAGCCATGTCATGCTTTTCTTCAATAGTGAGTCATCTTGAAGAAGAGACAACACAAATTCTTCAAACTCACTGCACAACATGAACTCAGAGAAACCCGCATCCCATCCTGTCTTAGAAAAAAATACAGCAGAGACTAAGCTAAATCCATCATAATTTTGTCTTTAACCTTAAATGACATCTAGAGATTGTTAAGGGTCAAACCTGACAGTTTAGATGACTTACAAATGGGACCACTATGAAAGCAGAGTTAATGTAACCAATGGCCATGAGCCTTGAGTGGATGACCTGAATGTGCAACAGTTGTAAATTCAAAGATTTGGCTGCGTGCAGGATAGTTATTTTCTTCTCCTTAAAAATTCCCAAACAGCAAACTACCTTTCATGACAGAGTCTACAAATCTCTTAAAAATCTCTGCTGCCTAAAATCTACTGCACAGCAGGTTTGAGAAACTAAGAAAGAAATATAAGAACTCCTTACATTCTCATCAGGTCTCCTGCTTAATGTTGTCTCAAGCAGTATAGTAGCTTTTGTAACAAAAATTCTAAGCCATAAATTACCAGTAAGAAAATATGCAATGTCTTACTTTTTTTTCTAATTCATATAATATGGTACATAAAATTAACATTACAACTTTTTTTTTTTTTGCTGATGCAATTTCAAGGAAACCTTGCATACTTTATTTGGCTTGTGTTTTCCTAAGCATAACTTTAACAATTCATTTCTAAAGTAATAATGTCTGTTCTTTGAGTAATCAACAAATAGCAGGACAGTTTAGGTTGGGAGGGATTTTCACAAGCTATCCAGTACAAGCTGAATTAGATGTGATAGCACAGGCCCTCGTCCAGTCAAGTTCTAACACCTCCACGGATGGATGCTCCACACACTCACTAGACTCCTCCTTCAGTGTTTGACTATTCTCCAGGTTAAAAACAAACAAAACAAAACCAGGACCAAAAAGACCTTCCTTGTAGCTCATGTCCATTGCCTCTTATCCCACTGTCATGCACCTTCAAGAGCAACCTGGCTCTACAGCTTCCACTTACAACACTAAGATCTCCCAATTCCTTCCCTTTCTCTTAAGGCTGAACAAATCCACCTCTGTTTCTCCCGGAATATCATGTGCTTCAGCCCACTGAGCACCTTGCTAGACTCAGAGGTGCTGAATAGAGGGGAAGTCACTCCGTGGACCTGCTGTTCCCCAGCTGCATTTACTAACACAGCCCCCAGTGCAGTTGTCCTTCACTGCAACAGCGCACTCAGACACGTATTTAGCTTGGGGTCCACAACACACAGGTCCTTTCCTGCAAGGCTGCTCTCCAAGTCTTCCTGCAGCCTGTTCTAGTTGTAGGGCTTTCTTCTTGCCTTTGCTGGAATTCTTGAGGTTTCTGTCTGGCCATTTCTCCATCCTGTCACGATCCCTCTGAGCAGCAGCCCTGTCCAGCCTACAAACCACTCTCCGCAGGCAAGTAAAAACACTGCTCTCAACTTCGGCTTTTTCAGGTGGTAATTTTGCCTCTGTCCTTGGATCTGAATTGCAGTCAGCAACCACGCAAACGTGCAGAAGTTCTGAGCCACCCTGAGAGGGTGCCATTCAGATCCCACACAATTGTGTGACAGATCACCTTCCCTTTCTGACCTCTTTGTACAGGACTGTCACTTGAACAGGGGCTTGGACAGTCCTTCCTACAGGCACTTACCGAGTTCCAGGCACAACAAAATCTCGAGTTCTCCAAGACAGGAACACATGGCTCTGATTCTTTAAAATAAATTCTAGTTTGAGCAAAAAAGCCCGAGAGGATACGATATCATTAAATCAGTAATTAAAGGAGCTAGATAAAACCATTTGTAACTAACTGTCCTTTATTTTACTCACTGTGGAAGATATTTTGATAAACAAAGACATTACATAATTTTGTCTTTTCAAACGCTGATATTACAGGAGTGCTAGAGGTTATCTTCTAAGTAAAATATTTTCAGTTTAATATTCAAAATGTCATGCACTAAAATTCAATTATATTTCAGTGACAGAAATAAAACTTATTTAGAAGTGATCAAGACCCAAATGCAGAATACTTTTCAGTCAACTCTGTCAATAAAAAAGAAGATATATCCAAAGTATACTGTAGCAGCATTATGAAAGTATTAGGTGGTTACAAAATTTATATTTATCTCCATTCTTAATGTTTATGTTTTCTGGAGACCAGCCCCAAACTAAAACTGTAACTGTGAAGTTAAATTAACATAAATTAACTTGACGTCTGCACTTAATATGAAAATCATCCATGAATCTTACTATCCAAGGCACGGGAACATTCCTTATCCACTTTGTTCACCTCACGTCCTGGAAATTATTGAAGTGCATCTTCCATAAAGGATTATTCCACATGCCCTTGTTACTAAGAAACAGAGCAAAAGAACCTGAGGAGTTGCAATGGTTTGATCTGTGCTTTACCAAGTAAATGGGTATGCAAAGCAAACAAAATTTTTCAGAAACAGATCACTTCCTTTTTCAGCTTTTGAAGATCCAACCGGTATATGTTATCTTAGTTCATTGTTTGAATCAAACAATTCTGAAGGGCAAAAGACTCTTAAGGCATCCAATTCCAATTGCTGAAACCGTGAATTTAATTCTGACACTAACACAGGAATCTCCACTTACAATGTGGTGATGCATAGAAAGCACAGTCATATAGCTGCAGTCAGAGTTAAAATTTTTGCTATGTATGGTAACACACTCGTGATTTGTTATTATAAGTTTCAGTAAATGCTAGTAATACACATCAAATCTAACACTCACGAAGTTCTGTTAAACTGTCTAGTGTTCTTCATTCATATACAGCAGAATAATGAACAATAAACCTCGGGAGTTGTGCTTGCCCAGGGAAACACAGCATAACATGCTGATTTGATTTTAACTCACTCACAACAGTTTAGACAACCACTGCCACTAGAAAAAGCGCTTCCAGTCTTGTAGTTAAGGGTTGTAAGGTCAAAAAGCTTTTCTCTTTTCTCACTGTAAATAAACTTAATTAGAACACAGATGCTAGAATATAAGGACTTACAACAGCTTTCTCATTAAGGTGACCTGAAATACTTGTTAGAGTGGTACTGGCCCCAAAATTGCAATGACAGCAGTGACTATTGCTCACTTGGCTGAGGCCTGTGCTTAGCGAGGAATGTGCTCCTGTGGCAGGCTACAGCCAAACTGCATTTTGGGGCTAAATTACATCTTTCACCTTTTTTCTTAAAAGGAACCAAAGGAAAATAGCTTTGTTAGGCTGAAATAAGACACAGTCACCAGCCCCACTGTGTTTGCAAAGTGACATGAAACTGCTTAGTGAAATAAAGAGCTACATGTGGAATTTCCCACAGAACACCCAGAATCAGCAGCTGTAGTATCAGGCTGTGGTTCTTAACAGATCTGCACACTTGGGGATCCCCTGGCAACACAAACTCGATCCAGGCAAGGCAAGGGTGCATGACTGCATTCTGAGAAATCAGAGCAGACAACAGGCATTTTGTGTTGGATTTACATGTCTAAGCCAGCTGTCTGCCAGAATGGCAGAAAATACCTAATGACTAACATGTGAACACCTCTCTGCACACAGCCAAACCAGTGGAGCAAGTGTGTAGTGGGCTGACACCTGCCATAAGACATCACAGTGCAGCTCAACCTCCAACCAGAGCCCTAATACTGAATTTTCTGCATTCTTGAACTGCACCTTTAGTCTCACCTCAGAATCACAGAAACAATCAGGTTGGAAAAGACCTCTGAGACCACCTAGTCCAACCTATGACCGAACACCACCACGTCAACTAGACCATGACACTAAGTGCCATGTCCAGTCTTTCCTTTAACACCTCCAGGGATGGTCCACCTCCCTGGGCAGCCCATTCCAATGTCTAATCACCAGCTCTGTGGAGAAATTCCCCCTGGTGTCCAACTTGAACCTCCTCTGGTGCAGCTTAAGACCAATTGGTTCCAGAGGCCTATCCTGCCTGCATCACACCCCTGAAAGGCCAGGGATGCATGCAGAGAGCAGAAGTGTAAGAATAAAGAAAGGCTTTAAGCCTTGTATCAAGACTTCGAGCTGACTTGGGCATTCCCCAAGTTGTTTTTTTTTTTCCCGACTTAAGCTTTTAAAAGCTTGGGGAACGCCAGGATAAACAATTCACCACACTGCACTTCCACTCCTAAAAAACCACCAAATAAATAAATAAAAATAAAAGACAATCCGAGCTGGTGTGACCGTTTCTGTCCTGGATCTCCCCATGACCCGACCTCGGGCCCAGCCGCTGCTGGGGCACCCCCGGCTGGGCACCCCCAGCCCTTCCGCTGGGCTGGACCCCCAGTGAGGGGGAACCGGGGGGAGTCCGCCCTCCCCCGGGCAGGGCCAGGCAGCGGGACGAGCCCCCGCCGCTGCGCCAGCCCTCCTCAGCCCCAGCCCCAGCCCCAGCCCGGGCCCGGGCTAGGCCGGCGTGAGCGGCGGCCGCGGCCTCGCCGAGGGGCCGGGACTGGGAGCAGCGGGGGGGACCCTACGCTCCGCTCCGCGCTGCGGCTCCTACCGGCCACGTCCGCACAGCCCAGCCCAAGGGCCCGCCGGGCGCCCGCCAGGCCCGGCCCGGTCCTTCCCTGCCCCTCGCCTCCGCGGCGCGGGAAGCGAAAGCGAAAGCGGAGCCGCCCCGGCCCCGCTGCCCGCCGGTCCCCGCTCCCCCCGCGGTGCCTCACCATGGGCCGGCCGTGTGCCAGGCGGTGACCGCGGCCCCGGGACACTGAGCGGGAGCCGGCGCGCAGGGCTCCCCCTCCGCCGCGGGGAGCGGCCCTGCCCCGCCCGCCACACACACCCCCGCCACCGCCCCCATGTTCGTTTCCCTTCGGGAACGGCAGGTCGCGGGCGGAAAGGGGCTGGAGAGGAGGAGGAGGAGGAGGAGGAGGAGGAGGTGGAGGTGGAGGTGGAGGAGGTAGAGAAGCTGCCCTGGCCAGGAAGGGAGTACGGGGAGACTTGGGTGAGGGCTTATAGGCACAGAAAATTTTAATTTATTCTTCTAAAGGAGAGCCAAAGTTTCCCGCCGTAATTTTAAGAACTTTTCGTAGAGTCGTAAAATATTCTCAGGTGGAAGGGACCTACAAGGGTCATCAAGTCCAGCTCCTGGCCCTGCACAGGACATCCCCAAGAGTCACACCATGTGCCTGAGAGCGTTGTCCAAATGCGTTTTGAACTCTCTCAGGCTTGGTGCTGTGACCACTTCCCTGGGGAGCCTGTACCCAACCACCCTCTGGGTGAAGAACCTTTTCCTAATATCCAGCCTAAACCTCCCCTGATACAGCTTCAGGCCATTCCCTCGGCATGTTTTGAAAATAAATTTGAAAATAAGTGTACCCTGTTTGTGTCTGACACTGACCGTTGGATCTTCCCCCAACACCGCAGCTCCTGGCTGGCAGAGCACCTGCTCCCAGCAGGAATGCCCGCACCTCTGCGACAGGTAGAGCAGAACCTCCAAGGGCAGCCTGCTATCACTTCTGATCATTTTATCACCTCTGAATAGAAGTGTAAAACTGTCTGGCTACCTGGCAATATCTGTAGAGCAACTATGTTATGTCACTATTACACCACTTTTTAACTAAACTCAGCAGCATTAATAGAACAAACTGAAGATCTCTGATGTACGTTGATTTTGATGTTCTGAACAAGACTTGGGTAATCTGTTCATCTGTCATTCCATGCCCTTTCGGCCAGTTCCAACCTAATTTGAAGAAAATCATTACAGTCCTTTAAGTTTTGTGGAAATTGATATGTCGCTGAGGAAACAAACCTAAATTTATTTCCTCAGCCAAAGAATAACAAGCAAAAAGCTCAGCTCTTACACATGCTTGTTAGCAGCAGACAGTTAGTCAGTGTGTATATATTAGCCATCCACTTTACTTGCTAGATGGAGTTTTCATAGGGCTAATGGAGAATAAATTTTAATTATTCTAATTAAGGTTATTAAGGGGCTAAAGGATCCAAATCCACAGTATCTCATGCCTTCATTAGTTCGGTTATTCACAGTACAACTTCTGGAATGTCAATGGAATGCCAGAGTACTATAAAAATGTGTTATACTGAACATATATTTAAAAAGACTGAAGAGGATGACATAGGCTAGCCTAGCATTGACAGTTTGACATAGATATGGAACAGAAACATGGAAGTGCTTACCTGGGATACAGTCAATTAAGTGCCAATAACTAAATGCCAGTTCACACATTTTTATGAAAAAGATTTGATTAAATGCATTTGAATTTAAGTTTGGCTGATAAAGGCAGTAATGTTGATGTAATAGCTTCCATATGAGGTAGAGCAGTAGGCTATTCTCACAGATACAATGTGGAATGCAAATTCTGTGGAGTTCATAATAAGTGATTCAGGTGACAGTTCTCAGTAGGAGTAATTGTAAGTGAAGATTTGTCATAAGGTTGTTTTGGTGTTATTCTTGTCCTGGTGCTGTGAGAAATCACCTAGACAAAAATACCAAATGACTACTTTGATGTTGTAAATAAAGGTAAAGGCCATTCACTTAGATAAACTCCTTTGAATTACTTTGTAAACTCTTCTCACTTGCAAAAATACTCCTCTGAAGCTGGTCAAATTGGATGTTGTACATTCAAATAAAGCCTCAGAGGTACACCTGGAATCTGAGGGAAAATGACTGGCATGAGACAGTGCTAAAGAGGACCTGGATACGAGCAGTTGAACATCAGCTCTCAGAGCAAAGCTTTTGGTAACTAATACTCTGAAGCAAAACCAGAGGAACATCAAATACAACTGGGATGGATATCCCCCCTTTTTATAGACCTTATGAAACCGTTATCAAAATAATGCATTTGGTTTGAGCATTAACAGTTCAAAGGGATGTTTAAAATTGAAAAGAGTCCAGAAGAAAGTTATGAAAGGTGTGGGAAATTTGCATTAACATGAGATACTCTAAAATCTTAATCCAATGCAGGTGAAGAGATACTTTTGTCATAAGCATAGTAGTACTTGTCTGAGTTAGAGCTGTTTGAAGAGTAGAAGTGTTGGTTTTCAGAAAATTACAAAATTCTGAAAGCAAAACTAAAATAAAAATGAGACTAGAAATATGGCACATCTTCATTGATTATAGGATTATATTGCCTGTGAATTTGTTTTGAAAGAGTACAAAGTTTTCAGTAAAAAAATAGAGATTTTTTCAAAGATGCACTGTAAGTCAAGCATACAAGCAGAATACATTGGCAGAGATTCCATGCAGTCCAATATGGAGTTTGTATGACCACAAGGTTATACTTATTCTTTCCTTTCCTTAAACTTGGTGACTCCAGAAGAAGACCAAGAAGTCTACTTATGTAGCAGCAAAAGAAAGAATAGGATCACAATGATATTTCCAAAAGGAAAGATTTTTTTTTTTTTAATGAGTTCTAACAGGCAACATCTGAAGAGCTCCTGGCACATTTCCTTGCGAACATGACATTCATGCCTGACTGTCCAGTTCTGCCACCAGTGCTATTGTGATCGTCCAGACAACCCAGCAGTGACTTCAGAGAAGTCCAAATCTCCTCAAGGAAAAAATGACAATGCAAAATGCTATGTCACTCATGTAAAGATCATCAAAGGAACAAGAGTTCCACCTTCAGGTCTGGGAAAATACTACCTCTGATGGCAAAAGATATCTCAGAAAAAAAAAAAAAATAATGTGTAGATGGAGTTGGACTTCCTGAATTACAGACAGAATTAGGCTTGTACTGCAAATCTGCAATCAACTCTGAGTGTTCTCTTGCAGATCTGATGACCATGTGCGTTCCTATACAGTTATCATAGAAACTGTTCTGTATTACCAATAAATAGTATAGAAGAAAATCATGGAGAGTCCTAGAAAGGCACAGAACTGTTATATATCTGACTAAGGAAGAGCTCGCAGAAGTTTCTTTTTTTACGAGATCATTCATAGTTTTCAGATACCTGGATTCAGAAACATGATCCAGATGTGCAATTAATTTAATGTGCTCAGCTCTATTCTCATCAGTCTTTCCTTACACGCAGACTCTCAGATAACTCATGCTGGGGATATTTCAGTGAGTGTTGCTCAACAGACACAGAACTTCCAAGATGCTTACATTGTGCTCCCAGAGATCTGGGATCCAGATCTTTTTCCAGTACAGCATTTCAGAATTCTGTTGCCTTTTTCAATGCATTATTATTACAGATACACTGATTCCACTGTCAAAAGGCTTGTGCTGGCAAGAACGAGTAATAAAGTTTCCTCTGTGTCGTGGAAAATAGCCAATGCTGTGTTGCAGTGAGCAGTGCTCTCTCTCACAATCTTTCAGGAGCACAAGGTTGTTTGAAATGAGATCCCCTTTTAACAAACGTCCCTGAAAAAAAAATCAAACTCTTTCAGTAATTCCTGACTAAAAGGTGTTCTCTGGAATATGTGGCAGCATTTTCTGAAACTGTATTCTTGGTATAAGCAAAATACTGGGGGTTGGTTTTGGGGGAAACTGTTTGCTACTCTTGGCAAAAGTTGTGCTGTAGTTTTTGACAGTTTCTAGAATTCTGATCCAAAGCCCTTTTAGTGTAATTTGTGGCAAAACCAGCTCAGATTTGGATAAGGATCATTTGTATAGTATTACAGAAAGCAGAACTCTCAAGTGCGAATGAAACAGAAGAGTCTTATTATACATTAACATATTCACAGTAGCAGTAATACTGAATAGGGTGTAAAAGTAGAAGAGAAAGCAATTAGGGCAAAGCAGGTTCTATTTTAAGAGAAACTCTTCCTCACTGGTTGCACTGGTTATTTGGGTCTTTTCCAGTAAATTTACAAGTCTCACTCTGTGACCTTGATGCAGGAATAGTTTAGAGTACCTGCTATTGGTCTATCTACCCCTGCAGCAGTCACAGAGGAAAGGCTGTACAGAGAGGATGGTAGGTAACAGAAACTGTCTACAGCACCTGGACCATGGTAGGATTTCTCTAATAACTCGAGCAGGGTGAAACAAGCATCACTAGCTGGTGGGAGCTCATGTTGCCAGCGCTCAGGGAATGCGCACCTGTGGCACTTTGCCAAGGGAGCCTTAGCTGTCCATTGCTGGCATAACCGAAGGAAGTAAAACTTAAAAACAAGTGTTTCCCGGGTCGTGGTCCTACCTGGAAACTTACCCATGACTAGAATTTCATCAAGATCCATGGGGTTTTTTTCCCAATGTCTTTTTGTTCCCACTGGAGCTGAAGAGGATTTCTCCCACTCAGAACTACTGATCAGTATGTGCTATAGCAGCGGTGTATCCAATATTCTCAGTTTGGTGTGTAAGGTCACCTGAGCAGTTTTACTTCGGAAGAAAGTTGAGCTGCCTCAGTTAATAAACTTTTAGTGGTACTACCTTTTGTGCACATTTGTCTTGTGTTTTAAGACTGACTTGCATCGGCATCACCTTAAGCTAAATCCCGGCAAGTTGCTCCAACTGAAAAAAAGAAGAGTTTCCATACAAGGCAGTTTTACCAACCAAAGGAAGTTGGTCCATTTTTTTTCTTTTTCTTTTTTTTTATGTAAACAAGGCCTTAGAAATTCTGTATCAAATCTTAGTGCCATTCAAATCAATGATAAAATTTCCATTAAAATTAGCAGAGTGAGGATTTCCTTTTTTTGTCCAGGTTCCAATGCTTCCCAAGACAAGAAAAGACAAACTGTATTTCAGGGGAAAAAAAATGGACTATGGCAAATCAGCTGACCAAACATTCATTCATCCAGTTCAGCCACCGTACTTACCAGTAAACATTCCTTTTGTAAAATCATTCAGCCTTGAAAGAAGGATTCAGAATGTCTTTCAATTGCAGACCAGAGGTGTAATATCATCAGCTTGTATTCATAATCAGTTTATATTAAGATTTTTTAAAACTATTTTTTTATTTTTCTTCTCTAGTTAGGAGGGTGATTCTGATGCTGCTGTTTCTCTAACACATGCAAATCATGAGCAACTGCCTGTTCAATAAAACCTTCAGGGAATCTTAGAAACAAATTGAAATTTAGAATAGTCACATTCATTTGAGGTCCTTTTCCACTGACTTGATGTTACATCTCCGCCTTTAAGATTTCTAAGTTGTCTCTGCTTTTCTCTTCCCCCTTATGGGATAACCAGAAAGACATTGTTCAGCTCTGCCGAAGAAGTTCCTGATGCTGAGACCTAAATAGAAAACACCTGTAGCCTGCCTAGTTTGGATTATGGAATATTTATTGGATATTGGTTTTTTGGATATGAAAAGTTTATAAGACTCTTTCTGATTTAAAATCCATGTCGTACTCTAAGGCATACATGGAATTATAGAATAATCATTGAATAATAGAATCATAGAACCATAGAATGGTTTGGACTGGAAGGGAACTTAAAGATCATGTAGATCATATAGTTCCAGACCCTGCTGCCATGGGCAGGGAACCTTTCACTAGATCAGGTTTCTCAGAGCTCCATCCAAGGTGGTCGTGAACACTCCCAGGGATGAGGCACCTGCAACCTCTCTAGGCAACCTGTTCCAGTGCCTCACCACCTTCATAGTAAACAATTTCTTCCTAATATCTAATCTAACACTACCCTCTTTCAGTTTAAGGCCATTGCGCTAACATCACATTAATGAGGAATAAGCTGCCTGTATAGTGACCTATTAATCACACCGCTGGTTCAAAGGCCTCGCATGCCATGTAGCTTTGGATTGTCTCCAGCAGTGGCCACAAGAGATAATGAGGTCGGAATAAGAATTGGGCAACCATATATGCTAGTTCCTCCTTCATGTTCTCTCAGCTTTTGCCTTGTTTTACACTGGGGGTTTCCTGAACCAGATTTGGTTTGTTTTCTCAGTGACCTCAGTGGATCTCTCTTTCAAATGCTCACCCAGTCTCCTGTAGAAAGTAAGGCTCTTTTGAGCAGAAAGTCCCTAAGCAATGATTTTCACAGGTCTGCTGCTGTCTGCATAAAGAGCCTGGCTCTTCTGACAGTTCATTGCTGTCCAGCTTCCCCATGCTACTTATTGCCTTGTTGCCTTTTCAATTTCTGATTCTTTGGGGGGGTTTTTTGGTTGGTTGGTTTGGTTTTTTGGTTTGGTGTTTTTTTTGCTCTAACCTCAAAATCTTGCGTTGTGTGGTAATGACCAACGAAATGGTTGGCTCCTTAGGTTAGGATAGGCCATACAGTTGCACTGAAAATGATTGAAGGCAGCATAATAAATAAGGCAGTTGTACAGAGAAATACTTTCACTCACAAGAAAATCAGGGTGAGTTAGAAAGGAACAGGAGGAATAGCTGAAATACAGTTCAACATCTGTTGCTAGAAAGTATCTGTCATTTGTAATATGTGGCAAGTGGTATACAATTTTAAATGTAACTGAAACATTATCTTAGTAAGTCATAAAATGTACTTTCTCAAATCGGAACCTTCTATTGTCCTGTGCTGCTTTGATTCTNCCAGTATCCATCAATTTCTTTGTAGCTAGGGAGCCCCTCATGACCTGGATCTTTACAGTGATGCTTCCTGGCATTATCTTGAAAAGTGTAAGTCGCTTCTGGCAGAAGTCAGACCCTTTTCTCCGAGACATGCGAAATGAGAAGATAGGCACTTGGAATTGACTCCTTTGCTATGTCCTTCTTCCTCATAGGTCATAAATATATCTAAGCCACGAGGGGGGTGCTGGTATAAGACAAATGGCTTAAGTTCACATTTCAAACTTGCTTCTTTTTTCCCTGCTAGACCATTTTACTGCAGAGACTTTCATCAGAACTTCTTGAAAATTGATGGTCTAGCACCAAAGATGCAAAGCTGAAGGGTTTGTCAACTCAGTTGTGAAGTCAGATAGACTTTTTCATTACATCATTAATGTCGTGTATGCACTAAAACTGTGAAGTGCTCAAGTTCAGTAACAGTAGAGATGCTGCATAAACAGATATACATGATCCAAAGAGACTTTATTCCATAGTAAGGTTTGTTTTTATAAATAATGGTGGAGTCTTATTTTATTTACTTTTAGTATGGCAGTAACACTATGAAGTCCTGAAGTTCAGTCTTGTAGAAATAAACCTACTTTAGCATTTTGTTTCAGAGAAAGAAAGCCTCTGAAGCTTATTTAATTTAAAATGTAGTTGAAAGTTTCATTTTCTTTATAAGTACTTTGGAATACATGTTCAGCTAGCTTTGTGGAGAAATAGCTGTGCAAGTCCCATTACTGCTAATGCTATTACTAATTCCATGCACATCATACTGAATATTTACATCTTTGTTTAGTATTTAGATGAGCCTCGATACTGCTGATTTCTCACTGTTACAGTCATCTGTAATACAAAAAAAGAAAAACGTAAACATATGATAAAGATCACTTTTAGTTAAAGACATTTAATGCTATTTAAAAGAGAAGATTATTACTGTTTGAATTATACTCTAAATCGTGACTAAAAGGGCTTAATTTCTTACCTCGGAAATAGTAGATTGGATTAATGTTCTGTGGAAACTGTGAGTGTAGATAATTTTCTTTGTGTGCAAAAGCTCTGAGTTTCAGAGACGCTTAAGAGGGGCATTGGCTTAATTCTTGGGTGGTACAAAGAGTGAATTATTTTTAGCGGTTTTATATGTGGTGGCAAATACTGTCCACAGGATGGATTTCAATCATTTATGAGTGGTTCTCTTCATCAGCTGCAGAGAGGTAAAACACTGGGAAAACAAAAAACCTCAAATTGTTGTGTGACTGTGTTGGCGATATTACACATTGATTGCTTAGTTTGAGTAACATGATTGGGTCTTATTTTCAGTCTGACTGCTTTGTGCTGAGGGTCATCTCTGAGCTGGACAGCAGTCCTAAAGAGAACAGGACAGAGGTGATGAACACAAAATAGCTTTTATGAGCCCCAGGCCTCAAAATAAACCAAGACAACATTTCTATGGAGCCAAGCACAAAGGCTACTTATCTTTCTTTTGCAAGTAGCTTCTTAGGTTTCTTAGTTATTCCTCTCAATTGTAATTTTTAATGTGGCTGTGATTATCTTAGGGGTTTATTATGAGTTTTACTGCTCAGCCACTCTACTTATTACTGACTTGTCCAGTCTCTTGCTGTGTTTGGAACAGAGCTGTTGCTCAACTGGAATAGTTGTCATTATTTTCCCAAGGAATACACCACAAATTTGGAGGGAGAGAGAATCCAACACCTCAAGAGATCACCACTGTTATTCTGCTTGATTTCTCTTGTGAAAAATAATCAGGTTCCTTTCACTACTCCCTTTCATTCTTCAACATCAGGCCTTGGAGGAAATGGGGAATCTGCCAATACTTTCACCTCTAGTACTGGAAAATTTAGAGGTAAGACCAGGACAAACTTGGTGTAGAGGGTGTCTAGATGTGGGGGCTGACAAGAAGCAGGGCAGCAGTGATGCAGTGTGTGGATGAGAGCAGAATACACCTGAACAGTGTGGAGAAAGGACTACAGTGAAGGTAGGAGTGAGTCCAGATTCAGTTTGTTTGTCTTGGAATCCTAGCAGACGTGGGAGGAAAGAACCTCAAAAACCAAGACAGAGTGAGCATTAAAATTTTACATGGGTGTGTTTTCAATCTAATACTGTGTGGTTAAACTTCTGGTTTTGGGGATGTGACTCCGGGGTTTGTCAAAATAGATTTTGGCCCTCCTAAAGATGATTCTTAGCACTTTAGTGAATCAGATGAAAATTTGCCTGGAATTTAAAAGTGCCCCGTGTTTCTCAGGACTGTTTCAGAGATGATGACTGAAGAAATTTCCTGAGACTAGTTGAACCTCAGTCTAACTGTTCAGGTTAATGGACTCACAGTAGAACTTGATGTTCAAATGCGATAAACAAGATTCCTGTTATCTACTTTAGGCTCCAATTACTCTGGAAAACTTCTGTTAACACATACATTTCTGCCATTTCAGAAACACCTTCAAAATATATTTCAGGAGAGCAAGTTAGTCCTTCCTGAACTTCCTCACTGCAGCCCTCTGTACTTTATGACTTCTCTTTCAGGTGACAGGAGTGCAAGCACTGAGCACGAAGAGCTGTCCCACCAATTGATGCTCTTCCTGCAACACCCATTTCCAGCTGTAGAAGCTCTCTACCAATTCTGGGTCCTAGGAAAAAAGGCTCCATGCACCTACAAGTGGAGAAGCAATAAAGTGACTTGTGTTTCCTGTGAAAGTCTGTCTTTACAGGTAGTTCTGCAGAGAAAGAACATAAGTGGGATGGTAGTTTGGCGCTGCATCCTTTGGATAAGGAAGGAGGCTTTGAGGGAGCAGTAGGATGAGCTTGCTGATTGGGATGCTGGGATCTGCCGTCTTCCAGCCCACACTCTACATGTGTTTCTTGTTATTAATAGCCTTGTTCTTTGCATTGCCACCCTCAGAGTACTCTGCCACTAGTCTTTTCTTTATGTCCTCGTTGTTCCTTCCCCAGGTCTGTTCCCCTACGTATGACTCATCCCAAAAGCTCTTTATCTTTTCCACTGTCCCAATGCCCTGGGACTATCCTCCACTACTGCAGACCGAGAAGCACTACAACAGTGCTAAAAGTATTCATAACAATACGTAGCAGTGGTGCCAGTACTGTAAGGAGAGAAAGAGATGTCAAAGATACACTTTCACAGCCACTCTTAGCAGGGTTTAGTCTTCAGCAGTTTTGTTCTATCCACCCAGTTGCTGTTGAAGCAACTTCCAAAGCCCAGGCAATAGACTCTGTGCTGCAACAAAAAATAATATTTCAGAAAAAAATTGTATGAAAAGTTAAAATTTTGTCAAATATAAGATTTTCCTTATGTTTACGTTATTATAGAAAATATTTTTATTTATTATTTTATTGCTTTGATGTTATAAAATAAATCTGAAGTCATAGAATGACAAACCATATAAAGCTATTTGCATTTTTAACAATTTATTATATCATTTCATTAGCATAAGGCATGAAGAATGCAGATGTTATGATTTAAATGGTTTAAATGGTTTAAAATTCATACTTTCTAATGTAAATTTCTTAGGTAATGTTCACATTTTATCAGATTAAGTGAGATTGATTGATTGCCATTGATTTTAGTGTCACCAGTATTCGACTTACTTAAGATAAAAAAAATGTTCTATTTCGATGTTGGCGTATTGGAACCCAAGCAAAATATCTTAGCATGATTATAAGGCATAGAGTTGTACTTCAGAGTTTAAGTTGGTGAGTTTTTTTGCTGTACACTTCAGGTTGGTACTGCAGTTTCTATGAAGTTTCTTCCCTAGATTGACATCCAGTCTTGCAGCAGTCCTTTATTAGTCATTTTCTGCTAAGGCAGAGTGTTGTCACCAAGTGCATGTGGATACAAAACAATCAAATCAGGACTTGAAAAAGCAAGAGAGAGAGGGAGAATAAAGATGATTGCTCTGTATGAGACGATTAACACTGGGACCTTTACAAAACGGGGACATGGTAATTCTTAGTAGATGGGTTAGATATTCATGGACACAAGCAGATTAGCTGCAACGTGTTACAAATAGAGCCAAACTAAAAGATTTCATAGGTTTTCATTGCCTGCTACTTCATTTAATCACTCGCAGCAACGAGGAGTGACAGTAAAGGCACATACAGGAAAATCAATGTGATAATGTGTATATATGTATTGCATGGCAACTATGAATACACTAGGGGTTATCCACCATCTACTGTTACACTTCTGTCTTATGAGAGAAAATGGAAGCAGAGTGAATAAAAAGAACAGTGGGATTTAATCAATTTCCTGCCAATGTGCAAACATCTGTATCGACAGCCTTTAGCAAAATTAAAATATGTTGTCCAATATCCATGTTTGGCAGAAATGGCTGATGAACCTTCAGGTAGTGTGCTGATTTTTTTATGTCTTTTTTTTTTTCCTGACATAGGTGTTATTGCTGTGATCTGTGACCCAGTTCCATCTTAGCTACACTGAAGGATATTAGAGACTGGGCAGTTGGAAACATTGACTGAAGGGTGACTTGTGTGCGCAGAAAGAAGGGGAAATTTATAACCTAATACTGAAATTGCCCTGACATGCCTTGTGTATAGAATTTTTACCACAGATTTCCGGGCTGCAAGCCTAAATAGCACAGCCCAAATGTTCAGCTTGAGAGGGGGAGTTTGAATGACAAATTGAGTGTGCAATGTGAGGGAGAACTATAGAGTTCAAACAAGATCAGCCAGAGAAAAGCAAGAGACTGGGGGCAATGGGAGAACCATGAGGAAAAGAGCAAAACTAGATTTTTGAATGTAGGTCTTAGAGTGTAATCTCCATCATCCCAGGCTATAAGGTAACACACTCGGAGCATTTTTAGGGTTGGAATGATTTTCAAAAAAAAGCACATGCTCAGAAAAGAGAGGTCAAGTGAGGGCTGCAGCAGGTATGTGGCTGGCCCTCGTGCAGCAGGACAGGTGCTTAAAACCTCTACTTTTCCATTGTGTTTGGCTGAAACCACCCAGTGGGTTCAGAACTTCCCAGTGGGGTCTGGGGGACAAGTCATAACTTAACATAAGATTTGTTTGTCTAAAAAACTAGGCCAGAGGGAATAGTAATTAATATTATAGATGTCTGTGGCACAGGTGGCTGAGGTAGAACAATCTGAAGAGAAAAAGGTGTTCTTCTTAAAGGATTAAAAAATATGTACTCCTGTGGTAAAAAACCCACATTTTTTCACATAATTGCAGACTATATCATAATACTTACACAGGAAGGGGGAGAAAAAAATTTCTTCAGGCACAGAAGATTCTTCTTCACTCTTATATTTCCTAACTTCTAAATGCTTGACTACAGCTACATAACTTTTTAAACAACTTTTTCTGTGTGTGTGAAATACATGTATAGACTACAGCAACTGTTCAAGTGTGAATTTATTTTTAAATAGAATTGACTCCCTGTATTAATATAGGCGCTATGGAAGTGGAAACATTTCTATATTATCACAATCTATCTTTTGAGAAAGAGATGGATATTTTTACCTCGGCAATTCTGGTAGCAAGGTGGAAGCAGTTTTACAATAATCTGAATATATTTAAGGTGTGCAGTTCATTTTTGTACCTAATGAATAACTGTGTACCCAAGTGGGTGGATGGAAAATAAGAAGCTTTTGGATTAGATAGAGAAGGTATAGCATGTTACATTTATGCATGTAACATAGATATTTCAATGCATTTGATAAAGTCATTGTTAAATACCATTTTTAATGCATGTGATGGCAATCAGTTTTCTTTGAAAACTGTGAATCGGGGGTGGGGGGGAAATGTCTGTACAGTTTAAAAACGAATACAAGTGTTTCATTTAATTAAAGCAGAAATCACATTATTTTCCAGTCACATTTCTCCTATGGCCCCTGTGGTGCTGTAGGCAGCGATGAAATAGAAACTGGCACAGCCTGAAAGGACTGCCAGCAGAGCGGGCACTCGCTAACAGGGCGACACACGATTTCTTCCGCACCCAGTGGAGTCTGACACCTTTGCTCTGCAGCTGCCCCATGTGGTTGCGAAAGACAAGCTACCAAATGCTTTGCTCGCGCACATTTGGTAATTAATAGTAAAATGATGACTAGGAACACTGAGGCAAATTAGGAAGAGCATTATGAAGAGACTACTGTGGAAATGATCCAACAGCCTGCATCAGGGAGCCTCAGGCACAGAAAGGAAGGACACCTGCAGAGACATCTGAGGTTACAGAGAAGAGAGTGAAGTGAGTCTTCTGCCCCATTCCCCTGCAAAAAGATGGCTGGTCCAAAAACATCTGTCAGTCCTGCCGGCAGGAGTGTGCCTGGGAGGTCTCAGCTGGAGGTAGCAGCTCCATCAGGTCTGTCACTGTTGGTCTGGCAGCTGCTGTCCCTGTTGCCCAGCTAATCAGCAGCTGTAACTAAGCAGCTAACCAGCTGGAGTTTGGGGAAGAAGATGCTCCATAGATATTAAAAAGTCAACTTTCAGGAGGACTACAGAGCTTTATGTCTTTCCAGCAGTCATAATCATGTCCTGGTGTGATGAAATTTTCTGTGTTTTCTAGCACTTCCTGATAAAAATAGTAAAAACTGTTCCTTTGTCTTTAAGGAACATTATGTGTTGATATAGAAAAAGTAAGCACCCTTTGGGAATTACCCATGGTGACTGCTGTGTCATTATTTTCTCTAGCCCTTCCTTCCTTCGACAACAAAAAGGGATCCTTCTTTCATCGGGAACATTTTGTGTTGACATAGTTTATCTGGGAGAAAAAGAAATTCACATACAACAATTGGCTTGCCATTGATTTAGTTGCTTTACTTCCCCCCCCCAAGTAATTTTGATATAAAATATGAAACAAGATTCCAGTAAACCACTTCTGAAAGACTCTGTGGCCTCCGAGCTGGTAGTCTTTCCTGGCCACATGCTCTGCCCTTCAGAGCAATTTCATTCAGCCTGTACATCAGCTTCCACTGAATGTCCTAGAAATGGTAAAATCATCTAATTCAGCCTTATTTGATTGCTGCATATCAGTACAGAAAACAGTGCATTGCAACATTCTCATCCTTTGCACAAAAAAGGCAACATTTTTAATGAGAAAAGAAAAAAAAATATGACAATAAACTCAAGAGCCTGTTAATTTAGATAGCTTCTAAAGGAAACACACTTTGTGAATAAATCTACATCCCAATGTCTGATATCTGGAGCAAATCGTGACATACCTTGGGTATCTTCATGCTTGGGAGATAGATCCGGTTATAAGGGTAAATCTGCCGCCTTCCACACATTTGGCTCTCAGTGCTCTCTTCTCAACACATGATTGCATCTTAAATTTTGTGCTCAATATTTCATGTTTCTGGAATGAATGAATCCTGGGAAGGAGACAGAGCAGAGGGAAAACAGATATGCTATTTCTTGGCTTTCAGGTCCCATGTGAGCTATTAATTACAAAGCAGCCTTAAGAAAGAATGCCAATAGCCACATATAATCCCCTTACAAAAATAAACTTTCTCCAGAATTCACATACACTATTGAAATTCAGAAATAATTTCAACATATTGAAATATTAATTTTAAATCCATTGCCCTAGGATAGTACCACAAAGGGTGAGGCATGGGAAAGGGAAGGGAAGTACCAGGGGAAAAGGTATATGACAGAAATGGATTGTTCTACTGAAGACTTTCCCATTTTCCTATTGGTTTGGAAGACACTCTCTCTCATGGAGTAGTTGCCTTGGCCACAGCAATTGAGGGGCTGCTGCCCAAGCTCAACACACTCATAATGTATGCAAAATAGCTAAATCCCAGTCTCACAGGATACTAGCAATTTCTAAGCAGAGCTAGATTTAGCATTTTCAAGTCTTCAGATAATTTCCCTTTTATCTTGGACAGAGCTGTGGTCATGCCATTGTGTGGAAAACATTAAATTTAGGGAGGGACTGGTAGACTGATGTTTGTAGGTTAATTATTTTAAAATTTTGAGACGTGCGTGTGAGAAGGAGAAAGAAGATCTTTAGATCATCCTTGCTTCCTCTGACTGATACCCAGCTGCTACCACTTTGAAACCTGGTGATTAGTTTATTTATGTTTCCAAGGTTGTCTATGGAAAAAAAAAAGAGACAGAAATTTGATTTTGAAATTACATACCTCCAAAATTGGTGGTGTTTAGGTTGCCTGTCACTGAAAAGGTAGCACTTGAAATAAATTGCAAGTGTAATGCATATCAGGATAAACCTCAGAATTTTCCCAGATATTCTGAAAAGTCTGGAAAAAGAGATGGGTGCCTGGGGCCCTGCTTAGGCATCTGTTTGCCATATGTTTTCACTAAGGAAATGAAATAAAATGTCAGAAAATCTGCAAGAGGTAAAATGTAGGAGGCACCAAACTAAAAATAGCGAGGCTTACGTGGAGACTGGACAGCTGGGTCTTCATGGGCTCAAAATGGAGTGTAGATAATGCAGTTTTTACCAAGTGCTTCTGAAGCACAGAGGTACTGGTCCTCACAGAAGCCATAGCTGATCCATGGACCTCCACCAGAATATGAGGGAAAACTAGATTGATTGCTCACGGTTGGATTGCCCACAGTTGGATACAGGATGGATTAGAAACATCAACGAGTTAAAAAGTTACATTTGAATGAGATGCAGGTGTCAGACATGAAGAGAAACTTGTCATGACACCAGGCACAGACACATCATGAGATAACCCTAGGAAAGAGAAATGTCAGTGTGTACAAACTGATGCAGACCACTGGCAATTAAATAGAGCAAAACACTGAGTGCTCAACTAGACAGGAGACTGCTGGAAAGACGAAGTAGCAGAAGTACAGCCATCAGAGTACGAATATGTACAGTAAACTGTATAACTGTATATAAAAGCTGTACACAAAGCCTATTAAACCTATTACAAACTAATATACCTGTGTCCTTCAGAAAAGGAGCAATCCATGATATTTTATTATTACTGTGGCTATCAACATTATTGCTCAACTCTAGATTTGAGCTGCTGAAACTGGAATAGGTCTGTCAAAACTAATGGAGACAGCAGTTTGCACCAGCAGGAGAATTGGGTCTTGTCTGTTGGCACAGAACATCTGTCAGGGTGGTGTGTGAAGAGATACCTCTGCTGCTACTTTATAAAAATAGAGTCCCTGGCTGGATCAGCAATGCAGTATTAGCATGGATGTTACTAGGACTTGATGAACCATTTAGCCTTCTTGCTGTTGTTCAAAAATCATTCATGAACTGATTTTGATTCCTTATAATAAATTCATTTTTCAAAGACCTGACCTGGAGATTTAGAAGGAAAATATTGTCTATGCCTATGAGTTTTTAACTTTGACTATTTGCTGCTTGTGATGTGTTGGTCACTTCAATTGCATTGCAGTTTTTCTGCTCTGCGATGAATTATTGGAGTTTGGACACATGAATGCATGATTGCTAATGATTAGTGAACAGGGCATACTCTTAATTATGAAGAAATAGTCATGTTTGAATCTGAGAATTCAGTTGAAAGCAGACATTCCCAGCATGTTTATGCCAATAAAAATCAGAAATAAGGAATAAATTAGGAGAATGAAGTTGGAAAGGAAAGTTACATTCAGAATTTGAATACAATTTCATAAACTTTTTTACACCACTTGTCATGTTCTAAAAAAAGTTGTCAGGAAAATATTGCTTCCTCTCATTCAGAAGCAGAAAAAAAATCCCATCAGGCAACTTAGTCTGACCTTGTGCATGAAGATCATGAAAGCTTATCCCTAAACTGAGCCCTACAACTTTAGACACACTGGAGCATTCGGTTGTTTGGTTCCACCAAGGCCTGCATCCCTTCCATCATTGGGAAGTAATGAGCTACACAA